CGTGTCCCACTGCCGTCTCCACCAGCGTCCTCTCTTCCTGCTCTTGCTGACCCGGAGTCTGACTCTCTTCGTGCTGCCAGTCCTACTGTCACGCGTCTCCTTGCCACTGCTGTCACTGACCCTTCCTTTGAGTCCTCTGCTGCGTCTGCTCTAGTCGCTGAGCTTGTTGACTTTGCTGCTGCCTGTCGTCTAGACTACGCCGCTAGCCTTGTTGCTGAGTCTGAGTCTGAGTCTGTCTGTCCTCCGTCTGTCGGGGGTGAGTGTGCTCTTGGCACGGACGTCCTTGAGGACAGACAGGAGGAGTTTGAGTGCTTTGCCGCTGCTTTGCCTCATCTCGTGTCCATGCTAGTTGCCCCTGAGGGAGACCCGGATGCACCAGACATCCCGACCCCACGCTCCTACGCAGAGGCGATGGAGGGTCCCTACTCCTCTCAGTGGCAGACAGCCATGGACGCAGAGATGGCTTCCTGGAAGTCCACAGGCACCTACGTCGACGAGGTTCCCCCACCTGGGGCGAACATCGTCAGTGGCATGTGGATTTTCAGGGTGAAGCGGCCGCCGGGTTCTCCGCCTGTCTTCAAGGCGCGTTACGTTGCACGAGGCTTCAGTCAGCGAGAGGGAGTTGACTTCTTCCAGACCTTCTCCCCGACCCCGAAGATGACCACTCTTCGGGTTTAGCTGCACGTCGCTGCTCAGCGTGACTACGAGCTCCACTCTCTTGACTTCAGCACTGCGTTCTTACAGGGCAGCCTGCACGAGGAGATCTGGCTGCGCCGCCCACCTGGCTTCACTGGGTCGTTCCCTCCTGGTACCCAGTGGAGCCTCCGGCGGCCAGTCTACGGTCTCCGCCAGGCACCCCGTGAGTGGCACGACACACTGAGGACTACTCTTGCTGCTCTTGGGTTTGCTCCTTCTACTGCTGACCCGTCGCTGTTTCTACGCACCGACACCACTCTGCCGCCGTTCTACGTTCTTGTTTACGTAGACGACTTGGTCTTTGCTACTGCTGACACTGAGGCACTCGCCCACGTGAAGTCGGAGCTGCAGAAGAGACACACGTGCACAGACCTGGGTGAGCTGACAAGCTATCTTGGCTTGCGGATCACCCGGGACAGAGCACAGCGCACCATCACCTTGACTCAGTCACACATGGTGCAGCAGGTCCTTCAGCGCTTCCGCTTCACGTACTCCTCGCCTCAGCCCACTCCTCTGCCTACCGGTCACTCGCTCTCAGCTCTGCCTTCGGATGAGTCCGTAGAGCCGAGTGGCCCGTATCCAGAGCTTGTGGGCTGCCTCATGTACCTGATGACCTGCACTCGACCTGACCTGGCATACCCTCTTAGCATCCTAGCACGCTATGTCGCTCCCGGCCGTCACCGGAAGGAGCACATGGATGCCGCTAAGAGGGTGTTGCGCTACTTGTGCAGTACGTCGGGCATGGGGCTCGTGCTTGGAGGTCGGAGCGACGTTGTCCTCACGGGTCACTCAGACGCTTCTTGGGCTGACGACCAGGCTATGCAGCGGTCGTCTCAGGGTTACACCTTCAGCCTTGGCTCTGGTTCAGTTTCTTGGCGTTCTACTCGCTCTTCTTCTGTTCTCAGCTCCAGTTGTGAGGCTGAGATCTACGCCACAGCCATGGCTGCACAGGAGTTACGCTGGCTCACCTACCTGCTGACCGACCTGGGAGAGCGGCCTCGTTCTCCTCCAGTGCTGTACGTTGACAACAAGGCCGCCATTGTCTTGTGTGAGGAGCACAGACTGGAGCACAGGACGAAGCACATCGCTCTGCGCTACTTCCTTGCTCGAGAGCTGCAGCAGCGTGGTCAGCTTCGTCTGCGTTACGTGGCCACTCGGGCCAACACTGCTGATGTGTTCACCAAGGCGCTTCAGCCTTGTGACCATCAGCGTTTCTGTACTGTTCTAGGCCTTGTGCCTCCTCTCCCTCACTTGCTCACTTCTTGACTCTGCTTGTACTGTGATCTCTATATATATATACCTGCATGTTTACTCTTGTTAGGTTGTGATCACTGTACCTCTTGTTATATTATCAAACTGCATGTGAACTGGTCTTGTGACCACTTGCTTGTGCTCGGAATTTGTGTGGTTTCCTTGAGATCCACCCTGAGCTTGCTTTGCTTTGCTTTGACTGGTCTTGTGACCATCTGGTTGTCTCCCACTTAGCCTATGGGGGTGTGTCAAACATTATACATGTTCATATTGTGTAGGCTATAGTGGGTTTAGCCTTAGGGGGTACAACATTGCTAGGGTTTCCTACTTGTATCACCCTGCTGCCTAGTTTTCACACATTCTCGTTCAGTTCTACATTCTAACACACCTGTCCAGCTTGACCCCAATTTTTTTGGCCGTTGCCAGGTTGACGAGACTGTGGCTCGCCCCATCGTCAACGAATAATTTTATTTTATACCCGTTAACCCTCCCCACGACCAGTATAGGGTGATCCACGTGTTCATCCACCTTATTCGTCCGGTTGCGGTCGATAGCCCGCATCGGTACCACTACTCGGTGTGGATGTTGATTGCCGGGCGACGGGGTCTCGTCAGTAGGTGGCCCGACTGCTACTCGTCTCTTTTCCCGACCCCTCTCCGTCGTTCCTGTTTCCCTGTTTCAGCTTCTGGCAGTCCTTCCTCCAGTGGCCCGGTTGGTTGCAGTTGAAGCACGTGTTAGGTCCACGTCTCGGTGCATCCACCCCGTTGATTGTGGGCTGGCGCGGCGGTCCACGAAATTGAGTGCCCTCCCGGGAACTCATTCTCGCCCATTGCATCAGCGCATCCGTTGATTCAGCCACCTGGACGGCATCGAGAAAACCGCGTGGCCTCGCCCGTCGCACCTCGTACTGTACTTCGTACTTGAGGCCTTCGACATATCAGTCGAGTCGCTCCGCATCGCTCATATCGTCCACTTGGTCAGCCAAATTGCAGAATGTTGCCGTGTAATCTTGGACCGACGCCACCTGCTTCCAGGTGCGCAGCTTCATGCGAGCAGAATCCGAGGCGGATACATGCTCGGATCTGGTTCGCAGCGCGGCGCCCCACTCCGTCCATGTGCGTATCGTGGCCACTCCGAAGATTGAAGTTGCTCGTTGCGTGACAGTTGTCCAGGTCCCGTCGTTCGCACGTGACATCCCTGCCGGAGTCCCCTCTGTCTGAACAGTCCGCTCCCACCACTCCAACGCCGGCCCTCGTAACAGTGACACTGCAAAATTAATGCGGGTAGCATCGTCAGCAATTTGCGCAGCATTGAAAAACACCTCCACACCGAACAACCATGCCGACACAGTGACGGTTTTGTCGCTGGGGTTGAACGGGGGCGGGTTCGTCGGCTTTATTTTAACAGTTGTTGAGACTGTTGCTGCTGCATGCATCGGGGGCGCCACTGAAGCCATCATCGGGGTTGTCGCTGTTGCCCGACGTGGCGTAGACTGCGACTGTTGCCTCGGCGCCGCTCGTATCTGTTGCTGCGGCTGTGACTGTTGCTCCTGCGTCCCTTGTGCTTGTTGCATCAGTGCCGTCCACTCATCTTCAGCGTCCAGCGAGTTCTGTAGCTCGCTAAGGACCTCGTCGTTAGGCGCGAAGCTGCTACTTGCTTCATCCACGGCGGGCGTCTCCTGACGCGCTTCACCTCCCGTCTGGCTCTGGCGTAGCTCGGCGTTTTCCACCCTCAGGCGATCCAACTCGCCAGACATAGTCTGCATGTTGGATTGCATCGCCCGAAAGTCCTGCAAGAACACGTCAAACTCTGCTTGCGTCATATTTCGGAGACTCATCCTAGCGGGCAGCGGGTTAACAGAGATTTTTATGGTTTTGATGAAGGCGCAAACACTATTAGTCGGAGCGAGATAATCGTATCTATCTCTCAGCCGACCGCTTTGCAGCCCACCAAACCTATCGCACCCCTGCACTAAAACTACCCCGGAAAGTGGAGGGTAACCTAGGAAAGTAGCTCTGCTACCAAGTGTTATGAGTTGTATGAAAGAAGAGTGCGCAGAATGCAATATCGCGGAAATGATTACAACTACTGAGCAAACAACGAGGCCTAGGCATAATATAGCACGGCTAGCTAGGCCGAGGTCGCAGAGTCGCGCGAAGGTTGGGTGCAGGTTTGGGGTTGGGAAACCCGAAGGCGACGCGGGAGATGTTCGGAAGGCGAGGTCGACGGACCGAGCCTGAATTCCGAAAGTTGGAATTGTACGCGTAAGAGATGCCTCAGTAAGGAATTAGCGAAATTCCTTACAGTTACCGTACGCGTTATAGTGCCCCATGTATGTTACTATTGACATATTTTCCCTTCCATTTTCGGTTTGCACGATAACAAGGAAGACACAGCAATCACTCTGGTGGCGTGGCCAGCACGCCATTTTTCAATCACGCGTTTTCGCGAAAGTAAAGCGAAGGCAGAAAAGGAAATGTAACGTGACTGTGGGAAATCAACGACGCGTCACGAATCCCGTCGGCGACGTCGTCACCTCGCGAATGAAATCGCTGACCTTCCTGAAAACCTTGGCATGGCGTCACGAAGACCCCGAGGTCAAAACCTTGGGCTAATTTCTGGCGGGAAACGTTTTTTTCGGATGACTCCAGTACATTACTGTACCTTGGGTGTTGCGTGGACTGTGGGATGTGTGGCGTGTGGTTGGGGCAATCTCGAGGAGACACACTGAACTGACGCCACTGTTTTGACACTCGTTCCTGCGGGATTGGCTTGTCGGTGTGGCTCTCAAGCAACCGCGTGACTCGCGCTATCGCAGCTATCAATGGTTGCTGGAGCCTGTGCGGCTCGGCAGCTCCCGGATCATTTATAGTTCCTGGCTTGATTAGGACAGGACATTATTGGCTGAGTCCTTAGTTACGGCTCTGTTGCTGGGACTGCTCTCTTCTCCCAGAGCGGAAGCCTTCACAGCGTTTTGTCAGTTCACTCTATACAGCCGGCCGTCTCTAACATAATTGATTGTAGATACACAAGCCCCAGCGAGCACGGCACTAATGGCTGACGTAGCCGACATTCCGGGAATGCTGACCAACAGCATGAGCGGGATGGGAGGCGCCGTAGATTTGCTAACGTCACTCGTGTTTCGATCTCCGGTCCAAGGCGGTTTTCCACCCGTCAACGGATTTCCACGCGCCGATACCTACGTGAACGGCGATGACGACGCAGCAGCAGCCTTCGGCGAGTTCAACCAAACCGACAATGGCACACATCCTTTTAGTCACATCGATTTTCAGAAGAAACCCGCGCTTTTCCTGGCGCAAAGCGTGCTCAATCTCGTGCTTCCCGCGTCGTCGCCGCTCTACCCCTTCATCATCACCCTCCTCTCCGCCTTTTCCCCCATTTTGGATGGCTTCTTACAACAATACCTCCACAACGATTTTTTTGCGGGCAGCGTGTGGCTCGTTGCGATCGGTCTGGTGGGCAGATACCTTCTAAGCTGGTTCCACTGGTCACTCGATTGGATGCGACACCGAGGAAATGTGACTGTAACGATCTCGCCAAACGACCAGGCGTTCACGTGGATTCAGGAATGGCTGAACGGATATAAGAAGCTGAGACCGTCCGAGTTTACCCTAAATCTGGAATGGCCGACGGATGATCAGGCAGATGGCGCAGACCGTAATAAGCCGATCGTCAAGTTCCTCCCCAAGCTGAAGGCAGCGCAGCACATCACATTCAACGGTGCCAAGGTAAGCTCTTCCTCATATAGGTGAGGTCGTGCAGATGTATTCTGACTGTTTGGCCTGGTTTTTTTTTTTTTTTTTTTCTAAGTCGCACATTTCTCTATTCTATGTGCTTCCCCTCACATTTCCGTCCTCCCTCTCCCCTCACCCTCCCTCCCTCCGCCAGGTGTCCTTTCAAATGCGCAACAGTCCGGGTCAGCTGTACCAAGGGGCTGAATTCGGCGACATTCTCCGCTCAATGAACCGCGAGGAGCTCGTCATCGAAGCGCCCTCTCAGGCCGTGCTCCAGGCAGTCGTGCAAGCCGCTACCGATGCAGCCATGGTGAAAAAAACCGAGAAGAAGATCACGTCTGTGAAGCGGTGGTGTGCAGACCAAGACTACTGGAAGTACATGGGTGAACGGGCGAGCCGGCCGGTTTCGACGGTGGTTCTGGATTGCGACACAGCAGCTCTTATCGAAGACGTGAAGCAGTTCTTAGCGAGTGCAAAGTGGTATACAGACCGGGGTATCCCTCACCGACGGGGGTATTTATTCCACGGGCCGCCGGGTTGCGGCAAGACTTCTCTAATCCAAGCCCTAGCAGGGGAGTTGGAGTTTGGAGTTGCGATAAACAGCCTGTCTTCCTCTGGTATGAGCGACGATTCCTTGAGCAGTGCTATGTGTGACTGTGACGAGCGGGACGTGATTGTACTGGAGGATATAGATGCAGCCTTCACAACCACTAGGGAGAAGAAAGAGGGGAGCCAGGCGAACGGGCTGTCGTTTTCTGGCCTGCTGAACGCGATTGATGGGATTGCCGCCCGGGAGAAGCAGATCGTGATCATGACGACGAATCATATCGAGCGATTGGATCCGGCGCTGATCCGCCCTGGGCGGGTCGACTTCCGGATGTTTCTCGGCCTCGCGAGCCGCAGCCAGATCGTCCGTCTGTTCCTGAGATTCTTCTCGGAAGCTTCTAAGAAAGAGGCGGAGCAGTTTGCAGGGTTGTTTGAGGAAGGAGAGTGACACCATATAGATTGGGAGTAAATGCGTTGTGTAACAAGTGTTAGAAGGGAAGGGGAGAGGAAGAATGGCAAGGAGAGGCAAGCCGATAGGGAAGGCATGGAGGAAGGAGAGGGAGTACTGGGAGTGTTTTTCAGAGGGTGTAAGCCCTCGGCATCAAGCAGGAAGGGAGCTGTGAGAAAGAGTTTTGGGACGTCTCAAAGCATGGCGGAAGGGGAGGGAGCATTGGATCGAACTTCAGGGGGTGTGATGTGAGCCCGCTCAGCATGAAGCACAAAAAAAGAGTGAGAAGGAGGGCATGACTGTGGGGAAAAGGGTGTGGAGGGTGAGAGTATGACGCTCAAGTGGGGATGCTGAGTGTGGGAGGACGGTGTAAGTGGGGTAATTGAGTGGGCGGCCCATGGCAGGGAAAATGCCTGTGTATGGCGAGTACAGATAGGGACAGACGAGGATGACAGTCAGCAGGGTGGATAGCCGCTGTATGGTGAATACAGTTTGGTACGATGATTTGAGCAAAGCACTGAGCGTACCACCAGAAGCTGTGGTACATGTGGTGCTACCTGGCTTGTTTTATTAGAGTCCCTTTTCAGTGTGCGAATGTACAGATGTATGTATATGTGTAGCGAGAAGTTGAGACACGGAGACAATCACCGTACTTGATTCACGATGTTCATTCACTCTCTCATTCTGTGACAGAACCTCAAAGTTCCCATATGCATTTGCAAATCCTCTGGGGCTGTTTAGAGAAGGGAGAGGTGAGCCTTGTGGCTCTGCAGGGTTTCTTCCTGCTGCATTGGGGCAGTGCTACTGTCTCTGCTGCCATGCCTCGACCTAGTGCCGTCAAGTGTAAACTGCATTGGGGCAGTGCTACTGCTGCTGCCATTGCTCAAGGACCAGCCTTTGTAGAGGGAGGGAGGGAGGAGAGGACGGAGAGGGAGTGGGAGGAAGGAGGGGAAGTATGGTAGAGGGAGAAGGAAGGGGAGAGGGAGGAGCGAAGGGAGAGGGGAAGAGGAGGGGTGAAGTGAAATGTAATGTGAGGTGAGAGAAATTTTGGTGGGATAAAAGCGAGGTCGAAGAGAGTGATACAGGGGGACGGGAAAGGAGGGTAGCCATGAGAAGTATACACCATAGCTGGACTACAGTAGCTGGATAGCACCGCTGTGCATTGCTCAGATGGTGGAAGGCATATTTGAGGCGCCTAGAAAATATATCACAGAAACTGGATAATGCCTCTATGCATAGCTCAAACAGTGCAAGGCGCCAGTTTTCTTACCACATGTGGTTATGATATCACTTTTGTTCACTTCCACATGACTACTTATGTGTGAAGAAGGAGGATTCACAGGCTGGCTGGAAGTGAACAGGAGAAAGATCAACTAAGAAGGACAAAGCTGGACAAACGATGAAATCAAAGAGAAGGGTACCAGAGACAAGCATTTATAAGAATGGATAAAGACACAAAAGGAGAGAAAAAAAAACACTACTTTCATCTACCACACATTATTCGTGGTGGTAGCTGCAAGCTTCACGCAGCAGCAGGGATTGGTGCTGATGCTGCTGCTCCTCTTGTTGCTGCTGCTGTAGCAGTAGCAGCAGCCGTGGCTGTGGCTGTACCTGCTGCTGCCTGCCCTGCTCCTCCCCTCGCTCCACCTGCACCTGCTGCCCCCCCCTCCCCTCCTGCTGCTTCTCCTGCTGCCTTACCCCCACGACGCTGGTGATTGCGCCGACGGTGATGATGCTGATGATGGTGGTGGGGGTGGGGGTGGGGGTTTGGATGAGGGTGCTTGCTGCTCTCGCTGCTGCTGTCAGGGGCACTGCCATGGCTGTTGAAACTCTCAATGCCATTGCCATTTGCCATGCTCCCTGGTTGTGTGCTAGCATCAGCTGTGCCGTTCCCGCCATTCTGATGCTGCTGGTGCAGCCGCTGCTGATGCTGGTGCGGGTGCTGGTGCTGGTGCTGGTTCTGCCTGTGCGGTCCCTGTTGCATGCAAGGAGAGTGGATGGAGGGGAGGCAACGAGTTGCGCAAGAGGTCGACACAAAAGAGAGACAGAGAGTCAGGCACAGGTATAAAAGCGGCTGGGCATCTGTGTAGTTTCCAAGGCCTGTGATAAACCAAAGCACACTGCATTGCCCCTCATACAGCATCGGGAACCAGCAGCACTTAGCACCTTGTAGCATCGCATTCCAATGCACAGACTCTCACAGCACCACGCAGCACCCCACGCCATCTCACCGCACCGCTTTGAACACCTACCTGTCGTCCGTGGCCTGCACTGCGAGGAGGCTTCTTCCTCCTAGGCGTCACCACTGTGAATCCATCCTCCCCCTCCCCTGTCCCCTCCCCTTTCTCTTCCCCCTTCTCTTCTCCCTTCTCTTCCCCGTTCCCTCCCACTTGCGCTCCCTCCTCGCCACCACCAGCAAGCAACCCACTCATCTGTCTCCCTGCTGCTGCATGCTCCCCACCCTCCACTGCCCCATGGCCCCTGCCCTGAGCTCTCCCCCCACCCCTCCCACTGCGCCGCCTCCCCTCTCTTGCTGCCCTCCCACCACCAGTACCATCAGTCCCCTGTTGGCCCCTCCCCAGCGTAGCCACAGCTGCTGCATGTGCCTCGCCATTCCCCAATATTCCCACACCATTAGAAACACCCGAGTCCCCTGAAACACCTGAAGCTCCTGAAACACCTGAGATGGCTGTGGGTCCAACAGCTAGCTCCTGATCAGGCTTCACAGGTGGCTGCTGGACTGATTTCGGGGCCCAGGTGGTTCGAGGGACAGAGGTCCCTCGCCTCCTCCCTGCGGCCCTCTGCCCGTCCTGCTCCTGCCCTGCCTTCTGCCCATGCGGCTGCTGCCCCTCCTGCTGCCCCTGCTGCTGCTGCCGCTGCCCCTGCTGCTGCCCCTGCTGCTGCTGCCGCTGCCCCTGCTGCTGCTGCTGCTGCTGTTGCTGACCCTCCTGTTGCTGCTGGTGCTGTGCCCTCCCCCTGTTTGCCCCATGCTTCGCATGCTGCTGCTGCTGCCACTGCCGATGATTCCTCTGCTGATGCTGCGAATGCTGCCGGTGGTTCTGCTGCTGCCGGCCCTCTCCCCTGCCTCCCCCCACCACCTCCTTATCCACAGCAGCAGCATCAGCTGCGGCCTCCGCCCTATCCTCTTCATCCATCAAATCAGCCATATCGGCCCAAGACATTGACATTTTCAGCCCCGGTTTCCCCGCCTGCAGTCCCTTCGACTGCTGAACCTTCCCTCCCTTCCTCTCGGTCGTCTCTGCCCTATCCTCCTCATCCATTACATCAGCCATATCGGCCCAGGACATCGACACTTTCATGCCAGGTTTCCCTGCCTCCTGCCTCCCCTTTGCCTGCTCACCTTTTCCTCCCTTCCCCTCCATCTTCTTACTCCCTCCATTCTTGTCATCCACATCACCCCTTTCTCCCTCTTTCACCTCCTCGCTCTCTGGATCACTGCCAGAGTCGCTCAGAGAGAGCATTGAAATTACCTGTCCATCCTCCTGCTCCTCCGTCTCCTCCTCAAGTACCTTCTCTACCTTATCGTTTTCAACCCCTTTCCCTTCCGCTACACCCCTCTCATTCTCGCAGGGCCGGGGAGGGTCACAACCACCATCCCCAGACACCACAGTCTCGGAAACACACACCTTCACAATCTCAATCACCTCCTCCTCACTCTCCCTTGCCTTCTCCTCATTAACGCTACCCTTCTCCTCATCCTTGCTACCCTTCTCCTCACTCTCCCTTACCTTCTCATTCCCCCTTCCCTTATCCTCCCTCTCGCCCTCTCTTGTCACATCCCTTTGTAGCACAATCCCATTCTCCTTAACCAGTGCTGGCTCTTCCTTTCCATTCTCGTTCGCTTCCTTACCCTCCGCCCCCACTTGCTCGCTCTTCCCCTTGCGCTCCCACTGCTGCTCGTGCTTGCCCCCCTTGCTCTGTTTCCCTCTCTTGCCGTGTGTCTTTGCCTTCTCCCCACTTCCTACCTTCCCAGCAGCCCCACCAGCAGCACCACCAGCAGCCCCACCAGCAGCCCCACCAGCAACACCACCAGCAGTCCCCTCCCCAGCCATCCCGTTACCAGGACCTACACCACCATTAAGCACCGCTCTCCACCCCACCACCTTTGCTCCTCCCGTTCCTCCTGCTGCTTCTGCCACCACTGCTGCTCCTGCTGCCACTGCGGATTGTGAGTTAGCAGGATGGGCTGCTGCAGCAGCTGGCCCAAGGGCACCCCAGTTCTTTCCTGGAACGAACTCGAGAGCGTGAGGATTCATGGGCTTAATAGCTGGAGCAGGTGTGGGGGCTGTGGCGGCAGGGGATGTGGGGGCAGTAGCAGCAGGAGTGGATGGTGTGATGGTGGTGGGAGCTGATGGCAGGGTGAGTGCGGATGGTGGGGTGAGTGCAGATGGTGGGGCAGTGGGTTGGTATGGTGTGGCATGTGCGCTCAAGCCCACGCCAGCAGGTGCTGCCACTGCTTCAGCTGCTGCTGCAGCTGGGGTCGCTGGCTCTGCTGCTTCTGATTCTGCCACTGCTGCCACTTTTGTTGATGCTGATGGTGGTGCCGCAGCAAGTGCATCAGAATCCAAGCATGCATCCACCGCAGGTGCTGCTACGTCTGCAGGTGCTGCCACAGCTTCAGGTGCTGCCACAGCTTCAGGTGCTGCCACAGCTTCAGGTGCTGCTAAATGCACAGGAACTGCTACAGTCGCTAGTGCAGCTGATTCCTCAGGCTCAGGCGCTGCTATAACCCCAGGTGCTGCCTCAGGTGCAATTGCAGCTTCAATTGCTTCCTCAGAGGTTGCCATAACCTCAGGTTCTTTCTCGGGTGCAGTTAGAGCCTCAGGTGCTTCCTCAGGTGCAGTTACAGCCTCCGGTGCCGCAGAATCTGCTGAGACGCCACTATGGGCAGCCAAAGCAGCAGGGTCAGTACTGGCAGCACCGTCAGATACCTCACTCTCTGCAGCTGCAGCAGCAGGAGCAGGAGCAGCAGAAGAGGGCAGAGGAGGGAAATCGTCCCCAGAGAGCATCAGCTTGGCATCAGAGACGGCTGGTGCTGGAGCAGCAGGAGCAGCAGCAGCGGCAGGAGAGGCAGATGGATCAGCAACGGCGGAAGCCATAACCACAGCCGGAGCATGTGCACCCACAGGCAGAGGCCCGCCCACAGGCATCAGCACCCCCCCAGGCACAGGCACTCCCAGTGGCATGTGCACAGGCATGTGTACAGGCATGTACACTGGCATAGCAGGCATAGCAGGCATAGCAGGTATGGTAGGTATGCTAGGTGCGCCTCCCATGGCTGCACCAGAACCTGCAGCAGCAGCAGCAGCGGCGGCGGCAGCTGTAGCGGCTGCATTGCGCAGGAACCTGGGTGGGATGAATGCCGGGCGGTTGTAGCGGTGGCTGTAGCGTTGCTGCTGCTGCTGCTGCTGCTGCTGGCTGTACTGCTGCAGGTCTTGCGGCTGCTGCTGCTGCTGCTGCAGTTGGTACGAGTGGACATGAGAGTGAGGGTGTGGGTGGGCCTGTGGGTGGTAATAATAAGGGTGATGAGGGTATGGCATGGGGTAGTGACCTGGTGGTGGTGCCATGTACCCATGTGGAGGGGCCATCATTGGATGCATGGGGACTGGAATCAACGGCTGTAGCACCGGTCCAGCTGCCACTGGCGCTGCTGCTACAGCTGCTGCTGTTACAGGCGCTCCTGCTGCAGGAGCTGTTGCTACAGCTGCTGCTGCAGCCTCTCCTGCGACAGGTGCTGCTGCCACAGTCTCTGCTGTTGGTTCCTCTGATCCGGCTGGTGCTGCTACTGGAGCTGCTGAAACAGCTGGTGCAGGGATATCTGCGGAATCTACAGCAGCAGGGGGAGAAGCAGCCTCACTATTACCTGGTTCATTACTGGATAAAGCAGCACTAGAGGTCGAAGCAGCCGACGCAGGCTCAATCGTGGCGGCAGGTGCAATCGAATGGGAGACAGCGGAAATCACGGTTGCATTGGTTAATGTAGTGGTGGTGATGGGTCCAGCAGCAGGTTGGAAAGGTGAAGCCAATGGGGAGAGCTTGGAGGGGCTGTGAGCTGAAGCTGACGTGGCAGAGTTAGCCGCTGTGACTGCTGCACTGCTGAAACCTGTGCTGCTGCCTGCTGCAGTGCTACTGCTGCTGTTGGCAGTGCTGCTGGTGTTGGTGTTGGTGCTGGTGGGGTTGGGATCAGTCGTTTTTCCACTTGAGGGTGCAACAGCGGAATCAGCAGGAGCACCAGGAGCAGCCGCCGCAGGAGCAGCAGTAGTGGCAGCAGTAGCAGTCGCCTTCCCTACCACCCCCACCCCCGCTGCCACTTCCTCTCCCACTGGTTTCTTCCCAGCCAAACCACCGCTCTCCTCAGCTTGACTTGTCTTCCCTCCCACCTGCTCCGCTTGCTGCGTCCTCCCTGTCGTTCCAGCGGTCTTGTCGCCACTGGTCGTACCGACAGCAGTGCTTGTAGCGACAGCAGCAGGGATTTTACTGTTGGCAGCCGCATCAGAACCTGCAGCACAACTGGGGCTCGTGCTAGTGACTGCTCCAGAGCTGCCTCTGGCTGCTGTAGCTGCTACAGGTGCGACAGCTGCTACAGCTGTTGCTGGGTTGTCACTGCTTCCACTGCTCGTACCTCCTGCAGTGGTCGCACTGGCAGGGCCATTCTCATCTGTCGCTGAAACTCCAGCCGCAGATTCTGGCACCGCTGGTGCAGCAGCCAATGGCGTTTTGCCAGGTGGCAGAAGAGCGATCTCCTTCCAGGAGCGGGTCATGGGGCCTGGTGGCGGGACAGGGGCCCTCTTGGGAGCTGCAGTGGCGGCAGTGGCTGTAGCAGCTACCATGGCTGTAGCAGCTGTAGTGGCTGTAGTGGCTGCAGTGGCTGTAGCAGCTGTAGCATCCATAGCATCTGTAGCAGGTTTAGCAGCTGCAGTTACCGCGGTGGCTGCAGAAGGAACTGTTGCAGCAGTAGGGGCAGTGATAGGAGGAGTTGTGGCCGTGACACGAGCTGTAGCAGCAGGAGCAGCAGTCGGAGTAGCAGCAGGAATGGCTGAAGCTGCAGCAGGAGCAGCCTTAGCAGGAGTAGAAGCAGGAGAAACGGCAGGAACAGCAGAAGCGCCAGGACCGGCAGCAGCAGCATCACCAGTAGGAGTAGCCGCAGCAGCAGCGGCAGCAGAATTGGCAGCCAAAGCAGGTAACTTGGAGCCTGCACTCAGACCCCATGCATTCTTCCTCTCACCCTCTCGCACAGGTGGTGCTAGGGCCACGGCCGTGGGGTTCACATCCCCAGCTGCAGCACCACTGCCAGCAGCTGCAGCAGCAGCAGCAGCAGCAGCAGCAGCAGCAGCAGCCACATCAGCAACGTTGGCAGCAGCTGCAGCATTGGAAGGAGCAGCTCCAGGGGCAGGAGTGACAGGCGAAATGCCAGGACCTACCTTCTGCCTGCTACTCTCCCCTGCCACGCTCCCTCCCCCTCCTACTCCTGCTGCTGCTGTTGCTGCTCCTCCTGCTGCCGATGTTGCTGCTGCCTGCACTAACTGCTTGGGACCAGCCCGTTTGCCCCTAGCATCCCCTCCCCTTACCACACCCCTACTAGCTGCCTTAACCCCCCCAACGCCCGTCCCTCCTGCTCCTGCTCCAGCTGCTCCAGTAGCAGCAGCTGCCGCCTTGCGCTGGTGGCTGTGCCTGTGAGCGCGGCTGCAAGCTGTCTGCCATCCGTCAGAGTCATCCCCCTCTTCTGCAGGCCCAGATGTTGCTGCAGTGGCTGCAGCACCAGCAGCTGCAACTGCGGTTGCTGCAGCCCCAGCAGCAGCAGAAGCGGAGGCAGGTGCTGAAGCAGCAGCAGCAGCAAACGAAGGAGCGTGGGGAGCAACAGCAGCAGCAGCAGCAGCAGCAGCAGCTGCTGCTGCTTCTGCTTCTGCTTCACCACTGAGAAGCGGCCTTGACCCGTTGTCTACTTGTGCAGCAGCTGCTACTGCTTGTGCTGCTGCAGGAGCAGGGACACTGTCAGTGACCTCGTTATTAGCACCTCCAGAGGCAGGAACTTCGCCAGTAGAAGCCTCAACCAGTCCTGGGCTGGTTTTGTCTGCTGTTTCTTCTCCACCGGTGGCTGCTGCTATGAGGCGATCGCCCTTGGACTGAAGACAAGATGAGAGGGGAGAACGGGGGGAGGGGGAAAAAGAGGGGAATGAAGTGGTGGAAGGTTCAATCAGTCCTGTGCTCGTTTTCTCTGCTTTTTCTTCTCCACCGGTGGCTGTGTTGTGTGGAGCTGCTGCTATGAGGCGATCGCCCTTGGACTGAAAGACACGATGAGAGGGGGGAGGGGGAAACGAAGGAAGCGGAATGGGGGAAAGGGGGAAATGGGGGAGCAGGGGAGACGGAAGTGGAGGGGGAGAGGAGGAAGTGAGGGAAAAGGGGTGGAGGGGAAGAGGAGGAAGTGAGGGAAAAGGGGTGGAGGAGGGATTGTGGGGGAAGGATGGGGAGGAGGGGAAAAAAAGGGAGGGAGTGATCACCAAGGCAAGGACCGTAGGGGAGGCAGCGGAGGAGATCACCAAGGCAACATAACTCTTCAAGGATAAAGAATAAGCAAAAATAAGCATGTTAAGCTCTGCATACACGTCAAGGCACAAGCATTTTATTGTACCTTGAGCAAGGGGCGTCAGTGCCTCGTGTACGTACCTTGAGCAAGGGGCGTCGGCCCCGCTTGCGCATGATCTCCTGAATCACCTCCCTCCGCCCCTGCTCCTCGTCGTTGATGAATGAGAGCAGGTCCGACACGCTGGGCGGTGATGGGAAGGGAAAGAGAGAGAAAGCAAGAGGGGGTGATTCTTAGGAAAGGTAAGACGCCCCCCCTTGCCCCTGCTTCTCGTTGTTGATGAAGGAGAGCAGGTCCGACACGCTGGATGGTGATGGGGAGGAGGAAGAAGAGAAAGAAAGAAAGAGAGAGGAAAGGAGAAGAATGAGGGGGTGATGAATAGATAAGGTTAGACAGCCGCCCCTGCTCCTTGTTGTTGATGAAGGAGAGCAGGTCCGACATGCTGGGTGGTGATGGGGAGGAGGAAGAAGAGAAAGAAAGAAAGAGAGAGGAAAGGAGAAGAATGAGGGGGTGATGAATAGATAAGGTTAGACAGCCGCCCCTGCTCCTTGTTGTTGATGAATGAGAGCAGGTCCGACACGCTGGGTGGTGATGGGGAGGAGGAAGAAGAGAAAGAAAGAAAGAGAGAGGAAAGGAGAAGAATGAGGGGGTGATGAATAGATAAGGTTAGACAGCCGCCCCTGCTCCTTGTTGTTGATGAATGAGAGCAGGTCCGACATGCTGGGTGGTGATGGGGAGAAGATAAAAGGGGAAGAAAGAGGGGGAAAGAGAGGTGAGAGGGGATGAGAGGTGTGAGGCGAAGGAGGTGAGAGGGGAAGAGAAGGAAAGTAGGGACTCTTGCTCTCATGCGCATGCGTCTCACATCAGCTGTCTCACCTGAGGTGCCCTTTAGATGCAGTGGTGGCGTCTGGCTTGGGCGTGCCTGTGCGGGCAGCCTGCCTCCTGTTGCCTCTGCCCTCACGATAGTAACCCATCAACTCAGCTCAGCACAACCACTTCTCACCTGAGGTGCCCTTTAGATGCAGTGGTGGCGTCTGGCTTGGCCATGCCTGTGCGGGCAGCCTGCCTCCTGTTGCGCTGAAGTCAGAAACATATCAACGCTTAGTGAAGAGCTCCGACTTTACAGAACCCTACGCGAATCAGCTAGGATTTTACTACAACTGTTTTCTCCTTGGCTAAACCTTCTCCTTAGAAACTGCTGCTCGCTGGAATGTCTGAACATGTGCGGGCAGCCTGCCTCCTGTTGCGCTGAAGTCAGAAACATATCAACGCATCACCCCCCGCTGTCTCACCTGAGGTGCCCTTTCGACGTGATGGTGGCGTCTGGCTTGGGCGTGCCTGTGCGGGCAGCCTCCTGCTGCTCTCATGTCAGTGCCTTATCAGCTCAGCGCCCCCCTCTCACCCTCTCCTCTCTCTCACCTGAGGTGCCCTTTCGACGCAATGGTGGCGTCTGGCTTGGGCGTGCCTGTGCGGGCAGCCTCCTGCTGCTCCGCTGCCTTGCTCTCAAAGTAATCCAGCCATGCCGCCGCGTCCTGGGAGAGTGGGGGGGAGGGGGGCATTATAGAGAGAGGTTGAGGGGTTTTTGAGAGATGAGGCTGTTCCGCTGCCTTGCTCTCACCAGCCATGCCGCCGCGTTCTGAGAAGGGGGAGGGAGGGAGGGGGGGGGAGGGGGGAGAGAAGGGGAGGGTGAGAGTGAGGGTGAGAGGTTCGTAAGAGATGAGGCTGACGCTTGCTGCCTTTGCTTTCAACTCAAACTACTCCAGCCATGCGGCCGTGTCCATAAAAAAAGCACCTCATATCGGTGCTCTCCCATTCACATGAACAAACGGCCGAGCCAGGAGACCAAAGGGGACAACTCACCAACGTCCTGAGATCATCAGGGACGAGCTTCGCCTGCAGAATGTTCAGCATGGTCTGCCTTCTGAGGCGCCTGAAAAATCTTCCTGACTCACCAGGGTTCTCAGGTCGTCTGGGCCCAGTTTCGCCTGCAGGATGTTGAGCGTGGTCTGCTCGTGCTGCACTGACAGCGCGTACGCGTCCATGAGAGAGAGCGCGATGGCGATTGCGTGATAACTCGCGGCCGTCTGGATGTGGTCGGGGCCCAGCAGGCGGTGGTTGCAGCGCAGCGCGCGGTGCAGGTAGCGCAGGGCGAGGTGGAGCTGGGAGAGGCCGTGCAGCATCATGGCCATGTTGATGTATGTGGCCGCGCTGTTGGGGTGCTCCGAGCCGCATGTGAGGTGCAGCAGGTACAGCGCCCGCTGCACGTACCTGGGAGGGAGAGGGGAGGAGAGGAGGTATGGGGGGGAGGGAGGAGGGAGGAAGGAGGAGGGAGGGAGGGGAGAGGAGGGAGGATCAGGGAAGAGAGGAGAGAAGAGTGAGGGGGAGCACAGGGCAAGGAGGTGCAGGTAGCGCAGGGCGAGGGGGAGGTGGGAGAGGCCGTGCAGCATCATGGCCATGTTGATGTATGTGGCCGCGCTGTTGGGGTGCTCTGAGCCGCACGTCAGGTGCAGCAGGTACAGCGCTCGCTGCACGTACCTGGGGGGGGGAGGGGGTGGAAGGGGGATGGGGGAAAGGGAGGAGGGAGGAGGTAAGGCACCCACCCACCGCACGAACAGCTGAGGATATGAAGCTACCCACCTCACCCCACTACACACACCCACCTTATAACCAAGTTGCTGCAAGAAAATCACCTGATGGCCAGCTCTGTGTGCTGAAGGCGGTAGTAAAACACCGCCAGGTCGCCGTAGCACTTCATGGTGTCCGGGTGGTCCAGCCCCAGCTCCCTCGCTGACTGCGGTACCTCCGAGAGAGAGCATATGTATCACATCACATGCATGCACTGGGTACACACACCCACCTGATGGCCAGCTCTGTGTGCTGAAGGCGGTAGTAAAACACCGCCAGGTCGCCATGGCTCTTCATGGTTTCGGGGTGGTCCAGCCCCAGCTATAACCACGACCTAGGTACCCGAGCCGAGAGCACATGCATCACATGCATGCACTGTGCGTGCAGTCAAGGCAACCTAATGGCACCCACCTTATTGCGAGTTCCGTGTGCTGCAATCGATAGTAGAACACAGCCAGGTCGCCGTAGCTCTTCATGGTGTCAGGGTGGTCCAGCCCCAGCTCTCTCTCGTTGATGTCGAGAGCGCGCTGCTGGTAGATGGTGGCCTGGTTGAAGTCCCCTGTGTGATACAGCACCACCGCCAGCAGGCTGTACGCCCCTGCTGTCATGCGGTGATACGCCCCACACACTGAGATGAGCTTTGTCAGGGCCTGCCATTGTGTGTGAGGGAGGGAGAGCAGGATAGAGGGCATGAGGGAGGGCAGGAGGGACGGAAGGAGAGGATTGGTGGTGGCCTGGTTAAAGTCCCCTGTGTGGTACAGCACCACCGCCAGCAGGCTGTACGCCCCTGCTGTCATGCGGTGGTACGCCCCACACACCGCTATCAACTTCGCTAGGGCCTGCAAGTTGTGTGTGGGGGAGGGGAGGCACAGGGGAGGCAAGATGGAAGACAGGAGGGAGGGCAGGAGGGAAGGTAGGGGGGAGGCAGGGAGGGAGGGCAGGAGAGGGTGGGTAGATGGTGGCCTGGTTGAAGTCCCCTGTGTGGTACAGCACCACTGCCAGCAGGCTGTACGCCCCTGCTGTCATGCGGTGATACGCCCCACACACCGCTATCAGCTTCGCTAGGGCCTGGCATTATACGTGGGAGAGGGAAAGCAGGAGAGAAAGTAAGAGAGGATTGGTGGAGGCCGCTGTGATGTGATGCTCCTCTCCTCTGTGTGGTACAGCAGGACTGGTAGAAAGCTGCAGGCCCCTGCATTCATTCACGGGAAATGAGATGACTTTTGAGTCCACTCACAAGTCGAGACGTCTCAAAAACACTCGCATTTCACGCAGGACTGCTAGAAAGCTGCAGGCCCTTGCCTTACCCAGCTTTGAAGTCTCCAGCAGCCACCCCACATCGTCTACCACTGTCACCTCGTCTCGTCCAGCCCTTTCATCCACTTCTCACCGATTTCCCCTACCTTGGTACCGCAAGAAACCGCTTCGTCAAGCTTGCCCTTGTCGAGAGCTGCCTTGGACGCCTCAAGCAGTGTGCGACCATCAGCTGACGTGCACAGCACGTGCTGCAGTGAGGGGATGATTTGATTGGAAGAGGGTTTGGAAGACAATCGAAACGGGAAATGCTGAGTGTGTGCAGGCATCAGCTGACGTGCACAGCACGTGCTGCAGTGTGGGGATGGATGGGGGAGGGTTTGGGGGATTGTTGATGGTTCAGGGAGAGTTTGGGGAGGTTGAGTGCTGAACAGTGAGTGCGGGCATCAGCTGACGTGCACAGCAGGTGCTGCAGTGAATGGATGGCTTGGTTGGAGGAGGGTTTGGGGAGCGTCTGGAAAATTAAAGGAAGAAGATTGAGGCTGGCTAGTAAGCGGGGAGGTAGAAGGAAGGGTATGCGGAAATGGAAGGCACAGGGACTGAGAGATGAAAACAAAAAATGGAGAAAGCGTGGGGAGAATGTAGCCCCCCACTGCTGCTTGGAGGGGAGTGTAGTAAGAAGAGGAGCTGACCTTGAGAACAGGAACCATGGAGACGATGTCAGTGGCGTGGAAGGGCGTGGGAGAATTTCTGAGGCACCTTCACACGTGCCACTAGGAGGTGAGTACTAGAATAGGGGCTGACCTTGAGAACAGGAACCATGGAGACGATGTCAGTGGCGTGGAAGGGCGTGGGAGAATTTCTGAGGCACCTTCACACGTGCCACTAGGAGGTGAGTACTAGAATAGGGGCTGACCTTGAGAACAGGCACCATGGAGACGATGTCAGTGGCGTGGAAGGGCGTGGGCGAGTTGAAGTCGTACGACTTGGGAGAGATCTCAATGCCCACCTGGGAGAAGAGGAGAGGGAGAGGGGAGGGAGAAGGGAAAGGGGGCGGATGGGGGAGGGTTTGGGGAAGGAGAAGAGAAGTAGCATGAAAGGTGTGTACGGGGGTGAGGGTAGGTTTTGAGATCGCGAGGGGAGGGTGGATCGAATGAAAGCTAACAGGGAGAGTGGAATGTAGAGAGTGTGAGAGATGTTGAGAGAGAAGGAGCAGAGGCTGAAGCAGCAGGCGGACAAGAGACTCCGCCCGGCCACATTGAGGCCGAGCGTTCTGAGCTTAGCGCCGACCCACCTTGAGGCCGAGCGTTCTGAGCTTAGCGCCGACCCACCTTGAGGCCGAGCGTTCTGAGCTTAGCGCCGACCCACCTTGAGGCCGAGCGTTCTGAGCTTAGCGCCGACCCACCTTGAGGCCGAGCGTTCTGAGCTTAGCGCCGACCCACCTTGAGGCCGAGCGTTCTGAGCTTAGCGCCGACCCACCTTGAGGCCGAGCGTTCTGAGCTTAGCGCCGACCCACCTTGAGGCCGAGCGTTCTGAGTTTAGCGCCGACCCACCTTGAGGCCGAGCGTTCTGAGCTTAGCGCCGACCCACCTTGAGGCCGAGCGCTCGGAGCAGCGAGAGCATGCGCAGACCTGACCTGCTAGCGCCTCATTGTCGAGGTCAAAGCCGAACCGCACACGCGCAAACACACACACCCACCCGACAACACAATGTACCTCCCAGCTGCGGGAGAAGCAGGACTGCCAGCTCCTAGGGACCCACCTTGTTTTCGAGTCATCTCAAAATCCGCCAGCTCCTAGAAACCCACCTTGTTTTCGAGTCAACTCAAAAACCGCCAGCTCCTAGGGACCCACCTTGAGGCAGAGCGCTCTGAGCAGCGAGAGCATGCGCAGACCTGCCAGCGCCTCATCGTCTAGGTCGAAGCCAAACCGCACTCGCGCAAACACACGCACCCACCCGACAACACAATGTACCTCCCAGCTGCGGGAGAGAACTGCCAGCGCCTAGAAACCCACCTTAAGGCAGAGAGCTCTGAGCAGCGAGAGCATGCGCAGACTCGCCAGCGCCTCATCGTCTAGGTCGAAGCCAAACCGCACTCGTGCAAACACACGCACCCACCGCCACACCATGCCTCCCAGCGACGCCTCCGCATCCCCCGCTCCCTTGTCCTCCCCCTTGCTACCGTCATTGTTAGAGAACGCAGTTGCGCCCTTTTTATGCACGGACGACCCAAAGATGGCATTGAAAGTAGCAGCTATGCTGGCTGCTACCAAGGAACTGGAGGCACCAGCACCAGCAGAAGCAGCAGCAGGTGCAGCGGCAGCAGTGGAGAGTGCAGTGGTGGTGACCACTGCTTGGATAGCGTGCTTTAATGCCCGCGCCACCATCTCATGTACAGCCAAGGACCGCACATGGGGCAGCTTGTCTGCTAGTGCAGCCTGGGGCGGCACGGGAGGTGGAGACATTGGAGCAGATTTGGGGGGTGAGGGAGGAGAGGGGGAGAGTGAGGAGGACCGACAAGGCAGAGGAGCAAGGAGAATGCGAGGGACACGGCCTTGGCTGATCCATAGCCAATGCACTAGAGGGCCGCAGGGCATATGGCCAATAAGCCAGTGAGCTTGCAGTAAAGCAGGCAGGCGATACTAGCCACTTTGCTAAGGGATCGCATGCGCATGCCACGAGTGTGCATGGAGTCAGCGTGCATGCGATTATCCACTGTAAAGGAGGGGGAGTAACGTAAGCAGCAAAAGCGCAACACAGCATGTGGACGGGAGGGGAGTGCGGGCTACTGACCACTTTGCCAAGCGATCGCATGCGCAGGACAGGAGTGTGCATGGAGTCAGTGAGTGCGTGACCGTCCACAAGGGGGAGGGAGGCGGTGTAATGTAATCAGCAACAGCACAGCACAGCATGTGGTCTGGAAAGGAGTGCGGGCTACTGACCACTTTGCCGAGAGATCGCATGCGCAGGCCGCGGGTGTGCATGAAATCAGTGAGCGTGCGCCCATCGACTGGAGAGAGCTCCAGCGAGGCGAAGTCAGAGACCTTGAGAGGGCGCACAGGAGAGGCGGGGCGAGGGGGGAGAGGGGGGATGGAGTGGAGCAAAGAGATAAGGAGGCTGTTTGAAGCTCGCGGGTCAGTGAGCGTGCAACCATCCACAGGGGCGAGGTCCAAAAGGGCGAAGTCAGCGACCTTAAGAGGGCACACTGGAGAGGCAGGGAGAGGGGGGGGAGAGGAATTAAGAGAAGTGTGCATTCAAAGCTCGCCTTTAAAGGAAAACCAGGTGCTTGCGGCAATAGGACGCGTGTTTCCAGCTCTACAAATCATTATTGCGTATAGGGTGGATTCAAAACGCTTACCAGCTTAGAGAGGGCAGTGTTCCTGTAGAAGTCCCGCGCTCCCTGCTTGAGCGCCTGGACGGTCTGTGGACAACGGTACAGGGAAGGGGGAACTTTTAAAACGTGCCACGACTGGAAGGTGAAAGAGAAAGGAGAATGCTAAAGAACGCCAACGGGCTAGAGGGCAGCTGTGGGTCAATGGGTTGGAGGGCAGAGATAGTTCCAAGCACGTTGTGCGTGCCACGCAGCATGCAGCCACTCCATCCGGAGCCACAGAGCCCAGAGACGAGGCTGGCTCCTTGAGCTTCCCACACCTTTTCTCGGCCAGCAGCTGCAGCAGCTCTCCCCGTTTGTGGGACATCTAAAGAAAATATATCATCACGCTCAGGACAGAGGAAGGCAGCAGGGCGGCTCACCATAGCATGCAGCCCCACGTCCGCCTTCTTGAGCTTCTCATACTTGCTCTCACCCAGCAACTCCAGCAGCTCATCCCCTTCCCTGCCTGCTGCCAAGGGCTCCTCTTGCATCCCAACTGGTGCCTCCCCCTCACCCGCACCAGCAGTCGCAGGGAGAACAGCTCCTGTAGTGGAAGCAGACGTGTTAGCATCAGCAGTAGTGGCAGCTGCAGCTGCAGCTGCAGCACCTGCTCCTGCCTCTGCTGCAACACTCCCACTCTTTGCTCCCTCCGCTCCCCCCTCTTTTCCTCCACTACCTGCCTTCACACCGTCATCCTTCTCCTTGACTTCTCCCCCCTGAGCCCCACCTGCTGTATCCTTCTTCTCACCACTCTCTGCGCTCTTCTCCTCCTCCTTGGGTGGGTTCTGCAGGTGCTGCACCCAGCACGCCCCCAGCTCCCACCTCAGAATACCATCCCCAAACACATCCTCCTCTTCCTCCTCCCCCTCCCCCCCCCTCCTTCTCCTCCCCCTCCTTCACACCCTTTTTCTCCGCCTCACCCACTTGTACTTTTTTCGCCTCCCCAGCCGCCTCTGCCGCTGCTCCGTCCCCCACCCCCATCACCCCTACACCCTTTTCACCCGTTGCACCCTCTTCGCCAACTTCTGTGGCCCCAGCTGCCTCACCCTTCACCACCATCACCCCTTCCTCCACTCCCTTCCCTCCCTCCGCCACTACATCCTGCCCCTTTACAAGCTTCTCCGCTAAGGCACTCTTCCTAGCCATCCGCTGCCTCTCCTGGGCTTCCTCCTCCTGCTGCAGACGGCCCAGCCCAATAGACAGCACCTGACGCAGAGTTGCAGCAGCAGCAGCAGCTGGAGCAGGAGAAGTGGCGGGGACACTCGTGGTAGTGTTGCTTGTGGTGGTGCTGCTCGATGCAGGGCTACGTGTTGGGGCATGCAGGGGGATCCGAAGGCTGCAGCACAAGAGGAGGAGATTGGCGGTTCACAGGTGACTGACTGACCGATAACGTGTGTGTGCTGTGAGAGGTTTACATTGGTGAGCCATGAAGCAAGTGCAGGTTGAGAGCGTTCAAGTCTGTACGAGCTAGCTATTAACGAATATGAGGTGCATTTGTGGAACACGGCGACTGTTGGGATATGGGCATGCCAATGAGACGAGGAAGCAGGGTGGCAAATATGTGTACAGGGATGCTATGGGAGGGGCCCTTGAGTATTCCAAGATACACAGCAACAATCTTGATTATTTAAACCCTACTTTTTGTGCCTGATTTTGAATATTATCAGGCTTGCACCATGCCTCACCTGTTGGCGTTCAGTGCATTGGCGCCTGCTTCCTCCTGCTCTGGAACATCCAGCTCCAACAACCTCTCCTCCCCTTCCTTCTCCTCCTTCCGTTCCTCCTCCCTTTCAGACTTTCGCTCCGCCACCCTCTCTCTCTCCCTTGCACGTACCCCACCACCTCCTTCGCCAGCCCCTTTCTCCTCCCCATCCTCTGCCAATCCGCCCGTCCTGCCCTCCTTGCCATCTCTATCCGCCTTCTTCTCTCGCAGCGCCTGCAGCTGCGCCTGGAGCGTCTGGGCGCGAGCAGGGGCGTCAGGGACGGTCACTCGCGCTGTGAGGCCGTGCAAGTGAACAATGACTGTGCCCAGGGACTCTAGGTCCTGTGTGGGTGGGGGAACGGCATAGAGGGGGAGAGAGGAGAGTATGGTAGCTGGACGGTGGAGGAGGAGAGAGTATTCCGAAGCACTGTCATTTGAACAGTGAGGTCTTGCAGGTGAATGATGACTGTGCCCAGGGATTCTAGGTCCAGTGTTGTTTGTGGGGAGGGGAGAGGAAAACGGACAGTGAGGGATGAGGGTGTTGCGAGCATGGATGAGAGAGGCACAAAGGCTGACACTGGTGGGACGTCAGAACTCATGGTCTTGGACCGCCTGGAGCTGCCTCTGATGGTTCGATCTCAGGGAACCACAATGGGCGTTTATGCGTAAAACCGAGCCGAGGCAGTGTGCTTTGTTTATTGTTGCGAGCATGGATGGGAGAGGCAGAAAGGCTGACACTGGTGGGAGACGTCAGAACTCAGGACTGCAACTCGGGTTGTGAGGTCAGTCAGGGGTTGCACAGAAATAAAAAAGTGTTGGGAGATGTTGGCTATGAGGGGAGTGAAGGGATTTGAGAGAGGGTCAACGGGCTCAGGGTAGAAAAGGGAGCCCACTCACATGCACTGCCGTGCTCTCATCAGCAGAAATCCCCTTCAAAAGGCTCTTCGTTACCATGCACTCCTTCTCCTCCTCCCTCTCCCCCTCCGCCACCCTCCTCCACCCCACCTCCACTTTCGACAGCACCTTCCCACTCGGGTCCTCCTCGCCCTTCATTACAGTCACACGCATCCCCCCCTGCTGCTCCACCAGCAGAAGCCCTTTTTCCACCGCTGCTACTGAGCCTGGCAATCCAGGCTCGGCAGAAGCCCGACTCAGCGACACGTCCTCGGCTGGGGTACCCGTGACGGTCCCAGCAGCTGCTGCCGCCCCCCCAGAAGCTGCTGCCGCCGCCGCCGCAGCAGCAGTGTTGATGGCAGTGACGGCTTTGCGAATTGCCGTGTCCACAAAGACGGAATGCAGGAGGAACGCCTTGCGATCCCTCACCACACGCTCCTCAGGAGTGTCACAGGGGAGGAGAGAGAGCACTGCAAAGTCCCTCGCCCAGTCCCTGCTTGCTACTGCCCTCGCCCTTGAGTTCGTTTCCCTTCTCTCCTGCTCCTCTTGTTCCTCCTGCTCCTCCTGCCAGCCATGACCGCCACCGTTCCCTCCCCAAGCATCATCTTCCATGGGGAGCTGGGGGAAGGAGGATGGATTGGCAGCCGCAAGCGGAGGGACAACCCATGTGTTGGACCTGAAACCGTAGGGTGTGTTGCCAAACTGCCACGGAGAGGAAAAGCAAAAGATGGGCGGGATGAAACTTGATTAGCAGTCCTACTCAGCACATAAAAACAGAAGCGATGTTTGTGAAGCAAACAGCTATGCACAAATTGTCAACATGGTACTAGTGCTGGGAAACAAACCAGGTACTAGTACCTTGTTTCTTTCCAGAAAGAGAGCAAGCAAGTCGTCATAGGCCTGCGACACAGGAAGGAAGAGAGGGAAGTAGAGAGTTCAATAAAGACAGGGCTTACACTGGACAACAGGGCCTTATATAGGAGTTCGAACATTCATCTGGTTCGTACAACAATGCCATATTACGAACAGCCACCGAGGCACTCACTCGTCACACAGGCAACGTGAATCCTGCAGCAGCTCTGAGCCTTTGCCCACCTTGGCGAAGGGCTTGCTCATGAGGCGCAGAAGGCCCACGAGTGTGGGTGCGTGCAGCCTGTTCCTGGGGCACAGGAATCCCTGGGTGGTGGCAACCACCAGCACCGTCTTGCCCGTGCACAGCCGCACCTGCAGTCGGCTCGGCAGCAAGCAGGAAACATTATATTTTAGTCAACTAAACAATGAGGCACAGAAGGCCCACGAGTGTGGGCGCGTGCAGCCTGTTCCTGGGACACAAGAACCCCTGTGTGGTCGCAACCACCAGCACTTTCTTGCCTGTGCACAGCCGCACCTGCAGTTGGCAACATGCAAGAGGGGAGATTCTACAATCAACTCAAAAAAAAAAAAGGCCCACGAGCGTGGGTGCGTGCAGCCTATTCCTGGGGCACAGGAATCCCTGGGTGGTGGCAACCACCAGCACTGTCTTGCCTGTGCACAGCCGCACCTGCAGTTGGCAACATGCAAGAGGGGAGATTCTACAATCAACTCAAAAAAAAAAAAAGGCCCACGAGTGTGGGCGCGTGCAGCCTGTTCCTGGGGCACAGGAATCCCTGGGTGGTGGCAACCACCAGCACCGTCTTCCCCGTGCACAGCCGCACCTGCAGTCCGCTCGGCAGCAAGCAGGAGGAAAGAGTCAAGAGGCGAGTGGCAAGCAGCAGGAGGCAAGCAGCAAGAGGGAAGCAGCACGAGGTCAGTTACCTCAGAACCAAAGATCGGTTTCCTTGTGGCGGAGGGGGAAAGAGGGAAGGGAAGTAGGGGGGGAACGAGGAGGAGGGAGGCAGTGACATGTCGGCTAGGGAAGACAGGCAACGAGAGGAGACGAGGGTGCATGTGGATCATACTGGCTTCAATAAGACGCCCACGCACCTCTATGGGGAAGAGCTCAGTGCCCATATCCGGCATGTCCTGTGCGCCGCTTTTCTCTGCCCCCTTGCCCTTGGCGGACCCGCGCAGGGACCTGCGGATGGCTGTGGCGGATTGAAGATGGGGCGTGGGGAGAAACAGAATGAGGTGAGGTGAGGTGAGGTGGCCGTGCGTGCCCAGCATTGGGCAAGTGTATCAGGCTGACGCATCCCCTCAAGCTCATGCGTAGCCAGGGAGTCAAGCAGGCATGAGGTAGAGGCTTCACTGCCTAAGAGAACTCAGGAGCGTCAAGGAACAGTAGCAGCAGTAGCAGGAAGAATGTTTTCAGGAGATTGTTTTCACAGCAGGAAAACCAAGGGGCTCACCTTGAATGGGCGGAGTGAGGTGAGCAGCAGACAGAAACTCGTAAAACTCCCCCAGCTTCGACTCCTCAGGGAACATCCCTGTCATGTCGCCCTTCTCTGTGGCCGCTGCTGCCGCCGCCATAGCCTCCACCGCCTCCCTCTTCCCCTTAAACCGCCGCTTGCCATCCGCGCCCGTCACAAACAGGTCCTTCCCCACCTCTATCCCCGCCTCCTTCTCTAAATCTTTCCCCGCCTCCTTTCCCACCTTTTGCAGCTCTTTCCCCGGCTTTTGCGCACCTTCTGCTCCTGCCACCGCCACGTCCCTTCCTCCTGCCCCCTGAGTCCCTGCCTGGTCCCCCCCCGCGCTTGCTGCTTCGCCCGGCTTCTTCTTGAGGAAGCTTCCCACGTCCCCCAGCCCCAGCACTTTACCGAATTCCGCCACACTGCTGCTCGCCTCGGGAGGTGGTTCATGGAAGGGGACCAGGGCTGAGTCAGCACCGCCTGGGTTTGTAGGCTCGGTTTCTGCCGGACCAGCATTGCTGCCTTGGTGAGGGGAACCGGACGTCAGTGCAGATGCTGCTGCAGCTGCAGAGGCAGACGGCGCTGCTTCTGCTGCTTCTGCTGCAGCAGCTGCTTCAGCCTCCTCGCGTTGCTTGGTTGAGGGTCCAAAGGCGAGAGTGCAGGACACGATGTCAAGCAGCCGGCGGATGTGGGCCTTGGAAGATGCCTCCGTGTACTCCTCTGCATAATGGGGAATCACCATAGAGTTGAGCAGAGCGGAAGGGAGGGGAATACAGAGCTGAGCGCCAGTCAAGGGATGAGGACACGATGTCAACACCAGACAGCGGATGAGGGCCTTGGCTGTTACCTCCGTGTACTCCTCTGCATAACAAGGAATCACCATAGGGTTGGGCAGGGAGGAAGGGAGGGGGTCCAGAGTAGAGTGCCAGTTAAAGATGTGGAACAGCGGGTCCAGTTAGTGGGAGGCGGCTCAGACAGGAAGGCGACAGTGCAGGAGACAAGAGTCCAGCAGTCTGCAAGTGTGGGCTGTGACGGATGTCCCTATGTACTGGTGGGGTATGGCCAAGGGAAGGGGGAGGGACAGAAGCTGACAGTTTAGGACTAGCTTGTGTTTGGAGCGCAAGGGAAGAAGTTCAGGTTCTTGTGCGGCACTTGGTTATTTTTCTTGTTGTTGCCAGTCACACATTCACTTCACGCCCGAGGAAAAGGATGTGGAAGTCTAGCGTGCTAATGCGTCTAGCAAGGGAGGAGGAGAGAAGAGACCGCAGAGTAGCCCGGGGACACGCGGGACGTTTGAGGGATGAGGAAAAAAAAGGTGAGCAGGGGTTGGGCCACATAGCTTCTGCAGTACTTCCAGGTATTGTAAGGCACGCAGGGGGGGGGGGGTGGGGGAGATGGACCAAAAGGCACGTGTTCTCACCTTGAACAAGGTCAAGGACGCAAGGCTTCAGTGCTACCACATCCACGGAGTCACGCAGATGAGGACCGCGGACCTGCACTCGCCGGGAGGTGGCACAGTGAAACAAGTTGTGGTGGCTGAGAAATATGGCACTGACATGCAAGGGACACGATGGCGTCGGAGAAGGACCAGCTAGTCAGCTACAGCTTATGAGGATAGCAAATCCGTGAGAACAACAAATTTGTAACGAATCAATTATAGAGGAGTAGAGCCTTGCAGCAGCGCAGAGGATTGAACTCCACCTGTGAAGTTCATAGGGAGGAGGAGAGAGGAACATAAGGCACTCGTAAGTAGAACGCACCTCGTGTGCGAGGGAGAAGTTGGTGAAGTGGCATGTGTCCACGTGTACGGCCAGGAGCCGTCGAACGTCCCATATGCGGTCTGTTGATATTCCCTGTAGCAGGGTCGGGTTGAAGAAAGGATAAGGTACCCTCTTTCGACTTCAGCGCTTGGTGCTGGTTAGCCGGCTTCGGAGATCAGCTGTCAGTGACAGAAACTCCGACTAGATGTTGCTTAGGTCATTGAGTGATTTGTTACAATCTTGGCGACAGAACGTAGGGACTAACCTTGAGCAGAATCTGCTTTCCTCCTGGGACGTTGACCACTATGTCTAGAACCGTGGGAATCACTGCGTTGGATTGGAACCAGTGAAAAATGAAAATATATATTATAACAGAGTTCATTGGAAGCAGCCAGGTTACGCCAGTGTTTTGGATTGTAGAAAGGTTCGGTGACAATCTTGGTGAAAACATTCCCTCAGTTTTGACACAATTATTCAATCATCCACACTCTGAGGCGTCTTTGCGCTGACTTACCTTTTTCTTCTTTCTTTCTCTTCTCAGACCGGGATTTATGACCCTTGGACTTGGCTGCTCCCTTGGCCATAGCTATTCACTTCAAAAGATTCTCACAGCACGCATTTAAAAAGGCAAGGCGAACCAGCCTCTGACCGAAATGCAGAGCAATGAACCGTTCAGACAGGTCGTAACACTACACAATAGCTGTTGTAGTTAATTCGCAAGGGTGATGACGAGTATACAACAAAGATGATTCGTTGGCGCCACAGAACGCGCAGGAAAGCTAATGAAGCTTCAATTCGTCCCGTTGAAAATAAAATATCATTCGCCTTCGCGGCTGAGAGAGGCTGAAACGACTCGAACTACACCCAAGATTCAGCTAGTGAACACGTAGATAACAACTTTGTGTAATGCTAGTCTGCTGCTTGCTATTCAGTCACTATTGACCTGCTGGTTTGGGGAACACGAGGTGGCTCAACAATTGCTACTGCTGCTTCTGCGGAACTTCAGTTCCTGATTCCTGAAACTAGCAGATGGATGATGGCGGTGAAGGCGCACGTATGATGGTGACTGTGCAATCATGCACCCATGGTTGGCCCTTGCGAGTCAGAGTCGGGACTCAGAAACTCAGGGCTCATGGATTCTACCCCTTCGCCAGCAATTGCTGAGCCTGGTTCCTGAATCCTGCTTGGAGTGGTGCTGTGGCAGATGAGCTGTGCGGAGTTCCCAGTGTAATCCGAAATTTCTGATCAGGGTTCAGCCAGGCAATCTCCAGGCCCATCCTCCCAATGCTTATGGGGATAGTGGAGTTCCCATCACGCAAGCAGAATGACAATGACGTGGCTCATTTGTGTAGTATATTAATGACGTGGCGAGTTCAGGGGGATGTCCCTGTCGACGCGGCTTTGAGGATGTTTGCCACGCGTGAGGGGGCGTAACAGGCTTATCGGGTAATTCAGGGCGAATCACGTGCTTGCGAGACCCGTCCCTGCGACGTCCACAGAGCCAAATGTCCCCACAGTACCCTCTGCGAAAAGGACGGCGAGCTTCGCATCAGGCAAATGTGTTGCCGAAACGTCGTGATGAGGGTTGTATTGCACTTCATGATGACGTGGAGGGTTCACCCCTGTCACTGTCACAGCAGGTGGATTGCCCCACCCGACCCGAGCCGAAATTTCTAATGCTCTTTGGACAGCTCGACGGCAGTATCCACGTAGCGCATATTCATTAGCCAATGAATCCAAGCTTCGGCGGCTGCCAATATTCAGCGCAACGAGCGAAAGGCGTCGGCTATTGGATAATGTGACACACAATACATTCAGTCAGTTCTGGAAGTACATCCATGTGTACATCAATACAGAATGAACTTCAGTTTCCAAGCTACTTGGGAGTGCCCCAACAAGCACTAAATCAGTCTTCTGTTTTTTACTGATGGAAGTGAACTCAGGCATAAACATTGTTCGTATTGTGCCATCCCTCCCACTGACACTCTCAATATGCCATAACCTCGCTTTCTGTTGTATGGTGCATCCTTCATGCTGAACTACAACATCAACACCATAAGGGAACCATTTGAATTTGGCAGCTATTTTCACAAAACTTGCATTACATCCATCCAGCACAAAAACCACCTCCATATAACCCTACAGCGCCCTCGCCACAGGGGGGTTGACTGGTAACCTTGCACATGCAGAGTGGACTGGGCACATTGCACAGCAACAACTTTCAAGTGAGCACGCCTGTGTTCCTGTGCATGCACCAGCATCAGCCCTGCTCCTGCTTGCTGCAGACTTCACATCCCAGGCTCATGCTCATGCCGACGGTGCTTGGGGCTTTAAGAGGAGGCCGCAACCCGGTTGCGAGGAGGTGCTTGTGTTCCTGTGAGTCAGGCATAAGAAATTGCGGTGTGGGGGGGACAAAACTCGAGTCATTTCGTGGGAAGGCAAGCTAAGGAGACACAGGCAGATTCGTTACGAACTAAACAGGCAGGCGTCACATGATTCGACTCAACATGCGTGTGAGACATGAAACCTCTGATCTCCATGCCCATGACCATGTCCATATCCGTATCCACGCACAAACCAGAGACACATTCCGTTAGCACATTCACTGTGTTTCCTTGTTTTTTTACCTTGAACTTCCCGTGAAATTTCCCAACTCTTGACATTCCCAGAACCATACACCACCAAATTCGCCATACCAAATTCCCACCGATTCCCGTCATCCGCTCACCTTCACGGAATCCCTTGTTGCGGCGGCTGTGCATGTCCTGGAGGTACTAGTTTTCGGACGCCTCGAACCCTAATTCCTTCAGGTTTTCCTAAAAAAAACCCACCTTCACGGAATCCGTTCTTGAAGCGGCGGGGCATGTCCTTGAGGTACCGCATGCGGCCCGTGCCCGTGGTCTTGCGCCGGATCGCCTTCACGCTCCAGTTGACTGCGCAGTTGGGGAATGCGGGGGGAAGGGGACGGAAGGGGGCGGAGCGGTGAGTGCGATGGAGACGCTCAGTTAAGACTACGGCATTTGATGCGGCCCGTGCCCGTGGTCGTGCGCCGAATAGCCTTCACGCTCCAGTTGACTGCGCCAAGGGGGGCGACGAAGGGGAGGGGGGAAGGAGGTGGAAAAGAGGCGCCGGGGTGAGGGGGGGGGGGAGAGGGGGAGGGGAGGAGGAGGAATGGAAGGAGGGGGAGGTGGTGGAAAGGACGGAGGGGGAGGAAGAGCGGGGAGGTGGTGGGGAGTGGTTGAGAGCGCGAGGAAAGAATCGAGGAAGCTTAGTGAGATGGTGAAGCAACTGACGCATGCGACATGGAGACGGGGATCAAGCAAGGAGGACAGGGGAGAATGGAAGCAGGGGAGAGGAGATGCCAGGGGGGGCGAATGAGGATAATGGCAGCAAACAGCCGCGAGGGACGGATGAGCGGGGGAAGGAGAAAGAGAGAGGAAGTGGGGAAACACGAGGAGGAAAGGGAGGACGCCGGACGGAGGAAAAACTGGGAAGGATAGAAGCGGGCAAGGGGGGGAATGGATTAACGAGTTATGAACAGGAGATCGGGAACCTGGAAAGGGGACCTGGGGAGGGAGACGAAGTGAGAGGCAAGATTCAGTAAAGAGAACTTAGGTACTAAAAAAGGTGGAAGGGGAAAAAGGGCGGGAGGGAACGAAAGGTGGGAGGACTAGCGGGACTTACACTTGCGCACACGCGCAGCAGGGTAGCCGCAGGCACCGCATCGGCTCTTCTGAATGTGGTATGAGCGACGACCGCAGCGCCGGCACAGCGTGTGCGTCTTGTTGCGGCGCTTACCGAAACTACCCGTTCCCTTTCCCTGCACTCAGCAACGTTGGAGTAGGATGGGTAAGGAGATAAATTAGCAAGAGAACGATCGGGTTGACAGGAGGGGAGGACAAAGGTAAGGAGGGCAGGAAGCGAGGAGATGAGGAGGGGAGAGTATAGCGTGGGCCAGGTAAGGCAGGGGATACGATAGTGATGAGGGAGAAAAACTGAAAGGGAGAAGCAAGGGATGAACAGGTGAAGAGCGGGACGGTCATGGTGCACAGTGCGTCATGGATAGGCACAATGCAAGATACACAGACGAATTTGCTGCGCTTAGAAAAGGGTACAACGACGAAATGTACACAATTCCCGACGAATCATGCGGTACGACTTGCCCTAAGGGCCACGAATCAAGCCGAGATTAGCGCCTTGAACTCTAAAAAAATCGTGAGAAGACCTGAATACATGAGTCGCAACCCTAATGCTCAGTTCAACCGCGCCAGCGTATCCTTTGCGCGTCGACTCTTGCCCCCGAGAGTACACTAACATCATTTCTACGCGAACTTCACACATGGCGTTGAACCCAAAAAAGAGTGCCCCCCCCAAAGACAACGGCATACTACACCATACGGAACCCACGCGTCAACAGCACCTGTTCGTCCAACTCCTACTTAAATGAGAGTGCCACCGAACTATACAGAAACTACAAAATCGAAACTGCCACCCCTACGCAGTTCGGTGTACAGCGAATAGAGTCCTGAGTCGTGTGCGCGTTCATACTCGTATCTGCCCTGCGATCAGGCTCCCAACAAGAATAAAAACAGACTTTCCAAAGCGTCTGGCGTTCGGAAACCCTAACGGACCCTGCTAACCAACTTTGAATGAAGTCGATGTCAGACAATGTCGCCCTGACGGCTCCTTCTAAAATATCTTCGAAGTCAGAAGCCAATGCGAACTAAAAAAAAAAACAACGGCACCGTACCGGCCCCCTCCTCCGTTTCTGACTGGTAATTCTGAGCAATATATTCACTCCAACCGCGACGCGGGCGCGCCTGACGACGGCAACAAATCGTTCCTACGCCGAGCCCTTTCTGGTGAAAACGGCTAAGATAGCCAGATCTGTGCAACCCTAATCCTGCTTCGTCCAACCAATCGTTCCATCACCGCAGTAAATCCCTGCGTACCGACCCTCTACGATGCTAGCCCCTCCGCTACAAGCCCTAACTACGCGCGATCGCCCAACCAACGCCATAGCTGCTACTAAGGAGCACTCACCATGGCGGCTGAAGCGGTGTGGCAGGTGTGTGGAGACTAACAGGGAGGAAAAGAAACAGAGATAGGTAACGAGCAGGATTTGAGAGGCAGGGTTGTGCCTGCTGGGTGGGGGGACGGGGCAGCGGGGATTCGCGGGAAACGGAAGGCGGAGTGCAGTTGGGGAGGGGAATTGGGTTTGGGAAGCGGGAGGAGGGGGAGAAACTGGGAAACTAGAGCCTTGGGCGCCCTGCCTGGAGCTGGTGGTTGCCACCCGATTGTCGCTTGTGGAATCGCTGTTGCGTGTAATGAACTAACTCGATACACATCTACGTAGCTGTTAGCCTACAAATCGTCTGGATATACAAATACTAAAGAGTGACGCATGAAAAAAAAAAAAACTGGTGTGCTAACACACGCCAAAGTTGTTGCGATCAGAAGTTAATCGTAACCAGGATCACCTCAGGAAGGTTCGCACACTACTGGGTTGTGGTGGTGGGCCCTTGACCTCAATAGCAGAGTGAATGTAAATGCTTGAGATGATGAAAACATGCAGTACAAGGAATATAAATAAGAGTATAGGGGAATTCGAAGCGACCTAGCTGGCCATGTACTCTAAGGGGTACATTCCCTTATTGCATTGAAATCCAACCGTGCGACTCCGGGTGGTTACGAAACCGTTCGGGCAGAGTCCTCTCCAGTGCTGCTGCCTGATGCTGTCTACCCGACGGTCCATATGCTTCTCGTAACCGTGTGACCCTTCGCGTCACTTGCGCCTTTTCGTCTTCAGTCTCGGTAGTGCATGCTGCGTTTGCTGCGGTGAGGAGTGTACAATAGTATTTCAGTAATCACTATTCGTAACACCCCCCTTCACTCCTGGCCGTAGCAGGTCTTGACCCGTTTGACTACCCCACTGAGTTCGGAGCAGTGCTGGTACTGCTGACGCGGCAGTTTCTTCGTGAGGAAGTCTGCTGCCATGTCACCCGTCGGGCAGTAGACTTCAACCTTGCCATTGTCAACTTCGTCTTTGACGAAGAAGTACCGCAGCGCGATGTGTTTGGTGCGGTTAACGAATCCGGGTTTGTTCGCGATTCTGATCGCGCTTTGGTTGTCGCAGTGCAGGCGAAAGTTCGCTGAGGCAGGTATTTTCGCCTCCTGCAGTAGCTCCTGAAGGTAGAGGCCTTCGCGAACGGCTGCTGTTGCTGCGATGAACTCGGCTTCCGCTGATGACAGGGCAACCAGCTCCTGCTTCTGAGAGTTCCAGGAGATGGGGCCACTGGGCTCGAGGCGAAAGAGGAAGCCTGTCCTGGACCGTCGATTGTCGGGATCAGCGGCATGATCTGCGTCCACGTAGCCGACGAGACTGAAGGATGCAGTTGGGATGGTGGAGTAGTAGAGCCCAACATTGGGCGTAGAGATGAAGAATTGGAGGGCTCACTGAAGATCTGAGAGGTTCTCAGCCGTTGGTTTCCGTGAGTACTGAGCCAACTGGCTCGCGATGTAGGAAAGGTCGGGCCTGCAGGTAATAGATGCAAAGAGCAGGCAACCCAGCTGCTGCTGGTAGGTGTGAAGTCCAGCAGGGGACAGGGTTTTGTTGTCAGGTTTGTGGTTGGGTCCTGGAGTGCGGTAAGGGGTGGAGAGTGGTGCAGGTGAAATGTTGAAGCGCTTGCTTAGCTCCTCTGCATACTTCGCTGCTGAGAGATGAATGGCTTCCGGTGAGTAGGTGATGTTGAGCCCGAGAAACTGCTTCACGTCATGATTGCAGGTGATGTCGACGCGCGCTGCAAGACTCTTCTCAAATTGCTCAAGCAATTCGTTGCTCGACCCTGTGTAGAGAAGGTCGTCGACGTAGACCGTGAGTAGGATGTATTCGCCCCGGAAATCGCGGCGATACATCCCAGGTGTTAGAATTTATATGTAACTGCCTGTAGCTGTAGTTTAGTGTAGTTATTATAAACTGTTGGTGGTGCACCTTCTTTGCATGCTCTGTTTACTATATGTACCCTAGTGCTATAGTGAACATCACTTTTCCCATTCTCGACTCTCACCTTGGCACAACCTCCTCGACTTCCCCTAGGCCTAGGCTACTAAGCCTAGGCCCTACCTAAAACCTAAGCTTACTCTTACTTAGTAACTCAACATGGCATTAGAGCGAGTTACGTCCTGGCCTGTGGGCCCGCCTCACGCTTCCGCTGCTGTTTTTCCGGTCGCGCGCCTCGGGCGCGTGGCGATTTTCGTCCTGTCCCGCCCCCGGGTGGCGAGTGACATCTTTTCTGCCCGTCGCGCGCCCCGTGGCACGCGACGGTGCCCTGCCCGTCGTGCGCCCCGTGGCATGCGACGGTGCCCTGCCCGTCGTGCGCCCCGTGGCACACGACGGTGCCCTAAACCTGCCCGTCGTGCGCCCCGTGGCACGCGACGGTGCCCTGCCCGTCATGCGCCCCGTGGCACGCGACGGTGCCCTGCCCGTCGTGCGCCCCGTGGCATGCGACGGTGCCCTAAACTGCCCGTCACGTGCCCCGTGGTGCGCGACGGTGCCCTGAGCCGCCGCGGAACCGCCCCTGGCGCCTGCGACGGTGTCCTGAGCCGCCGCGTACCCGCCCCTGGCGCACTCGGCGGTGCCCCTGCCTCACCCGCGCCTGCACTCGCTGCAGCCGCCCCTGCACCACCCGGCGCCTGCCCTTGGAGCAGCCGCCCCCGCTCCTGCACTCGGTGCAGCCGCCTCTGCCTCACCCCGCGCCTGCACTCACTGCAGCCGCCCCTGACCTACCCGCGCCGACCCTCTGTAGCCGCTCTGCGGCTTTCTCCCCGCCCACCCCCTCCTCCTTCGTCTCCCTGCAGCCGTGGGGGGGAGGGTATGGGGGTGGCGGGTGTTGGGGTGATGGGTGGTGTGCTTCCCTTCCCCTCCTCCTCCTTTCGTTCCCACTGCTGCAGCTGCCGCTGGGGGGGAGGGTGTGAGGGTGTGGGGGAGCCGGGGGAGTGGCACTGGGGTGGCGGGTGTGAGACCAACCAGCAGCCGTCCCTCCACCTCTCCTCTCTTCCCCCCTCTGCTGCTCCTGCAGCAGTGTGGGGGGGAGGGGGAGGGGGAGGGTGAGGAAATGGAGGGGGTGACCAGCCAGAGCCAGCCCGCCTCCTCACTCTCCCTGCTGCCCCTCCTGTGGTTGGGGGGGGAAGAGAGTAAGGGGGTGGCAGGAATTTCTTGCTGTCGCCTGTCCCTTTGCTGCTGTACCTGCTCTGTTACCGTACCTGCTGTTGCTGTTGCTGGTATACCCCTGCAGGTTGTGTTCTGCACAAACTCCTGCTGCAGGCAGTTATGGGGGAGTGTTAGAATTTATATGTAACTGCCTGTAGCTGTAGTTTAGTGTAGTTATTATAAACTGTTGGTGGTGCACCTTCTTTGCATGCTCTGTTTACTATATGTACCCTAGTGCTATAGTGAACATCACTTTTCCCATTCTCGACTCTCACCTTGGCACAACCTCCTCGACTTCCCCTAGGCCTAGGCTACTAAGCCTAGGCCCTACCTAAAACCTAAGCTTACTCTTACTTAGTAACTCAACAATGAGTGCATGAAATAAATATATATTTCATGCTCATAATATTGTGTGTATGATGGGTCATGATGTCGAGTGTATGTGTGTCAAGTCTATAGCGAGTTATCGCTAGTCGCGTGTAACGCGGTCATTTCGTGTGTTCCGCGCGGTTTCTATTTTGTCATGCGCGGTTTCTATTTTGTCGCTTGTCGAACGTTCGGCGTGTCGCAGGTGTGTGCAGCAGACCCATCAAGAACTCGAGGATGAGTTTGTGATGAAGAACCCGAGCCTTGGTTGCAAGCTTCAAGAGATTTCGAAGCTCGTCAAAAGGGTACACCTCAAGATAGTGAAGATAGTTACATTACTTTGTGTAGTGTAACATTTCAGTTGGTGTAGGCCCTTGTGAAGGGTAGTTTCGAGACCCTTGGTGGTTGGGGACACTGTGGCACTGTTCCACATCACTGTACCTCGGCTCTTGGGGTTTCTAGGAGCTGGGAGTCATTCCCAACTCGTAACTCTTGCTAACTCTTCCTAAGTTGTGTTCTAAGACTATGTTGCTGCCATAGTGCCGTTCGTTCAAGCCGACGCTGTGTCGTCAATTCTTGATTAAAATTGCCTAGTGTAGGCAACGTTAAGGCGCTCCAGATCCAAGTTGAATGAATTCATTTGGAGTTGTGAGCAGATCGCTATGAACGTTTAAAGCCGCTGTGCACTCTATCCTTCGTTTTAGGCACATTGAAGCCTACTGTGACTATAACACCTCCCCCCCCCCGTGTGTGCGGTCTCCCTCCCCCCGTGTGTGCGGTCTCCCTCCCCCCGCGTGTGCGCTCTCCCTCCCCCCGCGTGTGCGCTCTCCCTCCCCCCGTGTGTGTGCTCTCCCTCCTCCCGTGTGTGAGCTCTCCCTCCTCCCGTGTGTGCGCTCTCCCTCCCCCCGTGTGTGCGCTCTCCCTCCCCCCGTGTGTTCGCTCTCTCTCCTCCCGTGTGTGCGCTCTCTCTCCTCCCGTGTGTGCGCTCTCTCTCCTCCCGTGTGTGCGCTCTCTCTCCTCCCGTGTGTGCGCTCTCTCTCCTCCCATGTGTGTGCTCTCTCTCCTCCCGTGTGTGCGCTCTCTCTCCTCCCATGTGTGCGCTCTCTCTCCTCCCGTGTGTGCGCTCTCTCTCCTCCCATGTGTGTGCTCTCTCTCATCCCGTGTGTGCGCTCTCTCTCCTCCCGTGTGTGCGCTCTCCCTCCTCCCGTGTGTGCGCTCTCTCTCCTCCCGTGTGTGCGCTCTCTCTCCTCCCGTGTGTGCGCTCTTCTCTTCCCCTCTGGTAGACTGGCAGATGCCGAGACGGTGATGGTGGGGTGGACGTACTCCCGCTGGAGTCCTGAAATCGCCAGTTCCCCCCCTGTGTGCGCTCTCTCCCCCTTCCCCCTCTCTGTGCCGCCAGGACGCCAAGACGATGCTGGTGGGCTGGAGGTTATCCCTCTAAGTTCCTTTCGACTTGAGTGTTCCACCCCCGTGTGCGCGCGTGCTTCGCCCTCCCCTCGCCGCCCCCTCTCCACCCTCCTCGCATGGCTTCAAGATGCCAAGACGGTGCTGGTGGGCTGGACACACTACCGCTGGACGCACTAGCGCTGGACGTACTTGTTGTTCAGGATCCGTCACTTTGAGAGCTTACGACGAACTCATTACTCAACTAAACGCAAATCCGCTCGGTAGGAAGTTGCGCCTTAGGCTTATCTACCATCTCCAAGTTGAATCAATTATTAAGATGGTCTGTAGAGTGAGAACCATATGAAAACGTCCAGCAGCCGCATGACTAGAATGGTAGAGGAAGTACAAACATTAGGGCATAGGAAGTTGGAGTTGGGGACTCCAAGAGAACCATGAGAGGGAAGGGGTTCTCCAAGAGCTAGGGAAGGATGGTAGGAACCTTCCTAGCAGCAAGGATGCAACCCTCATCATGAGGTCCTTGAGGTGTCACATGCAAAATCCAATCTAGTTGGATTTTGCCTAGGTGTTGCAACATTTGCAACCCATGCTAGAAACTTCTAGCCACCCCAATCCAAAAGTCAAAGTTGCCTTCCCTAACCACCCAACCAAAGATCCCTTTATAGTCATGTCCCAAGTAATCAACCAAATTATATATAACCCCAAAAGGTAATAAGAAATCCAAGTCTTGGAATTCTTGTAACTTGGGCGATCTTGGTCGGAATAAGGCGATCTTGGTATCGTTGGAAAGCTCTGGATTTCTCCTGCATGATCAAGCATGTAGACTTGGAGAAAAACACAGAGATGGTAATATCCAACAGCCATGCATAATGACATACGCTCATGCAAATCATGCAAGCACAAATAGCACGAGCACTCGGCAGGACGTTAGGATGACATGCACTCAGAATGACGTGCATGCAACAAACTCCCCCTCAGACTAACGGACTGCATGCACACACTCTCACACATGCACTCATGACACTGCTGCCCACACTAGTGCAATGCCATGCCACACATCTTAGCACACTTCCAATGTGCGCTCTCGGGAAGTCTTTTGGTGAGAAAATCTGCCGCCTGCTTGCTAGCCTTCACATGGTGAAGCTCAACAGCTCCCTCCTTTACCATCTGCCTCACCCAATGCCACTTAATCTTCATGTGCTTGTTCAGCCCATTCAGGATAGGATTATTGGCCATGCCAATAGCAGCCTCGCTGACGGAGAAAAGTGGTGTAGGTCCCTGCTGTTCAGCTCCCATGTCCTCCAGTAGCTTTCTCAGGAGCACGATCTCCTTGATGGCATGGTACATCGCCATGTACTCTGCCTCTCCAGAAGACTGAGCAATCTCACTCTGCTTCTTGGACCTCCAGCTCACTGGTCCACCTCCGACCATGCACACAAAACCGCCAACCGATGATTGATCCTCATCCTCTGATGCCCATGTGGCATCGGTGAAGCACGACAGTTTCAAGGTTCCAGGCGTGACCCCATCTGCTCCAATCTGCTTCAGCTGGCCGCCAGCTGAAAACTGAACACCAGCAGATGCCGTTGATCCGAGGTAGCGCACCAAGCGCTTTGCCACCTCTAACTGCTCCTCAGTGGGCCGCTGCACAACTCTGGCCAGCTGCCCCACTCCGAATGAAGCATCAGGTCGCGTATGCACTGCAGCATACATCACACTCCCAATGAGTGACTGGTACTCATTCTGCTTGAATCCGATTTCAAGCAGTATGTTGTGCAGGTACTGCTGCCAGAGTCTCGGCGCCTGTTTAATCCCATGCAGGGACTTGCGTAGCTGACAGACACGTGGGTCCCCGTCACCGTATGTGTGAGGTTGCTCTACGTAGATCACTGCATCTACTAACGCGTACAGGAACGCGTTCTTCACATCAATCTGTCGTAGCGGCAGGTGTCGTGCGGCTGCGATGGTGAGGAGAATTATAACGGACGTGTGACGGCTAACCGGTGCGAACGTCTGGTCGAACTCGATCCCATGCCTCTGATCGTAGCCTCGCACCACCCAACGTGCCTTGAATCGCTCAATCGTCCCGTCAGCTCCTGTCTTCACGCGGAAGACCCACTTGCCGAAGAGGATTCTTCTCCCCTTTACTGCTGCACGGTCGACGAGCACCCAGGTGTCGCGTGACTCGAGTGCCCGAATTTCCGCATCCATTGCTTTGCGCCACTCCTTGCTGTGAGGTCCCGTGAGAGCTTGCCGTGGGTTTTTAGGCTCCATGATGCGCGGAGTCGTGGAGATGGCAGCGTGAAGTCCCAGAAGCTGAAGGCCAGTGACGGTACTATTGTGGCGGTGTTGAGTGACGACTTCTTGCACGTCGTCATCATCGCTTTCTGGTTCGGGTGGCGCTGGTGGTGCTGCGCCTTCTGTTGCGCCTCCGATTGCACCTCCTATTGCGCCTCTTGTTGCGCCTCCTGTTGCGCCCGCTCCTCCTTCTTCCGAATCATCATCGTCGTCGTCGCGGCGATCCCCTCTCGTGAACTCGCCTCTGGGATCCTGCTCCAGAATTGCTGCTGCGGCTTCGTCCTCGGGTGAGGCGTAGCTGTGCCCTTCGTTGGCGTAGACGCGATTGGCGTTCGTTTGCTCGTCGTCACGGAATTGCCGCAGGAAGAGCCGCTCGTAGAAGATGACGTCGCGCGCATTCGTGATTTTCTGGCTCAGGAGATCCAGGATGATCCATGCTTTGTGTTCGTGACTGATGCCGAGGTGGATTCCCCAGCGCGCGCGGCTCTTAATTTTCCCAATGATTGGTGTTGGCGGTCGGTATTGAACCATGCACCCCCATACGCGGAGCATGGAAGTGTCCCCCTTTCTTCCCGTCCATTTCACATGCGGCGAGGAATTCCCGGTGATCGCGGTGGTTGACAGCAGGTTGTGCACCCGCACGGCGTGGTGCATCGCGTAGGTCAGGTAGATCGGCGGGAGCTTTGACTGCCTCATTAGCGCCCGCACCTTCGTCATGAGGGTGCGATTCGTGCGCTCTGCTACGCCCTGCTGCTGGTGCGCGTAGGGGAGAGAGATGTGGTGCTCAATCCCCTTTTGCGTAAGGTAGTCTTGCAGCTCCTTGCTCCTGAATTCTGCCGCGCCGTCAGACTGCCAGATCTTCAAATTTTCCCCAAATTGCCGGTGCGCGTGCGCCAGCCACAGGCGGAATGCTTCGTAGGCTCTGCTGCGCGATTCCACGTTTACGACCCACACGTGGCGTGTTCCGGCGTCGACGAAGGTGAGTGTGTAGAGCTCGTCGTTGATGCCACAGTGTCCTACGTTGAGAAAGTCACTGTAAACTTTCTCCAATTTGGCGTAGTGATTGGTTCCTGACTCGAGCAGGGGGAAGGGCTGGTGACTTAGCGCAGCTTCGGGGCAGATGGTGCAGGTGCGCGGGTGAGTTCCGCCTCTTACTTCGGAGCCGTCAGGGCGCAGCAGTGCGCCAGGTGCGAAGACACCGGCCTCGATGCAGTTCTTCAGGGTCACGCGCGAAGGGTGACCCAGGCGTTGGTGCCAGATGGTATCGTCGGCGCGGAATCCGGAGGTGCGCATGTAGCGCGCAATTGCTTCTGCGGGGTCTTCGACAGATGCTGGTGCAGGTATAGGCGCTGCTCCCTCGTTCTCTTCTTCTTCCTCGTTCGCCGTCGTTAGCATGAGGGCGAGAAATTCTCTATCGCGGATGATTGAGTAAGGGATGTTGGTCCCTGGGATCGTTCCGAGCACTAAGGTTGGCTCGCGCGGTTCGGGAGCAGGACCGTAGACGGTGCGGCGCGGTGTGGATGGCTCATTGCCCCAGTCAATGGTGTCCCAGGGGTCGCGTTCCGGCTGTAAATCAGGCGGGGGCAGGGTAGGTGTGAGATGACGCGGTGGGCGACCGAGAGGAACAATTGCTGGTTCTGTTGCTGCTTCTTCCTCTACCCCCCTTTGGTCCTCGCGGGAGGCTCCCCAGCCGCTCGTCTCGCCGCCTTGTACGACGCCCCATCCGCCGACGTTTTCGCCTATTGCTGCGCCCCATCCGCCGGTTGCGGCACCCCACCCGCCAGTGTCGCTTGTTCCCCATCCGCTAGCGCTCCCCCACCCCCCTTCATTGGAAGCGCTCTCCTCGTCGTGCTCCCAAGCGAGCGTTCCGCGGGCCTCGGCGAGACTCTTCAGTCGAAGCTCTTCGGCTTCGCGTTGCGCCAGCGCCTCTTCCTCCGTCGGCGAGAGATGCTTCTTTGAATCGCGCCGGTGAGAGTATATCTCTGCCGCCTTCTTTTCGGTGTAGGGTCGTGGGTTGCCGTGTTCGTCGAAGGTTCCGACGCCGACACCGCGAAGCATTCCTTGGAGATGCTGGGATGCGGGTCCGGGGAGTGGAGATTCTGGTGTGCCGAAGACGACCCGCGTAGCTATTTCCAACTCCAGTTGGGAGAGACCCTCCTCATGTGGCGCGTCGCGCTCTGCTTCGAGGATGGCGGCGAGGCCGCGGCCTGCGATTGCGCTCGTCGAGGACGTAGGCGTGTGACAGTTCCTGCAGACACCATCGGGGTCGGGGTCGTGTAGCGCCAGCTCGCGCGGATGTGGGTGATGTGGCACCCAAGGGCGCCCATCAGGGTGCTTCCAGTCGCGGCGATGTATATGTTCGAAGCGCAGGGGAACGAGATCAATCAACTCCTGCGAGTCGCCGCTGCAGTCGGGAATGTCGAGGTCGAGAACGTATACTCCGTTCTCGGCGTGCGCCCGTCCGATCTGCTTGCGCTTCTTGTTCGGCAATGTGAAGTGAAGCAGAATATCGCGCGTCTCGGGGTCGGTGCTGAGGATGACTCCGCAATCCAGGAGTTGCGCCGCCGAGAGCAGGTTGAAGCGCAGCTTTTGCATAATCAACACGTCATTCAGGGTGATGTGCGTTCTGCTCCCATGTGCCTTGAGTACCACAACGCCTTGCGCGCTTGCGCGCAGCCGCGTATTGTTCGCCACAGTGACGTAGGTGACTGCGGGGGTGGGGATGGCATTGGATATGTAACGCTCAGAGCCCACCATGTGCTGCCCACAGCAGCTGTCCAGGTACCACGAACTGTAGCGCCTGTTGTCATTTCGCGCGAGCAGCGCCAGTCGCGGAGTGACGATGTGCGGAGTGTCAACCTTGAGAAATTGTTCGTGCGCGATCCAATCGATCGGTGCCGGCCGCATGTCAGTGATGTGCGGGGGGCTCTCAAGCAACGGGACTGGCAGGTTCCAGTCCTGGTTGTCATCGTCGCTGAAGTCGTGATGCGTGCTGAACGGGTTGTAGTTCGAGGACGCTTCGATTGGGTCAGGCGCAGGCTCAGGTGACGGTGAGCGTGCACGCGGGCGACGAGATCTGCTCGTCATAGTCATGTTCCCCATGACATTGCGGACTGGGGCGGCCTGTGATGGCTGCTGCTGCTGTTGAACTGTTGGGTTCAGGCTGCGCGATGAGGATTGATACCCCTGGGCGGGACACGTGTCGTTTCTTGCGTCTTGTCGGCCGGACCAGTTGCTCGGATTGGTCTGGCGAGGGTGAGATCGAAGCTTACATCGATCCGCCAAGTGCCCGAAATTCCTGCAGATCTTGCAGTAAAGGCGCCGCGGCCGTCGCTCTTCTGTGTTGTCGGCGAAGAAGGCGAGGCGCTCCTTATCTCGTCGCGGCGCTGGTCGCTGCTGGTCCATATCCCTTTGTTCGACGAGAAGGGCGGCGCAAAGGGCGGCCTCCGAGATGACCCCCTGCTGTCGGAGAAGCGCCTTGCAGGGCCGCCACTCTGGGCCGAGCCCTTGAAGCAGAATGATGACGAAGATCTCTTCGGAGATCGTGCTTCCCAACTTCGCGATTTGATCACGTAAGCTCCGATAACGATTCAGGTAGCTATTGGCCTTCTCTCCTGGTGCCATCTTCGTCTCCAGTAGCTGTTGGAGTAGGCGGCTCGACGACACTGAGTCCTTCGGTTGGTATACGCCGTTTAGGTGGCGCCAGGCGTTGAGGGCTGGAGCAGGAGAGGTCTTGTATGAGCGAATGCTCAATTGCTCCGTCGGCGACATGTTCCGCAGAAGAACCCCGTATGCCATCAGGGACTCGTTGTAGTACTTGGTTTTTGCGTCGTCAGTATCCTCCGTAGGTCCCGAGTAGCTCCCGTCGAAAAAATGATAAATCTGCGTGTTTTGCAGCAGCAGCTCCAGATCGAAGCTCCAGGTGTAAAAGTCTCTGCCGTCAAAGCACACACTTGTCTTTATTTTTTATATGCTCAAAAACCTTGATTGCGCATAGAGAATTGCTTTATCGCTGGGACAGGGAGTCTTGGGTGTTGAGCCGTTTGTGTCAAGAGAGAAGCCTTGCGGGGCGGAAATCTGGCCGTTTGAGGCCGGTTGAGTGGGTTGGGAAGAAGTTTCCGCGTCGCCATTCCGCAATGTTTGGAGCCCTTGCTCCAGACTCGTGAGTCGCTGAAGCAGTTGTGCGAGGACGGCGGAAGGGATCGTCGTCGTCTCTTCGCTTGTCGCAGCCGGGTTGGGCTGCGCTTCAGCCGTCAGATTTGTCTGACCTCCAGATCCTCCGGCCATTCTTACACGCGATCGTGTGCCGGACGCCACTTTTCGGTCGCCCAAGATTTCGGTGGTGGCGGTGCGAAGGATTCCTGAGTCGCTCTGATACCATGTTGCGATCAGAAGTTGATCGTAACCAGGATCACCTCAGGAAGGTTCGCACACTACTGGGTCGTGGTGGTGGGCCCTTGACCTCAATAGCAGAGTGAATGTAAATGCTTGAGATGATGAAAACATGCAGTACAAGGAATATAAATAAGAGTATAGGGGAATTCGAAGCGACCTAGCTGGCCATGTACTCTAAGGGGTACATTCCCTTATTGCATTGAAATCCAACCGTGCGACTCCGGGTGGTTACGAAACCGTTCGGGCAGAGTCCTCTCCAGTGCTGCTGCCTGATGCTGTCTACCCGACGGTCCAGATGCTTCTCGTAACCGTGTGACCCTTCGCGTCACTTGCGCCTTCTCGTCTTCAGTCTTGGTAGTGCATGCTGCGTTTGCTGCGGTGAGGAGTGTACAATAGTATTTCAGTAATCACTATTCGTAACAAAAGTAACATTCTTATGTAAGTTGTAAATAAAAAATTGGAGCCAGGAAAGTTAGTTTTGATTCAAACATTATGAGTCGTAAACTGAGGACCATCTAAAATGTGACTCAACGGATGTCTAAAGACTACAAGAATGGGCATAATCAAGCAAGAATCCCCCAACTAAGTGGGAACCTCGAAAGTCGAGTTTGGGTACAAGTTTAGGCACGTGAAATACGAAGGCGACGCCAAGTACCGTACCAGCTTCGAAGGAGTAGAAAGAATCAGGCTGGCCATGACTTTTATTGAGAGTTGGGGTGGTATGCAATGCAGAAGTGGATTTTGGTGGTGTGCACTTCTTTAAACAGCCTCCCGTTTTGCGTAGATGTTCGTTGCGTTTCATGTACCGGTAAGAGCCCTTAGGATTTCTCAAGGTGAAATGGTATTTGACACATTCACTTGAGCTGATGCAAGACAGACCACCCACCCACCCACCACCATGGTCCGAGAGCTAGATGTGTCGTAGCTATATGTCACACAATCAGAGCTATCCAATTGCCAAATCTTGATGCACCTCGAAGTGTTCTTTGACCAAATGACAGAAAAGAGGAAGAAACCACAAACCAGCAAAGAAAAGGGGAAGCGGAAGAAGGAGCAGGAGCGAGAGAGTAAAAACAAGCACAATATGTGCCGGCAGCTGCTGTCACAAAACGAGGCACATAAAAGAACAGTGACTGATGATGTTGTCACTTGCTACTGGAGAGGCACAATATGAGGCACCCCCCGAGAGGCCCTCGTTGCAGTCAGCTCTTGAGTCGGCTCAAAAAGTGTCTTGTAACGAAGTGACTTTTGAGTCGACTCTAAGTCACCCCCCGAGAGGCCCTCATTACAGTCAGCTCCCGACTAACAAGTCATCTTGTGGTCCCTTCATTACTATCACATCACACAGAGCAGCTTACTCTTCCCTTGGACTTAACCCCAGCCCTCTGACTAAGAGCCTGTGCCCATCCCCCGTCATCCTCCTCCTCACCACCCCCACCAGCCTGAGCAGTAGCAGCAGCTGTAGCAGCAACTTGAAAAGCACCTGTAGCAACAACTGCTGCTTGTGCACCTACACCCCCCCCCGCACCCTCACCATCCTTCCCAACCCCCAACTCACCGTGCTTCTGCCCCCTGTTCCCCTCTCCCTTGCCCTGCCCCTCCTCTCCTCCCGTCCCACGCACCACCCCACTAATGCTCGTCCTGCGTCTGTCCCGGCTCCCACCGCTGTTCCCCACACTCTTGCTCTTCGCACCAAACGCACCCGCGCCTGGCCACCCGGATAGCGACACCCGGCGGTTGCTCCTCCCTCCTCCCTCCCCTCCCTTCCCCTCTTCCAGAAGCTTCCAGGCATCGATCCCCGCTCCCTCCTCTTCCTCATCCTCCTCATCCTCCTCCTCATCCTCATCCCACTCCTCCTCCTCCTCAGTCAAATCCCCCTGCGCACCCTTTCCCGTTTCGACCGCCGGCCCCTCCCCACCCGTCGCCTTCTCCTGCTTCCCTGTCGGCCCCTTCCCCTCGCCCTTCTTCCTTCTAGCTGCCTTCCAAAGCTTCCTCACTGCCTTGCTCCATGGATCCTTGCCGGCGCTTCTGCCACTCGTGCTGCCGCTGGTGGTGGGAGTGGTGCTCCTCGTGTTACCGGAGGTGCTACTGATTGCCGTCTTGGAGTGATGCTTGCTTGTAACGAAAGGAAGGTCAGCTGCGGCAGCGGCAGGGGGAGCAGCAGAGGTAATAGCAGCAGCAGCAGCGGCGGCGGCTGCGGCGGCGGTGGCGGTGGCGGCGGCGGCGGCGGCAGCAGCAGGATTGGGATCATTCAAACCATCACACACACCTGCGGCACCACCACCAGCACCACCACCAGCACCACCAGCAGCACCAGCAGCACCAGCACCAGCAGCACCAGCACCAGCACCAGCACCAGCAGCAGCAGCACCAGCAGCAGCAGCAGCAGTTCCAGCCAGGTTGCTGGTGCTGCTGCTCTTGCCCATACCTCCCAGCCTTGCCCAGCCTGAGAGCGAGGCTCGGCGCTGCAGCTTACCCGGGGAGAAGAGGGAACCAGTGGGGGAGAAGAGGTGGTGAGTGCCACTGCCTGGAGGGGTGGACGCTACTGCACCACCAGCACCACCTGCAGCACCGGCAGCAGCAGCACCACCTGCAGCACCGGCAGCAGCAGCACCAGCAGCAATAGCGCCCCCCTTAATAGCAATGCCTCCAGTTCTACTTCTCATTAACGGTGGCTTGTTTTCCCCCTCCTCCTCCTTTCCTCCCCTGCCTCCCATACTCATCTCCTGCTGCATTTGCTGCTGCTGCTGTTGCAGCTGCATCTGCAGCTTCTGTTGCAGTTTCTCCTGGGAAATCTCCTGGGCGTTTGGCAGCTTCTGCGAGTGCGGGGCCTCGATGGCGTTCCAGGGATCTCTAGAAGACACGCGGGGCAGATGCTGGGACTGGCTTATGGGTGCACTGTTCCATGCGTCATGCATACCATCACCCATGCCATCATCTGAACCAGCAACCGAACCAGCATACATGCCGTTGGTTACGCGGTTACCACCTGATTGGTTACCTGGGATTGGGAAGTGGTTACTGCTGGACTGTCGGCTGAGAGGGTTGCTCCCTGCTGCTGCTGCCCACATTCCCATCAACCCACCCCCTGCTGCACCACCAGCAGCACCACCCACAGCACCACCACCAGCACCAGCAGCAGCAGCAACAGCAGCAGCAGCACTCACACCACTTTCCCCACTGCCCCTCCCCTCTTCCCTCTCCCCCTTGCCCTCCACCCTCCCCTCTCCCTTCATCCTCCCCTCCTCTCTCACCCTCCCCTCCTCTCTCGACCTTCCCAGCATCGCACTTAAAGCCCCCACACTAGCACTCCTCCCACCAGCGCCAAACGGCCTAGCCGGGCTGCCCTCCCTGCTACTTCCACCACTGCTACCGCTCTCAACCCCACTGCGGCTCTGTTGACCGCTCACCACTCCTCCAACACTGCTCCCTGCCCGACTTAACGAGCTACGAGCAAATACAGTGGTGGTTGCAGCAGGGTGCATGGGGGGTTGCATGGGCGCGTGGGGAGGGCGAGAGGAGGTGAGAAGGGAGGAGGGGGGTGCGGAAGGGTGGTTTGGTGGGGATGCATTGGGATGGGACCCCCATGGCTGCTGCTGCTGCTGCTGCTGCTGGCGATTGTGGTGGTGCTGCTGCTGCTGCTGCTGCTGCTGCTGCTGGCGATTGTGGTGGTGGTGCTGCTGCTGCTGCTGCTGGCGATTGTGGTGGTGGTGCTGCTGCTGCTTTTCTGGCTCTTGCTCTTGCTCTGGCTCGTAGTCTGGAAAAGGCGACCTCGGCCGGGTAATTACCTCTGAAGGCCGGGAGATACTGCCCGGAAATTTCGAGGAGATTTCGGAAAGCGCGTGGGGAGAAGCGGAGGAGTTGAGAGCGGTGGCGGAGGATAATGAATTGGAGTGAGGGATGGGGAACGGTGAAGGGGAGTGGGAGGGGGAGGGGGAGTGCAGGAGTCCACGGGAAGAGTGGGAATGAGTTGAGGAGATAAGCGAAGCTGATAGGTCGATCCGAGCCGCCGCATTGTCCAATGAGAGGCGCCGGCCGGACGAGGAGGAGGCGGTGGAGGAGGAATGGGGGATGGAGTGAGACGGAAGGGAGGAGAGGGACGGGAAATACGGGTGAATGGAAGAGGAGGTAGAGGAGGAAGAGGAGGAAGGGGGGAGGAGAGGAGGATGGGGAGCGGGGCCGGAGGAGGAAAGAGTGGAGCTCCCAAGGGCACGTCGGCTCGGGGAGGGCAGGCGAAGCGGGAGGAGGGAGGAGGAGGAGGAAGCTGCCGAGAAGCCAACACTGGAGACAGAGAGACCCGTGCCTGACGATGAGGCAACAGAGCAAGGGGAGCACAGCGCTTCCGAGTCATCCTCGTTAAAGCGCGGCTCGTTACAAGCAGCCGCCGCCCCCGCCGTTACCGCTGCTGACGCTCTCGCTCTGCCGTTTGCTCTCCCGCCGCCGCCGCCGCCGCTGATTCCATGCCTGGGACTGCTGACGTGGACTTTGGGACTGCTGACGTGGTGCCGGGGGCTACTTTCCACGGGTAATTGAAACAAAGGCAGCGTGGCAGAGCGGGGAGTGAGCGACTTGGGCGTGCCGGCAAGGGGGGTGCCGGCAAGAGGAGTCCCGGAGTTTGGCGTTCCTGTTAACGGGCTGCTTATATTGCTGGTGGAGCTGTCTATAACGAGTACGTCAGTATCACTGCCCTGTGCGGCGAGATTGCTGCTGCTGTTGCAGCGAGCGCCCTTCTTTCCACTCCTCTCCTTCCCACTTCCCTTCTTCCCACCCTTCTCCTTCCCACTTCCCTCCTTCCCACTCCCATCCTTGCTACTCCCCTTCCCCCATATCGTCAACCTCCTTCCACTAGAATCACCTTCTTTACAACCACCCTCGTTATTGTCACTCTCTGACTCTCCCTCCCCCCCCTTCGGAGTCTTTACCTTCTCTCCTCCTAGCCCTCCCCAACCCCCCTTGGGTGACTTACCAACAGATGCTGACGTGGCAGTCTTGAACCTGAACAGAGATGCCAGCCCTTTCTTACCTCGGGAACTCCCCTGGGAACTTCCCTGCGAAGAATCGCGCGGAAATTCACCTGAAAATCCACCTGGGAAATCTCCTGAATCCCTGCAGAGCTCCTCCAGGTCAAGCGTTTCTCCACCGCCTCCCACATTTGCTGTAGTCCCTCCATTTCCTCTTCCTTCTCCTCCTGGTTGATTGTGAGTCGACTCAAAACCCGGTTGTAGCGGCGCTGGGACGTCTGAGAGGAGTCTGGCCGGCAGGCTGGTGCTGTTGCTGCTACAGCCGGTGCTGCTGCCGCCGCTACAGCCAATGCTGTTGCTGGAGTGAGCGGGTTTCAGCGACCGCGCACCAACCATGGCAGGGAAACTCATTCCTTCTTCTGCCCCAAAAACATTCGTCTGTCCTGCGCTGCAAACAGCTTCTGCCGCCCCGAAATCAGATTTTTGCGCCGCCGACTTTTCGTCTCGTGGTTCTTCCAGCGAGAAGCTGGGCGGCCGCCTGTTGCTGACATCAGCTGAATCGTCGTAGCCAGCTGTGACACGGCCCGCTGCTGACGTGGCCGCCACGTCAGCCACGATGCTAGTTCCCGTGGCAGCAGCAGTATCCCCGTTTGTGTAACTCTGATACAACTCAATACCGCTGTGGAGCGACGGGGGATTAGCTACTGCTGCATCTGCAGGAATGCCAATTACACCCCATGGAGGATGGTTAAAAGTGGGAGTGAAGCTTCCAGGATGATTCTGCTCCAGCGCAGCAGTGTTAGCGTCTAAGAAGGTTGGGACGGCACTGCCAGCTGGCACTTGATCACTGGAAGCTGCTGCCACGTCAGCACGAGCACGTGGCGACGCATCAGCGGTTGCGTGCGAAGCTGCATTCTCCTTGTGCCACGACTGCAGGTGCTTGCTGACGTCAGTGCTTTCGTCATATTGGTCCAGGGAGATTGATACGGACAAAGTTCTGCCAGCCAGGCGCAAACCCTCGGTTCCCACCTCCCCCTGCTGCTGCTGCTGCTGCTGCTGCTGCTGCTGCTGCTGCTGCTGCTGCTGCTGCTGCTGCTGCTGCTGCTGCTGCTGCTGCTGCTGCTGCTGCTGCTGCTGCTGCTGCAGCAGCAGTTCCGGCTCTTGTCGTTCCTGGGAAACACTACTCTGATGCGCTTCGCCCTGATGCGCCTCGTCCTGTTTCACTTCGCCCTGCGCCGCAGTTACTACCTCCCCCCGTTGCAGCCTCTCCAGCTGAGCCTGCGCCTCCTCTATCTCCCGCTTCAGCGCCAACAGCTGCGCGTCCGCGTCAGCTTCCCCTCCATCCCCTTTTTCCCCTCTACTTTCCCCCGCGCCTCCCGCCGCGCGTGCTTCCCCCCCTCCACATACCCCATTTGTTTCCTGCGCGTTTTCCGAATCGCCTTCCTGCTTTTCAACCTCAACCTTTTCGGCTGCCAACTTTTTAACCCTAGCTCTTTCAGCTGCCCGCTGCGTCTTTCTGTTCTCAGCGTCCTCCTGTTTTTTCACCCAGTCCCATTTCCCTTCCTTTTTCCCCTTCTTTTTCGATTTACCCTTTTTTTTCTTCGTTTTTCTCCCTCCGTCCTCCCCCTCAGCCTCGCCTTCGCTTCCGCTCCCGGATTCGCTACTGTCGCTATCGCTACTGTCACTCTCACCGTGTTCGTTAGAAGGCCGTTCTTCGACGCGAGTTTTATACGCGTTAGGAGCATCATCATACACGATTAGCTCCGAAGGCTCGTCGGCGATCCGCCCGCGGAAGCATCGAAACGTGGCGGCAAGCGATTGGCGGATGGAGGCGCGAAACGCGTCGTCGTCGCAAAGATCAGCTTCGTTAGAGGATGCTTCGTTAAGAGCAGTTTCTTTGCCAGCGGCAATCACGGCGTTTTGAAACGCGCATCGGGTCCGCCCGAGAAGCGCGCGCGCCTGGTCTTTACTCAGCGGCTCGTAGCCAATCAGAAAGAATACCGCCCCGTTATAGTTACTCCCTCGCTGCGATTCGGTCGCTCCGTTCGCGGCGCGGTCAGACAAATCGCCCGCGCCACTCGCGCCGTTTGCGCCGTTCGGACGCTGCGCTTCCGCCTTCACCGAGACAGCGGCGGAGTCGAAAGGCTCGTCGCGCGCGCGCTGGATGAGCGCGAAGACTCGCCCGCAGCCCTGTGATGGGGGGTTGTGGGGAAGGGAGGGAAAAGGGGGGAAGGGTCGGGGGTTGAGTTGTGGGGAGGTAAGAGGGAGGGGGGAGGGAGGGGAGACGGAAGCTGGAAAGGTGGGAGGTAAAACGGGAGAGGGGGGAGGGAGAGGGAAGGGGGAAGAAGGGTGGGAGGTGGGGAGGTTGAAGGGGAAAGAGTCTCAAACGGAAGAGTGCGGCCCCGCAATTGGTCGAAGGAGGAGACCAACACGGAGGGTTGAAAAAAAAAAAAAACGCACGAGGAGATTTGTGTCAGATGCGTGATATCGAAGAGGAGGGGGAACGGGAGAGGAAATTGGCGCCACAGTCTTACGAGTGACAGCTGAGTGGCGAAAGGAGGGAGGTCTTTAATCGCCTCCGTAACAGCCGGTGCGAGCGCGGCCGTCTCGCGACCATAATCCGCCACGACACGGCCCCGCCACGCCACGCCCGCGTAGCTCACTAACTCCTGCTCCATCGCCGCGACAATCGCCGCGCGACGATCGCCTGCGACTCCACTCTGCGACGCCTGCGATTCCCCTCTGCGACCCGTGCTCGACTCCCTTGTGCGACGCTGCTTCGCGGCGAGCCAGCGCGCTGTCGTGCGACTCCCCCCGCGACAGCAGCAACGACAGCTGCGACTAATGCGACGGTGCTTGGAGAGAGCTCTTCGTGACGATCGTAGGATAGCGTGCTCGTGTCGAACGACGCGCCGTATATTTAGCTCTTAATCGGTTACTTCAAAATTGCACGGGTGACTAACAACAGTCGTACTAAGCGTCGCTCTTTAGTACGGCATTCGGCGGTACCATTCGAGCTACGTGCATTGCTTTTTGAACGACATGATTATACACTCACGTCCCTCTGCGTTAGGACGATAGGTAGCTGAGGACGCTGCTCGGAACGAGAACGCAAAGCCGAAAGATGGTCCCACAGTAGAGCCACCTTCTACACTAATATGGAATAAGCGCGCGTAATCCGGCGATCGTGCATAGCCGTCGCGTATTCCTTTGCGTTTTCTCAAGGGTCGACCTAACTGCAGTAGTGTCACCAACCACACCACGCTCACGTGGCGAGCAAATCTGGGAGGTAAGTGCTCTCCCAGCGATCCCTTCCCGCAACCTTCGCTGCTCGGAAAAAAAATCAATGGTGGAACCACGGACACATGACATCGAAAACTTGGATGGTAGACAAACTTCAGGGAAGGGGTGGGCAAACTTCAGGAAGGCGTCATCTCAGAAAAACTGAGGTTGACGGCGGCCGCATTAGGCTGGGCGTTACAGCGGGGATGTTTGTTTTTTGCTCGAGCGAACTTGCTGGTCCATCGTTCGTTACACGAGTAGGCAGCAGAGCAGCAAGCCGCGCACCACGCACACCTGATCCTGATGGATTGGTGTGAACAAACAGAAGCGGAGGGGAGGAAGCAAAGGTACTTCTGTACACGGATGTGTAGTTTTGTCCTTCTGTACTTTCCCGCTGGGGGCTTGAGGTTGCGAACTTTGAACACCAGTGGACAAATCTATGAAGGCTTCAAAGAATTTCAATTACCTTCAATGAATTCCATACCCACGTATTTAATATGGGTTTAGTGGTATAAGTTCTAATGGGCACCGAAGCGAGAAGAGAAAATGTTTGGACGTGAAGGAACGATGAGCCACTGCACATAATTGGACAAAATACAGTGCTTCCCACATCGGTTACTCGATAACGACAAGCTGGGTGCATGAAAATATGAGAATAGACACCCTTCGTACACATGAAGAAACGTGTAGCGATGTGAAATGCTGCTGAGGTCATTCAGAGCGTGTCAATATTTCAGAAACAAAGGAGAGCTTCAGCTCGGTGTAACACCAAAACCACACTTCTCTGCAGGATGTTGCAAATCTTCGCACCAAGGGTAACCACGCAAATCCAGCTTCGAATGCGCGGATGGCACAGGTGGGGTGGGTCTCTTCCTTCGAGTTGGGGGTCTTATGTGTCAGTTGCAGAACCGACAAGCAATGTTTCCCATCCGGCAGGCCAATGAGAGCTGCCCATGTGTCGTTCGAGCGGTCCTGGATTGTTTTGTAAGAGGTAAAACCTGCCACCTGTGAGCACCCTCACCGCAGAATCTAGCGCAGCGTCGTCTCATATCTCATGCCTCTATTGGCTGCGGAAATTCCCTCCTAGTCATTGGCTTGGTGATTGCATTTTTTATGAGTAATCACCAGAGATATTATGAGGTATTATGAGATATTATGCTTTGTAATAATTCACTTGTACCAGAGATATTATGCTTTGTAATAATTCACTTGTACCAGTAGGCCCCTTCATAATTTTACATATGTTGCCTCTAGGTATATACTCCAGACATCAGAATATAATTCCCAACAAAAATTACACTAGGAGGCCAGTTTAGGACACTTAAGAGGCCCTCCAAATTAATTATTGGAGGTAAAAAACCCACAAAAACAACACACAAGCACAGTGCTACCGGTATATTGCCACCCTAATGTTGGCTTCACGTGCACGTGACTTCTGCAACACTTGCCGAGCGCACGTGTCGGCGGGGAGCTGGTGCATTTCTTGCACGTGACTGGTCCGGTGCTGCTGGGGCTTTAAACCCTGATGCAGCAGAGGGAGGGAAAGGAGTACGAGTTGTGGTGTTGGAGCGTGGGATTGAGGAGCGTGTGGCAGGAAAGCGGGGGGAGAGAGGAGCAGACGAGCGAGGGGAGAGGGGAGCAGAGGCGCGAGGAGAGAGGGGAGCAGAGGCGCGAGGGGAGAGCGGAGCAGAGGCGCGAGGGGAGAGGGGAGCAGAAGCGCGCGGGGAGAGAGGAGCAGAAGAACGAGGGGAGAGAGGAGTGGCAAATGAGCGGGGGGAGAGAGGGGTGGCGTATGAGCGGGGGGAGAGAGGGGCAGGGCCAGAAGATCGAGGGGAAAGAGGGGCAGCAGAGAACGAACGAGGGGAAAGAGGAGCAGAGGCGCGAGGGGAGAGGGGGGCAGGACCAGACGAGCGAGGGGAGAGGGGGGCAGCAGCGAATGAGCGAGGGGAGAGAGGGGCAGAAGAGCGAGGGGAGAGGGGAGCGGAGGAGCGAGGGGAGTGAGGGGGAGGGGACTGCGGGCCTGGGGAGCGGGGAGTGGGCGGAGATTGAACTGTCTGAACCGAGTGCGAGCGGGGGGAGCGGGGAGTGGATGGGGACTGAACCGACTGAACCGAGAGCGAGCGGAGCGACTGAGAGATCCCAACCAGCACGCTGGGCGGCATTCTCGGACGAGGGACAGAATCGCCCGCGCCTTTTGGAACCAGTCCGGCTGTAGCGGCTGCAGCGTGGGCTGTAGCGTGGGGAGCAGCAGCGCGAGGGGAGGGGTGGGGGGCAAGAGCAGCAGCGCTGCCCATGCTGTGGTGGCGAGCATGCCGAGGGGAGCGCAGGGGAAGGCCCTGTGACGACAGCTTCTGGTGGGGGCTCTGAGGGGGGTGCTGCAGTGGCCCCTGTGGCCCCTGAAGTGAACCCTGAAGTGAACCCTGAACTGGCCCCAGCGTTGGCACCCCCTGAAAGGTCCCTGTCCCTTGTAGAGGCAGGCGATCCGCTGAGAAAGTGTGCGATGGGGCCCCGCGCGCTGCTGCTGCTGCCGCTGCGGCTCGGGCTGATGAGGCGGGGCTTCGAGTGGCGGCACTTGGCGGATGTGGGGAGAAGCGCGGAGCGGGCGGCGAGGTAACCGATGGACCCGGCACACGGTTACCACCACTGCCGCTGCTGCTGCCGCTGCTGTTACGCACAGTGCTACCGCTACCCCCATCCCCACCCGTACCACCCGTGCCACTACCACTGCCCGTGCTGCTGCTGCTGCTGCTGAAGGTGCTGCTGCTGCTGGTGCTGCCAGCGCTGCTACAGCCATTCATCTCCGGTTTCCCTAGGAAAGCGTCGCGTCGAGTGCCTGGGGAAGGCGGACACACTGAGAGGTTCCGCGAGCCGGGGCGATCCAATGGTCCTGATTGCTCCGATCGCTCTGTTCGCTCGGCGCGCTCTGATAGTTCGAATCGCTCTGATCGATTCGCCCGTTCTGGACGGTCGGAATTCCTACGCAGGGGGATGCTGCCGCTGCTGCTGCTGCCGCCGCTACGACTGCTGACGTCAGCCGTCGGGCGATCCGAGAGGCTGACGCTGCTGCACCTGGCAACGATCCCTCCCCCCCCTGCTCCCCGCCCATTTCCCCCTCCTCCTGCTACTCCTCCTGCCGCTGCTGCCAACGCGGCCATGCGTGCAACATCGTTGCCTGAACGTTCAACGAAGCTACGGCTCCTGGCGTGCCGAACAGGCGCACCCGACCCAACCGCACCCGACCCAGCTGCACCCCTGCCACCTGTTTCCCCGAAAGCAGGCGCATTCCTGCCGCCCATACCACTGCCGCCGCCCGTACTGCCGCTGCTGCTCGCATAACTGCCATTGCCGCCCACTCTGGCCTCTCCGTCTGTTACGCCGCTTCCCCTACCAGTAACGCCAGTTCCGCCCACCCGATTAGTTGGAGTGGTAGCGGCAGTCGGAGAAACCCCGTTATTGTTGATCCCGTTAATGTTAGCAGCGCGAATTCCACCGCTGCTACCGTCGCGGCCACTCCCGTCGCTCGCTCCGCTCGGCAGCGCGTTTCGCGCAGCAGCCGAGCCGCCGGTTGACGACCAACTTCCGCTCCTGCCTACTCTCCGCGCGCCCCCCGCCCCGCCGGCGGAAGACCCAGGGGGAGGCGTGGGCACGAGCGCAGGCGCAGGAGCAGGGGCGGGAGAAGACGTAGGCGCGGCGGATCTGGGCTGCGTTGGGGCGGCGGAAGCAGCGGCATGGGCGGAAGAACGCGCGGGCGCAGGCGCAGGCGCAGACGCAGATTCGCCCTTCCTTCCCCCCGCCCTTCCGCCGGGCGACTCGGCCCCCACCGGCCCTTGCGCAAGAGCAGCGGAAGCGGCGGAAGATGCGTGGACCCCGTTGATCGACTGCCATCCGGCCGTTCCTTGACTCGCGCTCCCACCCGTCGCGTTCCCAGCCGTCGGATCATTCCCGCTCACGAGATCCATCGCCGCGGCCGTCATATCGGCGGAGAAAAAGTGCCGCGGGATGCGCCGCACGCGCACGAGCTCGTTAAACGACACCTGGCGCGTCGGCCGCCGTTCGCCGCGGTTCGGCGGGCTGACGCCGGACGACGATGACGTCGCCGCCGCCGGCGCTGACGTGTCATTACCTGGCTCGGGAATCGATCGGCCAATGGTGGGGCTGTTCAGAAGATCCGTGGGCTCGCAGGGATCCTGTAACGATAGCGAGTTTGGGATCACGCAATGACGCGTACGAGAGGAAGAGGAGGAGGCGGCGGCGGCGGCGGCGGACGAAGAGGCGGAAGCGGAAGCGGAAGCGGAGGGAGCGAGCGACGCGGGGGTGGTGTGTGAACGGTAGATCCGACCGTTGGTGTTCACGCGGAATCGAATCGGCTCCGTCGATACTCCGCCCCGCCCCGGCGGGGAAATGCTAACCGCGCCGGACGCGGAAGGCGAGCGCGAATGAGTGGGGCGGGGAGCGGCATTGGGGGAATTTGGGCGCGGAGGGGGAGGGGTTGGGCGGGATAAACTTCGCCTGGAAGGAGGATGGGTGGCGCCGAGATTCATATTACCCTTCGATTTCGAGGGTTTTGAGAAATCACTCCCGTAACCACCCCCGAAGCCACCCCCTCCATAACCACCCCCGCCGCACTCAACCGGGCTGGAATTATCCCGAACGAGATCCGTGAGCGACCCGCAGCTTGCGGAGGGTCGAAACGCGTTCTGCTGCGCTGCTCCGCTCGCCTTCTGCTGCGACTGCGGCTGTCGCTTCCGCGCAACTGCCGCCTGCTGCTCTGCGCGACGCGAGTAGGAGAGCCCGCCGTTACTAGCGCTGCTGTCGCCCGCAAAAGTTCCCGTTGCCGCCGCCGCCGCAGACGCGGTGAAATCGTCCCACGCGCGGCTCAAATCGTCCTCGTTCGCGCTAATGACCGATCCGATAGAAGCATTCGTCGCTCGCGAAGACCCACCCCCGAACGACGCGCGTCTCGCGGGTGCCCTAGAAGCGGGACTGGCGCCGTCAGTTGCGGCACCATCGGCGCTCCTCCTCCCTTGACTTTGGCCCTTCCGCGTGCTGTTTAACCACGCCACGGCATTATCGATGGAGATGACACGTGGCACGGGCGAGGCGCCGCGGCTCGGATGGTTCGGTCCCGTTGGAAGACTTTCCGGCGACAGGTCAGCAGGAGGCGGCGACGTAACGCTAGAAGCTGTTATTCGCCAAATCCCCTTCGTCGCTGCTCCATACGATCCCGACGACGTCGGCGACGGCGATCGGCTGTACTTCTGCGACGTCGCAGAGGACGGCCGGCCAGGTCGCTCGGCGTTGCTACTACCGCCGTTACTGCCGCCGAACATCCCTGCCGCTGCCGCGTCGACGGACGCGCACCGCGCTACAAACCCGCGGCTTGCCGCAGGCGGGCTAACATGATTGGCGGCAGCGCAGGGAGCCGCGTGATTCGGGCTGAAAATTCCTTCGAGAGATCCCGAGTGGAAGCCATTGGAGGCTGACGGTCGTGGCGGCGCCGTGCCGGTTCGCGTGAACAGCCGCGCGAATTGCGCGCGCCGTCCCGTCGTCGATCGCCCCGACTCGCCGCCCGTGCTGGAGCCGTATCCCATATCTTCCGTGTCCGACGTGGCGTTTCCATTGGCGATCGTCTTGCTGGGGCGCAGTAGGAGTGAGCGCGAGCGCCTCGGTTCCGCGCCGCCTTCACTATCGGAGTTGCCGGCGGACGTGCCTCCGCTCAAGGAGCGCCGCAGTCGGCGACCCCATCCCGATGTCGAAAGCGGTGGACCCGCCCGCGATGCCCGCTTCGACAGAATCGCGCACGCGCATGGATTGCGCCGACACGTGCAGGGAGTGCGCGCGGCGGGGCTGGGCGGCATCTCCCATTGGCTGTCCATATCCGCGGATTCCGCCGCCCGCTGCCGAACCAGCTCCTGGTTCGGGCTCCGAACCACCGTCCGAGCCTGGAAAAACTCCGACGGGGAGTGGCCTGGAAACGCGGGGGAGTTCTCGCAGCTGCTGAGGCCGAAATCTTGCGGGGAAGGGGAACAGGACGAGCCGGGGAAGGCGGGACCTGGGTAACCGGAAGGCGAGGGGGAGGTGGAACCGGGGAAGGCGGGATCTGATGAATTATTGCTGGGGACGACGATCGGCGGAGGGCAGTAGGTGGAGAAAGAGGCGGAGCGCGACCGCGTGCGAGCCGCGCCGAAGGACCCGGCAGGAGATGCGGGATTGTAGGGCCCAGAGCCTGGCGGTAGTAAGGGTGACGCCCGCATTGCGGCTGATGTTGTGGGAGCATCGCTGATGCTGAGCGATCGGTGGCGCTCGTAAGCGACCTCCATGGCTGTCGGCTAGGAGGAGCTGTGTTACTGAAATGGGAAGTACGATCCGTGATTGGAGTTATGAAATGGTTGGCTGTGGGTTTTTAGAGGGAGGGAAACGAGTCACCGCTTGGTGGCAGTGCGAACGTGGAGGAAAACACTTTACCTGTAAGGGAAACAAAGGCACGCACGAACGTTGTGTGTGTGGGTGTCAGAGGCTGTCATGCATTTGAATTTTGTGAGTGCAATCGGACATGAGGAAGAGGTGGAATGGTGTTGGACGGACAGGAAGGGAGAGATGACGAAGGCGGTGGCGGCGTGGGATGGCCCAATGGTTGCCCAATCATCATCCATTCTACCACCACCCAACCCCTCCCCACCACTCACCAGCAGACAGACCACTAGCAACCCAGCTTTCCCGGTGCAGGCAGGCAGTTGCAAAAGCTAGCAAATTGCATGATTGCATGGATTTTTCTGTCTGATTTGGTCCCTTCAACCTTCGGGTCGCGGGCATTGCTTTTGGCTGTCGCGGCAGGCGATGCTCGGCTATCAGACAGGGATTGACATGTCGACAAGGGGAAGGAGGCTTGGTCTAGAAGGGTAAGTACCCGTTAAAATCTAACCGAGTGCACGTACCCAAACTTGCCCCAGTGCCCCTGTGCCTCCTTTTCATCCACAGCCCCAGTGCCCCATTGCTTCTCCACTGTACATGTAACTCTCATTAAATCGAAGCGTGATACGCTAGCTAACTACGTGGGCCCAATCGAGTCTGATCGCGACTGAACTGATCGGGTCGGACCTGATCGGGTTGCTTGTGATCGCAGTGCCCGAGCCGCGCGATTAGAAATGTTTTTCGAAGAAGTCTGTCAGCGCCTGCCGAGCAAGCGCAACACATTTACCTAGCAGCTTTGTCCCCATTCTAGCGAGATTGACGACCATACGTCACTTGGCGAAAGTAGACGTTTTACGGTCAGTGCAACAGTGTAACTACTCGCAAGCATCGTTGTGGGCCCCGATCATATGCAATCCAGTGATCGCCTGTGATCGAGGAAAATTGGCTCTGATCGGGGTGAAAATCGGGTCTGATCGACTTGGGGCGATCTGTTGATCGCGATCAGCTGATTGCCTCCGATTGCATGAAATCGGCTTCCAGGCTTCCTGGAAATTTTTGATCGCGTGTGATCGAGGCGATCAAACTCGTTTGGGCCCACGTCATAACTGTGCGCCGGACATGGTAAATATCCAGCACTGTGATTCCGACATTGTGAGTGGAATGGTATGGAAACGGAGTGCAGATGCTGGGTAGACGGATGTTTCGAAAGGAACCGAAAAAAGGCAGTAGGACCAATCATAGTTTGCATTTGCCTACACTACAACAAGTTCTTGACAAGTTTCCTGAGTTCTACAGTTGAACCGAGCTGATTTGGCGTGAATTGGAACAGTTTCACGAAAACCGCGTCACATGGAACGCGCGACTAGAGATAGGACTTCCATACCTGCGACTCGAAAATGTGTACACCGGGCACCACATGTGACGGGTAACCCGTGTCTAAACGACACGGCGTGCCCCATCGCCTGATAAGATCCGATCATCCCAGTCCAGGGAAGTATCCAATCGTCACGATTGACGATTGTTTCTTGTTGAGGCAATTACTGCACTGTACACAAAACTGTAGCTCCAAACCAAATACTGTACAACGGAATCAACATTCAGGTTCAGAGTGCTTGGCTTTGCATGTAGGCAAACCAGGGACAATTAAACTCTCAACGTTACTCCCGTTCTGAAATTTGCAAATAATACACTTCTCAATACTGAAAGAAGTTTCATGGAGGCCACAAAAGCAGAAAACTTTTTTTGCGATTGCTGAAAGTAGGGCATAAAGTTTTTGTGCGATTGCTGAAAGTCGGACGGGCGGCATTCGCTCCCCCTACGATAGATCACCCGTACAGAACTGTATCATTCCCGACAGAAATGCAATTGCTGCAGTCGGCTGTTCCTCTTTGTACAGTAGCCCTCAGAATCCGCCTTTGTACGGGGCCCACCCTCCAAACCACAAAACTCGTGTGACGTGTCGTGTTGTGTGGCTGCTTGCTGCGAAAAGGACCTTTGGTTCCACTTCGGTTCCTCCCCTCCTCCCCTCCTTGCACTGTTCAGTATATTACAGAGGTCACTATATGTTAGAGAATGCCTGGGTGAATAAGTGATAATGAGACTATTGTATAAAATGTTGGAACACCTCAAGGTCGGTCTCACCGTCACGTTGTTTCACGCCCTAAAGGTAGCATTGACAGAAATTAAGGAATGCACTTCCCAACCCATCCACTCACCATAAGCCGCTGTACCGATGGGTCACGAGACCTTACCGTATTTACGAGATGATGTGTAGCTGAAGGAACACGTATATGAGGTAGCCATGCTACAATGAATGAACCCTTTCACACCCTGTAACAAATGGTGCGTCCCATCCCATCCAATGCGAGAAAACTTACGGTAAGCGAAGTGCACATGTCATTCCATCCACCTCACCTCATCCCAATACCGTATCACCCCGGATAGTAGCGCATATGCGCTTATAATAAAATTTAAAAAATTAGGGGGAGGGGGGGGGGCGCTTGTAATTGAGTCTAGGGCATAAGCGCATGCTCTTATATAATGACAGTCACAAAAATGCATTTTTAGAGCACCAAATAGTACATTTCATTCTTGCCATTTCAACCTAGTCGAATATTTTTCGAGTCACCAAGCAGAATCGCGCGGAAGCGATTGAGGACCGGCCATAAGCGCATGGCTCCATATAGAAGCGCCGGCGCTACTATCCGGGGTGATACGGTAAAGGTGCACAATGCACATTGCATCACCCTGACCCTGTCGTTCGGTGTCGCAAACAAATCAATGAAGGCTCATGGGTCATGTAACCACTCCATACAGCTTTGCACAAGCAACCATTCCATTCCGCGACCACTTTCATTAAGATCTTGGTGCGTGTTCCATAGAATAATCTGCTGGTTAAAGCCCGCATGCAAAATAGTGACCCCCCCCTTCTAGTTGGGTCCACTAGAAAGCTCATGAAAATTTCCAGAAAGTTTGGTGTTTTTTTCTGAACAGGGCAAGTCCCCAAGTAGTAACAAGACCGATTTGAAGTTGTTTCCGAATTCTGATACGATCAGTCGCAACTTGCACAGAATTGTCGCAAGCTTGCTATGACATTTCCACTTCTCCCACCCATCCAAATCCGCATCGAGCACAACACATCACAAATTTCACAACGGAACCTGCCACCACACACGCAGCATACACACAATGTTGAGCTAACTAACAACACAGAGTGATGCAAGTAGCAAACAGAAGAACGACAAGGTGACTCGAGAGGAGAGGGGCCGACGGGAATTAGAACGGCAAGGGAGGGGGTATAGCGAGGGCGATTTACCGTACAATGGGGGAGATCGCGGGCGACGGAAAATGGAGTAGATCGCGTAGGCGACTGCAAATAGGGGATCGCTATGAGATCGCGTTGGAGATAGCGAGCGCGACGGGGAGAGGGGGGGGAAACAGCGAGCGCGACCATCAGAAAAATGTCCGCCCAGTTTGGGGCAGTAAACAGTCGAGGAGGTGAAGGAGCGTGGGAGTTGACTGTCGTGTTCCGCTTGCCTAGTTAACGAGGCAGTCATCTGCCCAAAACAGGTGGTGCTGTCAACGCTGATTGACAACCACTTTTCGGTCCGAAGGTAAGTTCGGTTGTGTGGTGGTTGACGCAGCAACAACGAACGGATTCTGCAGGTTGCGGTCGAAATCAGCTCGAGGTGTCAGCTTCGATTGGCCACGTGGACTGTAGGAACAACATCGGTTTAGGGCAGGAACTGGTGGTATACACCGTTGCGACGAACAATTGGGAAGATGTGCTGGCGTTTACGATATGGTTACCTGAGCAACTAATTTTCAATTGTAACCAGCTAAACTAAATATTTCAGCTCGTTATCGAGGAATTTGTTGTATTCCTGGAAATTAACAACTCGATATAGTCACAGGTGTGGAAAATAAAGTGACGTGATTGTATGCAACAGATCTCAATATATTTAAAATTATTGCTACATTGATATAAAACTGCATTGACTACGATATAAAAAGGTTGATATTATTCTGCAGAATTAGTGATTACATAATACTCTAAATCATAAAATCATCAATTAGAAAAAACCTACTACATTTAGAAAGTATTCATAGGTTGTTAATAGGAGGCCAGGGGGTTGGAACGACCCCTGAGGGGAAGAAAAACAGCTCATATCCCTCTATCAAAATCCTAACTTTCCCAATGCCCATCTCAAACCCCATGGGCTCATCGATCTTGAACGTGGTAGGCTCCCTTTCAAGGGTTTCCTTCAGCCAGGCAGCAACCACCTGTGAAGATAGTAAGCACAAGTAGGAGCCATAGCTAGGTGAGCCCTAGCTAGGCAAGAGAAAGTTTAGGCAAAAGAGATGGTTTCACTAGCAGCAATGAGGATACATATAGCAAACCCTAGATGGGTTGTACTCGCTATAGAGCACCCCACTACAGGCTAGAGAATAACATTCTGACACACCCCCATAGCCAAAGTGGGGTGTAATCAGTACAATGAGCAAGCAGGTATAGAGCAGGAGTTCACAAAGGTAAGCAAAGCTAGAGCTAATCACAGAGGGCAAGTGAGGAGGAGGAGAGACTGTGGAGGGAGAGAAGATGGGAGGCAACGACTGAAGCTGCAGAGGCACGGGCACAGGAGCGGCTGACTCAGTGGCTACCGAAGCAAGGGCGACGGACTACTGGAGTGACTGGCTCCGCGGCTATAGACGAGCGGCAGGAGCAACGGACCCACTGGCGACTGGTGCAACAGGCTCACTGGCTACCGAAGCAAGGGCGACGGACTACAGGCGCTGCAGGCTACAAGACAGCTACCTTCACACAACCTCCCCCAGCTGCCCCACGCCCCTCTCACACACCCCCTGCTCAAACCCTAGCTCCACTCCCACAGCACCCCCCTTAAACCCTAAACCCCAGGCTCCCACACATCCACCCCCCTCAGCGACAGCTGCAGCAGTGGGAGACAAAGGAGGAGGAGGAGGAGGGGACGGCGCACACAACCGACACCCCCACAACCGCCACCCCCACACCCCGCACCCCCAAACCCTAAAACGGGTGGGACGGGGAAGTAGCGCGGGGGACGGCGAGGGGAACGGCGCGCGGCCCCCAGGGCGCCACCACGGGGCAGCGAGGGGCCGCGCGCGGCTCCCCAGGGCGCCGCGAAGGGGCAGCGGGAGGGCGGCGACGGGACCGCTGCGGGCGGCGACGGGGCCGCGGAGGGCGGCGACGGGGCCGCGGCGGGCGGCGACGGTGGGGGCGGCGAAGGGGTCGCAGCGGGCGGCGACGGGGCCGCCGCGGGCGGCGACGGGGCCGCTGCGGACGGCGACGGGGCCGCTGCGGGCTGCGACGGGGCCGCTGCGGGCGGCGACAGGGCCGCTGCGGCGGCGACGGGGCCGCTGCGGGCGGCGACGGGGCCGTAGAGGGCGGCGACGGGGCCGCTGCGGGCGGCGACGGGGCCGCGAAGGGGGGGGGGGGAGGGGCCGAGTGGGGGCCGCGAAGGGCGGCGACGGGGCCGCGAAGAGCGGCAACGGGGCCGCGGCGCGCGGCGGGATGAAAAATGCGTCGCACGCCACGGGGCGTGCGACAGATCGAGTAGCAGCGGAAGCAGGAGTAGGGCCCACAGGCCAGGAGCGTGAGTGCTCTGAAACCATGTGAAGATAGTAAGCACAAGTAGGAGCCATAGCTAGGTGAGCCCTAGCTATGCAAGAGAAAGTTTAGGCAAAAGAGATGGTTTCACTAGCAGCAATGAGGATACATATAGCAAACCCTAGATGGGTTGTACTCGCTATAGAGCACCCCACTACAGGCTAGAGAATAACATTCTGACACCACCCTCGTCTTGGCATGGACGTTGTTGCGGTTGTTGGTCTCATTGTTGTCCAGAGATGCATGGCCCTTCTTGCCCTTGTGGTTCTCCAATGGCCATTCAACCTGCCACCAATGAAAGGCGCTAAGTTAAGAACAATATGCAGGGGGAAACAAACTGGATCAAATAACACAAGTGACATCTTACCACGTTGCACAGATAGCCGACCGCTGGAATCTTCACTGCAAACATGTTGCACCGGGCACTGACGAATGCCTTTTTGACTGCCAGCTCAAAGGCTGCATTCGCGAAAGGGCGGCCCTGAGCAGAGCAATGCCAGTCGTAGCCATACTTCGCTGCGGAGATAAAAACAATGGCAATCAGATCTGTGCGCAAGAACATTCCAGCATGGTGCGGATGCGAGAAAAGACAAGCACACTCACGGTGTTTGAACTGCTCCACCCACTCCTTTTCGTTGCGCGCCTTTGATGGAGTGATGCCACCAACCTTCAAAAGGAACCACTTATCCTGGTCAATGACGCCACCAGCACCCCACGCCCAGAGCTTGATCGGCTTGTTCATGTTCGCGCGTTTGCAGCCAATCACCTTCAGCGCCCGATCAATGCGCTTGCTGTTCCCGCCCATGAAGAGGTAGTACTCATCTTGCGTGGTCCCCTCAGCTACGTACTTGCGCACCAAATGCGGCTGGAATTCTTCCCACAGAGGATAGAACTCCATCTCTCCTGCAGGGGCAAGGGTGATGAGCCAGGCGAAGGTTTTACCCACCATTTCCTGACAATCAACACAAGGACGCACAAGGGTGAGGAGGGGGTTAAATTTCAGGCACCGGACATGCTACACACAAGTTTGTGGACGGGACTCACAAAAGACGGACAGAAGGAAGTGGTGGACGGGCCGAGAGCGGTAGCAAGAGGAAGGGTTGGGGGCGGGTTTAAAGACAGAACTTGCAAGACATAAAAGGATAGCACATCCGAAAATACATACTATCAGAATGGCACCTCGGTTAACTAACTTACATCGAATGCATCGTCGCTGCTGACTGATGACGGAATGGTCGGGTTGGCCGCAACGTCCTTACGGACGTTCTCCATTCGGACCAGGGGGTCAGAAGGGTCCCGAAGGGCGCCCACGTCCGAGCTCGTTCCAGCGACTTCCGCTGAAAGCTGTCGCTGCATCGACTCCAACTGCGTTTTCAGACTATCGCGTTCAGCCTCCACCGCCTTGATCCTGGCCCTTGCCTCCTGCAGCTGCGCGTTCAGAGTGGAGACCGTGTTCTGCAGGTCACGCAATAGCGCCTCCAGCTGTCGTGCTTCCCTGAAATGGTGCGCACCAGCAACTACGGGACAAGCCCCGGGAATAACACGTATCGAGAAAGGCAGACAACAAGCAAGTGGAAAGAACAATTAGACAGTCATCCAGCCGACGTTATGAACAACGGAGCTCAGCTCATAGAAATAAAATGCATAACACATTGGCGAGAGGAGGGGGCGAGTGGGGGGCCGGGGGGGGGGAAACGTAGGATGGAGTTGAGCAACAATTCAAGAACTGGCACCGTAGCTATGAGCGTGTTGCGTTTGCTTACCTTGCGACCGTTCACGCCTAGCGGGTGCTGCCGGGTTATTAGGCTGCGAGGTGTGCGGCGCCAGCTCCGTCTGGCGAGCCTCCGCAGAGCGCACATCTGCCGCGCGAACCGCCGCAGCGCGGTCCTCCGCCGCGCGAACCTCCGCAGCCCGAATCTCCGCCGCTCGAATCTCCGCCGCCCGAATCTCCGCCGCCCGAAGCTCCGCCGCCCGAAGCTCCGCCGCCCGAAGCTCCGCCGCCCGAACCTCCGCCGCCCGAACCTCCGCCGCGCACACTTCCGCTGCGTGCAATTCATCGTCGTTTCCCGCTTGGACGCCGTCAGCATCATCTGCATCGTCGTCGTTCCCGTCTTCGTCGTCGCTACCAGCTTCGATGCCGTATGCGATGAAGGGATCCACGCCGCCCTCCTCTGCGGCCTCAATCACTGCTGCCATCATCGGACCCGGGGCTCCGGCGGCAGGCACGGGGGGTGCAGGGAGAGCTCCAGTATCTGCGTCTGACGCGATACCGCAGACTATGCCGCCTGTGGTTGGTGCGCCGTTTTGCGTGGTGTCCATTGCTTCTGCCACCGGTGCAGGGTTCGCGCCTTCTGCTTCTGACGAAGTGCCGGCGGTAGGGTAGTCAGCGGATGGCGAGCCTGCAGGAATGTTGCCATTCGCACCAGAGGATCGACCACGCGCACCAGAGCCGGCGGCAGCACGTTTCCTCTTAGACCCGCCCCGACGGCCTGCAGCTGCCGTCTTACCAACCGTGGGAGCGCCGTGGAGAGTGTTGACTGCAGCTGTTTTTAAGGCAGCCTCTTTAGCTAACTGCCGCCTCTTAATCTCTTCTGTAAGAACGTCATCTCCCAGCTGTGACAGTGCAGAGGCATCGAGCAGATTAAGAGCAGAATGAGGGTGGGGCAAGGTGACCCCTGCTGGATCTGGCAAAACTCTTTTCCCGGTGCCTGCCCGCACTAACTGTCCCCCGTTCTGAGCCATAGGTTTGAGGATAGTGATGGTTGACGACCAGTTAAACTTACCAAATGGGGAAAATGCCACGACGCAACCAGCCATGAGCTTTTTTTTTCGCACGGCTTATTATCTGAAATTTTTAGCGACACAGTGAATGTTTGCGACTTCTCAACCCCATATGTCCATTGTTTCCCATGCCTTTTCCCAGAAAATGTTACTGTGAACTTTGATTCGGCGAACGAGGAAGCAAGGTAACATGCATATATGTGGATTAACGTGCCTAAACTAAAAAACACACCCATAAACTATGTTACGAAACTATGATATTTCAAACTGTAGTGATCTAGCGCGGCGTGAACGAAAAAGAGTGTTGAAGTCACACTTGCGCGTCAAACACGAACTTGTCTGATATTTACTCGAAAGCAAATGGAACTACCACGGTCGCGGTCAAGCGGTTAGTTTACAACTAAAATTTTCCATCTCGTACAAGCACCACTTCGAAAGGTGCAGGTGAGACAAACGTCGCCACCGCGCAGACCTCGACTCCAACGGAGCTGATGTCACGCGTGTGCGGCGCGCAGTGTGGCACGTAGCTGGAGAAAATGCCTGAATGTGTCTCGTTTTCGACTATCGTGCTGCCAACACGACTGTTATTGCCGCAGAATGAACCAATCGGAAGCTGCCACCATCTGTGTTGGCAACTGGAAGATTTCGACCGACTAGTGCGACACCGCCATCCACATTCAGGTGCACCCCACAGTGCGCAACGCGAGGCAGTTATCCTTGTCTGACGGTGTCGTGTGTGGCAGCTGCCATTGCATCGATGGTGACTTAATAACGAGGAAGCGGGACAAAGTATGCTGTCTGGTACTGACTGCAAACGAATTGGGAACGTAATATAAAATACAGATTGAAGTATTTGACTCTTAAAAGGCTAAGGCAACCTAGATGGCTTTGTTTGCCTGCCAGGCCACTTAAATATACTACCCAGTATGAAGTTTTCACCATGCAAACCTATTAACGAACCACTTTTCAGCGTCTTTGTCCGGTCGCACTAACTGTACCGCGCGCTTGATGCTATCAATACTGATTACTCGGTACCTCTGATTAACTCCCTCCCAGTGCAAAACCTTGCACTTGGTGGCTGCATCAACGCTGGCCTGTTCCCTGTAGTACTTGACGAATGCATAGTTTTTAACCGTGCCCGCAACCTTGGCATGAAACAACAGAAGGGTTTTCGCAAACCACTCCTCGTCCCCGTCTGAGCCCTCACCTTTGACCGCCACATCAGAAAACCATTGACGACCGTGGTGCATGGGCAGGGCGCGGATGCGGTGCGGCAGGCGACTATACTGCGCATCAACCGCAGCTGGCATGGCGAGTTCCTAGTGGACCTGCAAAGGCACCGTCAACAAGAAGAGTCAGATTGTTTGGGTACGGTTACATAAGCTACGACGGGGCAGGACTGGACGTCGTACATACATGTACTTCCTTGATAGCTTCCCCATTGCCGTCACAGCCAGGTGCCCTATCCAATGCCGCACGCAAGTGTTTCAACTCCTCGCCGATGATGGCCTGCAACGGGCCATCACGCTTCGCGTCCGGTACCTGAGGGTATGGGGCTCCAACACGTGTTTCTGGCACCTGCAATGCCCAACTCCTCTTGGATAGAACCCGCTCGCCTGTCCGTTGGGCCTGCAGGCATGGAACACCACCATCATCTCGTTACGTGTATTCCATGCTCGATGGAAATAATCAAGAACCATACACATAAGTCTAGTTCTTACCTTCACCATGGCGGTGTCATACTTCTTCTTCGCCATGAGTTGTGGCGCGATATACTGAAGACGAAGCCGTGCCTCTTCGCTGCCGACGATTTGGCTATTGACTGACCGTTTATTCGATGCCCGGTAAGGGTTATTTATGTACTCTATGTGCAGATGCTCGTATAGTTGTGCAGAATAATGCTCGGGCAAGCCCGACCTACGAATGGAGTCTATGTAGTGACTGATGAGGTGCATCTTAATGAAGTTGCAATCCGACGTGTGCGGGAATGCGGTCTTGAGGTTGTGTAACATCCTGCGTATAGGCCAAAACATGTCGATCAATATTTAGCAAGCAGTCGGAGAATGAACGCAACACACTATGAACTATACTACTCACCGGTGTGCCTTTGTCTTGAACTCAAGGAGGGAGGTGTCGGTGTGTTCCGATGCCCGCGCGCACTCGAGGTACCACTCGATGTATGAGACGAGTGCGTCCATCTGCGGCTGCGTAATAAAACCCTTCACGATGAAGGGCAGAATCTGCATGACCGACCGGTGTTCGTATGCCTGATAGTTCGCCCCCTTTTCGAAGTACTGACCCGCGGGTAAACGCATGTTCCCCCCTCTAATACTTCTCTTGTAGTACCTAAGGATTCTGTCCAGCTTCTTTCTATCTGCCAGTAACTTCACATGCGCGCGAATAAAGTCGACAATGTGCTCGAAAATGCCCAAATCTGCTTGGTGCATCACATCGGGCAGCACCGCAAGGTACGGGTTGAGAATGGTGTCGGACTCCCACCTCCAGCCACCTAGGAAACTCTGCAAAAAACAGAACCAGCACCTAGAGGTTAGTTCTGCACATGGTATAGCCCATAGAATGACCCTAAAACAGCACCCACAGCATACTATACCTGCACAGGGTGGGTGGAGAAGGTTGCCTCCGCATCTAGTGCGAGCCGGCCTTCTAAGATGTCTCGCACAATGGTATCCTGCTCGAATGGTGTACGAGCTTGGATACGATCCTGCAGCACTGCCAAGTGCTTCTTGTCCACCTTGCAAATCGAACACGGAAACAAAGTACCCAAGGATTTCGTGCACGTGATCTTGCACGACTCTGGGTAGTCCGACACATAAGCGTACAAATAGGGCCACACGTTGATTGACTCGCCTGCAGCATTCTTCATAGCTATGCCGGTGTAGGATGCCGTCTTAAGAGATTGCAGCACCTCTCGCATGATGTAATTGTGGACTTGCATCTTGTCCACTACGTTGTACTCTGCAGGAAACTCAGGGAGCAGTGCTAGTAGCACGTGCCCAAAGGGTTGCCACCTGTCGTCCTTATCAATGTTACCCAACGTGAGATACACAGGATGACCCTTCGCCTTCCCTCTATGATCCATATGCGTCTCGTCACTCGCAAGGATCAAAGCAGCCACAACTCCATCCGGATCCTCCTCCCGCACCAAAGTTTGCAACCTCTCCCACCATAGGCCTGTCTCCGGGGTACTGTACACCCTCACGTTCCCCACATATTGAGGATCTGCATGGAACACCATCGTGGCAGCCAGCTTGGGGTTCTTCAACAGGTCCTGCAAAGCAATCAACGGATCACAATACCAATACTCCAGCCAAGCCTTGTTACGTGCCCGGATGGTCTTTCGTCGCCAACCTCGGTGGCCATCCGTCGCCCTAGACTCAGCGTACGCCTGCACGTCTCGGTAGGACTTCCAATCTTGTATTTCAAGAATGGTCTTGCGCAGGATTTCCAACAGAGCGTTAATCTGACTGATAGAGAGTCAGTTGGAGAGGATCCAGAGCGCAAGAGCATCCTTGAGGTTAAACTGAGGGGCATCTTCCTCTTCCGCCAGTGCAACACCTGCTTGAGCTCCCTCCCCACCATCATCATCAGCACCAGATACAGCAGCGTTACTAGACGCATCGTCATCTTGTTCAAAGGGCAGCGCGCTATCTACTGAATCAGAGGATGAGGAAGTATCACTAGTGTCTGTTGGATCAGCACGAGAATTAGGAGGTACATCAATACACACATCTTCCGCAACACCCGTTCCTACATTTGCATGCACAGGCTCCAACCTAAGTACTGCACGCGGAATGGGGTTAGGAGGGATGAAGCTCGACCTTGCGCGCTTGGGGGGCTGCAGCTGCTCGCTACTGCTAATGAGGTTTGCAGGGCAGGAGTTGCTCTGCATGTGGCGTCCCAAACCCGATCGAGTGTCGAATGCACAGAGACGACATCTTGGGCAGAGAAATGACATCTGCCAGAATTTTGGGAGTAGGGGAGAAGGGGGAAACGGGAGAAGACAAGACTTGAAGGGCGGGGGAAGGGGGAGGCCAGGGAAGAAAGGCTTACGAGGACAGGAGAAGGGAGAAACAAGAGGAGACAAGCTTAGGAGGGCAGGGGAAGGGGAAATTAGAGAAGACAAGCGACTTGAAGGGCGGGGGCAGGGGGAAACCAGAGAATACATGCATATGAGGGGAGGGGAAGGGGGAAACCAGAGAATACATGCATTTGAGGGGAGGGGAAAGGGGAAACCAGAGAATACATGCATATGAGGGGAGGGGAAAGGGGAAACCAGAGAATACATGCATAGGTGGGGAGGGGAAAGGGGAAACCAGAGAATACATGCATAGGTGGGGAGGGGAAGGGGGAAACCAGAGAATACATGCATGGGTGGGGAGGGGAAAGGGGAAACCAGAGAATACAAGCATATGAGGCCAGTGGAAGGCCGAAACCTGAGAAGACAAGCATATGAGATGATGGGGAAGGGGAAAACCAGCGAAGACAATCACAGGATGAACGGGGAACTAGAGAATACAAGCATAGGATGAAAGGGGTAGGAGGCAACGGAGCATAGCGAGGACGAGCGTACGGGAGAGAGAAGGTGCACTGGAGGAGAGAAACAGAGAGGAGTGATGGAGACGGAGAACTAGAGAAGATCAACAGGTGGGGATGCGTGTGTAGGCGCACATGATAAGAGAAACAAACGGGAACAAGAGAAAGAGTGCACACTAGAAGAGAAACAGAGGGAAGAGAGAGAGGGCGCACTGGAGAAGAGATTCAGAGGGGAGCGAGCGAGAAGGCGCAAAGGGGGGAGAGGAGCAGAGGGGAAAAAGACAAATTGCGCATGGGCGGATAGGCGCAGAGGGGAAAGAGAGAGCATGCGCACGGGAGGAGCGGAGCAGAGGGGAATGGGACAAACTCGCATGAGAGGAAACTCAGGACATGTCACGAGGAATGGGGGCGAGGCGCGGAATGGAGGGTGGGACAAGTGAGAGCAAGGAATGCGGCGCAGAATAGAGGGTTACGAGAGAGATCGCGCACGTGAGGAGTGAACCAGAGGGGGACGAGAGAACGCACACGTGAGAAGAGGAGTAGAGGGGAATGCGAGTGAAGGCGCAAGGAATGAGAGAATGGGAGGGGAAGGAGAGTGAAGGCGCACGGAATGAGAGAGTGAGAGGGGAATGAGAGGGAAGGCACACCCTAAGAGAGAATGAGAGGGGAAGGAGAGTGAAGGCGCACGGAATGAGAGAATGAGAGGGGAATGAGAGGGATGACGCACGGAATGAGAGAATGAGAGGGGAATGAGAGGGATGGCGCACGGAATGAGAGAATGAGAGGGGAATGAGAGTGAAGGCGCACGGAAAGAGAGACTGAGAGGGATGGCGCACGGAATGAGAGACTGAGAGGGGAATGAGAGCGAAGGCACACAGAAAGAGAGAATGAGAGGGGAAGGAGAGTGAAGGCGCACGGAATGAGAGAATGAGAGGGGAATGAGAGGGAAGGCGCACGGAATGAGAGAATGAGAGGGGAATGAGAGTGAAGGCGCACGGAATGAGAGAATGAGAGGGGAATGAGAGGGAAGGCACACCCTAAGAGAGAATGAGAGGGGAAGGAGAGTGAAGGCGCACGGAATGAGAGAATGAGAGGGGAATGAGAGGGATGACGCACGGAATGAGAGAATGAGAGGGGAATGAGAGGGATGGCGCACGGAATGAGAGAATGAGAGGGGAATGAGAGTGAAGGCGCACGGAAAGAGAGACTGAGAGGGATGGCGCACGGAATGAGAGACTGAGAGGGGAATGAGAGCGAAGGCACACGGAAAGAGAGAATGAGAGGGGAAGGAGAGTGAAGGCGCACGGAATGAGAGAATGAGAGGGGAATGAGAGGGAAGGCGCACGGAATGAGAGAATGAGAGGGGAATGAGAGTGAAGGCGCACGGAATGAGAGAATGAGAGGGGAATGAGAGTGAAGGCGCACGGAATGAGAGAATGAGAGGGGAATGAGAGTGAAGGCGCACGGAATGAGAGAATGAGAGGGGAATGAGAGTGAAGGCACACGGAATGGTAGAATGAGAGGGGAATGAGAGTGAAGGCGCACGGAATGAGAGTTTGAGAGGGGAATGAGAGGGGAATGAGAGGGATGGCGCACGGAATGAGAGAATGAGAGGGGAATGAGAGGGAGGGCTCACGGAAAAAGAGGAGCGGGGGGTAGGGAGAGAGAAGGCGCAAGGGAGGAGAGGAGCAGCGGTGTATGTGATAGTATACGCACAGGAGGAGATGATGGGGACAAAATGCGAATGGCGCGGAGGGGAAAGAGAGTGCACGCACAATGGAAGAGAGGAGCAGCGGGGCATGAGAGGGTACGCTCAATGGAGGAGAGGCGCAGAGAAGGAGAGTGTACGCTTGCGGAAGGGAGGATCTGACTAGTGAGAGCAAAGAACGAGGCGCGGTATGGAGTATCGGACGAGAGCTGGAATGGGAACGAGGCACGAACAAGGAACGGACGAGAGGAGGAGACGAGCGAGGCGCGGATGCAAGCAACGGACGAGATCACGGAATGCACGAGGCACGGATGCGTGGAAGAGACAATAGGCAGAATGGGACGACCAGGACAAATGACACCGTCCGTGATAGGGAATACGAGGGAACGAACAAGGCGCGCAAGGGAGGAACGAACGAGATAGGGAACGAACGAGGCGCGAAAATAAGGATCGGCCGAGATAGGGAACGGAAACAGGCGCGCAATAGAGTAGGGAGCTAAATGGGGCGAGGCGCGCCAATCACGAAGCCCGGGAGGGACAATGCGAAATCCGCGGATATGGGGGAAACAGATGGCAGTGAATCGACGAAAAGCGAACGGGAGGAATGGACGGTAGGGGGAATGGGGCACACGAGGAATGGGAACGAACAAGGCGCGCAAGGGAGGAACGAACGAGATAGGGAACGAACGAGGCGCGAAAATAAGGATCGGCCGAGATAGGGAACGGAAACAGGCGCGCAATAGAGTAGGGAGCTAAATGGGGCGAGGCGCGCCAATCACGAAGCCCGGGAGGGACAATGCGAAATCCGCGGATATGGGGGAAACAGATGGCAGTGAATCGACGAAAAGCGAACGGGAGGAATGGACGGTAGGGGGAATGGGGCACACGAGGAATGGAACAGAGGGAGGGACGACAACGATCACGGGAGAAGCGGACGGGAGAAAGAATGCAAAGCGGCGGGCATGGGAGAAAAGGACGGGGTGGGCGGGACGAAGCGCGCACGGGAGGGTGAATAGGACGAGTCCGCCACGGGATGAATCGTCTAGAAGGAAGAGACGGCAGCGCGCACCGGAAGCAGACGGGACACTGAATGTGACGTGGCGGGTAAGGGAGGAACGGACGAGAGGAAAAGAACGCGGCGCGCACGGAATGAGCCTCGGGAAGGGAGAATTGCGACGATCGCGTCGTGTTTGGAGTGAAGGGGCACGGGAGTATTGGAGCGTTGCGAAGGGAGAGTCTGGAGACACACCTGTGATTCTCAACAGTTGGTCTAACATCCCGCATAGAAACGCAACAAGGTTCCACACGAAACCGCTCCTGACCCGTGGCGAGTAGTTAGTTCGTTGCCTGTACGGCGGATGGCCAAGTCTGCTGAGATACACGCGAGGGAATTTATAGCGGCGGAGGTGATCACTCAGACTAAATAAGATAGTAACTGGGTTTAACTAGCACAAGGGTCTGACTACTTAGTCTCTATTGTGCTCACGAATGTCGAGAGAATTTTGCTAGGGAGATTCGAGTCTCTGCTCCAGCTCGAAATCCTGTTTGATGTATGTACTTCGTTTCGGTATAATGCGATGTTGTGCATAATATAGCGCATTAACAGGTTTTCTATGCGGTTAGGTACGGTTTTGCAACCCTGAACGTGAAAGTGGAGCTGTACTGACACCACCCAATCAGAAACGTCTGGGTGCACGGTTGCCAGTGGGTACAAGTACAACCAATGGTCACGTGTGAAAAGACTGACGCTTTCAAAATTGGCGCGAATCTGATCATCCTGACAGCTGCACCCTCAACTCTTGCTCGAATGCCACGATTTGAGGAACTCCCTAAAGCACGAGCTGGCAGTTTATAAGCATCGACATTGCCAATATTAAAACCGCAGTAACCAATTAAACATGTGAGTGGAATAATACCAACCAGTAAAACAAAATACAATATACTACCCAACAATTAAACGAAGATAAATACAATATACTACCCAGTAATACGATGTAACAGAATAATTAAAAAAGATACCACAGGAAAAAAATGGAATGACCGATTACAAAAACAACATAACACCCAGAATTTGAATTCACGATACAATAACATAACAATGAACCTAATTCATCTGTTAAGTACAATCACTATTTTTCCTACAACTGTCAGACAACTCCCAACTCTATCGCGACGCACAGCTTCGGAATAACACACCCACCCTGTTTGTGATTGATTTCTGATTGTGAATGGCAAGAACCACCCACTTACTGCCACGTCTGCAAATTGTGCTCAACTTCCGAAGTTGAGCACCGATCGTGGTGAGAGACCCAACACGTGGCTTCGTCAAACATGGCCCATTCAACTACAGATCACTTCCGTAAACCACACTACCCCGACGATCGACTATAATTCGCCACCACGCTGCCCCAATCGGCCGATTAACTGTCGTTCACGACATGAACTCCAACCTAGAAATCCAAGCCGATACCCCACCACGCGGCATCCGGCGGGATCACATTTTTCTGATGACGGAGTGAAGGGGGGAGATAGCGACGACGCGGAACGTGATGGGAGATAGCGACGGCGCGAGACGTGCTTGCTAGCTTAAATTATGTCGCGAGACGTGATCGGAGGGGAGGCCATGAGCGCGAAGGCGATGCGAAGACAGGTGCACGTGAGCGCGATGGTGACGGGAGGGCGGAACGTGAGCGCGATGCCGATGGGAGGGGAGGACGTGAGCGATAGGAGATGAAGTGGGGAAGGAGAAAGGCGACGGGAGGGAGAGCGATAAGGCGATGGGAGGGAGAGCGGACAGGCGACGGGAGAGAGAGCGCGAAGTCGAAGGTAGGGAGGGCGGACAGGCAACGGGAGGGAGAGCGCGAAGCAGACGGGAGGGAGGGCGCCGACGGGAGGGAGAGCGCGAAGGCGAGGGGAGGGGGAGCGGACAGGCGACGGGAGAGAGAGCGGACAGGCGACGGGAGAGAGAGCGGACAGGCGACGGGAGGGGGAAGGGATATCGCGAGGGAAAAGGGGGACATCGAAGGCAACGTGAGGGAAGGGAGATAGTGAGGGCGACGGGAAGGAAGAGGGGACATCGAAGGCGAGGGGCGGGAGAACGGGAAGGCGACGGGATCGGAGGGAAATCGCGAGGGCGAGAGGACAAGAGGGGTGAACGGGAGAATAACAGACCGGGAGGGGAGACCGTGACGACGACGGGAGGGCCGTTACGCGTGTGTTTGCGAGGGCGACGGAAAGGCGACGGGACGGACTAGAGAGCGAGGCGACGGGCAAATTGATTGAGACAGGAAACTGGCACTGCGCTACCAGGCCATGTAAACCTACATTTCACACTCTTGCTAAGTCGACGATTGACGCACTCGTCGGTAATTACGTGGCTATGACACGAACGCCTGTGCTTTCAGCTATACTACTTACTATGCTATGCGGAAACTAGTGATGAATGGAGTGACAGAAATCTAGTAATGCACCCATCACCAGCTTGAAAATGAGGTTGGGCCTGCGATGGGAAACCATCGCCTGGGGTTTGTCGTGCGGATGCGGCACGCAAAAATGCGACGGCTGATATGAGAAAGAAAGTTCATTTTGGCGGGAACCATTACGTTCCATTGTGGCGAGAGCCAATAACATGAGTTCACTCTGCCCATACAAATCGTTTGAAACAGTGTTTTTGATACTGGTTTCATCCTCACTTGCAACTCCTCATTCAAGTTGGGACGGGGGTCACTATTTTGCATGCGGGCTTTAACAATGGTCCTGTTTCTTTTCTACTCCCCAAATGCCTCTCTCCACTCTCCTTCCCAACAGTTACACTCCTCAAGAGTTCCTCCCCCCCATGCCCCCCCTTTCCACTATCTCCCTTCCTTACCCCTTCCCATTCCACCCTTTCCCTTTCCTTTCCACTCCCCGTCTCCCTTTTCTTCCCACTCCTTCCCTTACCGCTCCCCACTACCCCCCTCCTTCTCTTTCCCACTCGCCCCCTTCTTAAACGAAGCCCACAAAGGCTTGAGCCCAGCACTCCACTTCTCATCCCCTCTCACACCCCCACCCCCCCCAGCAGTTAAAGCCGAAATTCGGGCGGCAGTGGCCGGCCGCATCCCCCCTGTCGTTTTCTCCTGCACAGTCGGACTCCTAAACACACTTAAAGCCCCCTTGAGCATCGGAGACATCTGCCCTGATTTCAGCCGCATGCGCATCGTGCCCCACTCCCGAGCCTGATGCCGAGCCTGCGCCCGGACGTACTCCTTCCCGCCCGAACCTGCAGGTCCGGTGAGGGCGGTCCGGTCGAATTCCTCATCCTCCTCTATATCCTCTGCTGGTGATTGCAGTGGAAAGAGGTTATCAAACTCGGATCTCTGGCTCTTGATCCGATTGGCTGCCTCTTCAAACGGGTTGCTGCTGCTCCCAAAACTGCCAATGCCACCGCTGCTGCTGCCACCAGTACTCGCATTGAAACTGGTACTGAACAAGAAATTGCCTACACTATGCCCAATCTCACCCCCAGCAGCAACAGGGGAAAAGCCTGCAGGCGAAAAGCCTGCAGGTGAAAACCCTGCAGGCGAAAACCCTGTAGGAGGAAACCCAGCAGCACCACCAGGGGGGTAAAACCCTTCGTTGCCACGTGCACCCACCCCTGCTGTCCCTGCTTCCCCACCGCTCCTTCCAAAACCGCTACCCTCAAAACCGCTGTTCCCAAAACCGCAATTTGTAAAGCCGCTGCTGTTCGGAATGCTGCTGCCATCTAGGGCGGTAGTGTCAAGCGCGCCAAGCGCTCCCTCACTTCCTCCCATGCGCCTGTGCCCTTCGCCTAGCTTCCGCCCCCCGCCTGCTCCCTGCCTCCCTGCTGCCACGTGCCCTGGCAGGTTGGGGTTCAGGTGAAAATCTGGAACCACTGTGGTGAGGTCTGAAGAGGGTTCAGTGTGGGAGAGAGAGATATTGTGCCGAGCTCCAGCAGCTGCTCCTGATTGTGCCTCTCCGCTCCCCTCTCCGCTGCCTGCTCCTATCCCCTCCCTCTGCTGCTCCCACGCATCACCCTCTGCATACGCTTCCCTCAACACGCCCCCCATTGCTGCCCGCGGAAACGCATGCGCCTGCTGCTGCTGCTGCTGCCGCTCGGTCCCCACCCCTCCTACTCCTCCCATCCCTCCCCCCATTCCCACCCCAATGCCCGCAGCCCCTCCCCCGGACCTGATAGGAACGAGCCCCGCATATTCCGCGGGAACCATGGGGGGCGTTGCGCCTACACCAAGGGACGCGGAGCGGCCGCCCATGGGCGCAAACACGGCGGAGTGCGAGTGCGTCGGGAACATTCCCGCCCCCCGCACATGCGCCGCAAAACCCAGCAGCGGACTGTTCCCCGCTCCCCCCCTCCCTCCCCCTCCCCCTCCCCTTCCGCCTCCCCCTCCCCCTCCCCCTCCGCCTCTTTCCCCTCCCCTTCCAGCACCAGACCCTAACCCTAACCCTCGCCCGGAACCAATCCCGAGGCCGCGCGCATTGGTGGTCATCATGGGGGGTTGTCCGCGGGTCTGTCTGTACCACTCATCGTCATCCACGTATTCATCATCCCGCCCCGTCCGCGACACGACGAGCTTCTCCCCGAAGTCCCCCACTTCGAAATCCGCCATCATGTCGGAAAGTTCGCTCATTAGAGATTCCCGCGCGCTCACTTGCGAGCTAAGAAGGTTCTCCCTCCCGCCCTGGAAGCTTCCTCCGGTTCCCCCTGCTCCTCCTATTCCTTCCCTCCCGCTCCGGTTGAGGTTGTCGCCTGAGCCGCCGCTGCTGTGTTCCGACGCGCCTGTACCCGTTACAAGCCTGCTGCTGGCTCCGTTACTGCCGGCTTCTAACGGGTCCAGAATATCCGGCTCATGCATGTTCTTTTTATTCACGAGATAAGCGTGCGGAGCGTCGGGGTACAGTTGCAGCACTGTGCGCTTACGGAGGCGGCCTCTAGCGGATCGAACCACCTCCTTGAAGGTCGCTTCCAGGCAATCCGCGAGGAAGTTCGGGGCGAAATGCGCGGAGAGAGAACGAGACATCTTAGCTGATCGGCCAGATGGAAACGCGTTACTGCTGCTGCTGCTACTGCTGCTGGTGGTGGTAGTAATGTTGGTTGAATCGGTCTTGATTGTGTCTGTGTCGCCGCTAGTCGCGCTAGTACTGTGGGGGGTAGCTGCTGACGTGGCTGGTGTCTCGCCGTCCTGTGCTGCTGCGGGGAGCGCGGTTGACACGGGCGCGTCCGTACGCTCCGGCGGAGCTGTAACCGTTACTACACAGTTGCACTTGCTCGAGGGAGGGGCGGTTACTGGTCTTTGCGGCGGCTGGCGGAGCAAGTTCGCGGCGGCGAGAGCGGCCCGCGAGTGCGAGCGGGGGTGAGGGAGCGAGGGGGCGTGCGGCGAGAGCGTGTGGGAGAGAGTGTGGATGACGGTGGCTCGCAGCTGCGACAGAATCTGAAACGCCCTGCAGCGCTCTAGAGCATCGTCTGCGACGGCGAAGGCGATCAGACCCTGACCGAAGGAGAGGAAGAGGTTCGTGCGGCCGTAGCCCTGTTGTTGTGGAACAGGTAAGGGAAGAGGGCGGGAGGAGGGGGGGGGGGGGGGGGGAGAGGGAGGGGGGAGGGGAGAGGGGGGGCGTGAAAAGGGGAGCAGCTTAAGGGGAGCGGGAAATGGGTCTGGCAGGAGCTGCAGCTGGCCAAAGCGTCGTCCGCGGCGGGGAGGCGATCAGGCCCTGACCGAAGGAGAGGAGGAGGTTGGTGCGACCGTAGTCCTGATGGGAGGGTGAAGGGGAGGAATGAAGGGGAGGAATGAAGGGTGGGGATTGAAGGAGGAAGCAAAGGAGGGAGGGGGAAGAGGGGGAGAGAACGGATTCAGCTACTACATCTTCTTTTTACAACCCTGAACAGGGTTATGACCAAACTAGGGTTTGTGCTTCGCCTATGCTTTTTTTGTACGCAGACCAAACTAGGGTTTGTGGTGGACTGACGAAACGACGGATACTATGATAAAGACTCGACGACTCATTAAAGTCTGTAAATTTTGTAGGAGTGGGTCGCTAGACCACGAGAAGTTACGGATCGAGGATAATAACAACGTAGAAGAGGCTGAGAATGATCACTTCTCTCACTAAGCAGAATTTACTCTCCTAAACGGCTACATTGCGATTATCAGCTGAAGAGAACCTGCAGGTAGCATAAATGTGTTGCTCGGTCGACACAAGGAGAAAGAATGAAAGAACAAAAAGTTTCCCGCCGACGCCTCACCAAAGAGTATGTGCTACAGTGTTTAGGAGCGTCTGCCAGCACCGCAGAGACGGCGCTTCGCAGAATCTTCCTGTGCCGCCCGAAATCAACGAGAATAGACGGCCCTCGCGCGATGCCGATGTAATACACGAGCTGCGTCTCGCGATCTTTGTCGGGATGTGCAGGCGCCTGGCCTGGCGCGTTCTCCACCGCATCTCCCGCCGCGTCCCACGCGCTTGGGGTGAGGGACGATGCGAATGTGAAGAGAATAACAGGCTCTTTAGGCGGGAGTCTGTCGCGTCTTGACACTCTACCCATCCTTTCGCCTCTGATAATCTTTAGAAATCGCTTTTAGACCTAATATGGGGCCAGTTAACCCTTGCAGTGGCGACGAGAACGTGCGCACAAAACCTGTTTGCGAAATCAGGTCTGCGAATTGGCGAAAAGAGCTGAGGTAATCGGCCGGGTCGACGAGCGTGGCTCTCCTACTGCTCAATTGCGCTGGACCGATGCGGACGGTGAGATTAGATCATCATTAGATTCTAATCACGCTGCTTGATCTTGAATGAGTATCAAATAATGGAGGCGAAATTAGATACTTCAATTTGGTAACAATCGCTACAGCCGCTTCCAGTTTGCAAAAAAGCAACAACCGTCCGCCAGCGGACTGTCTTACGGGGGTTCTGACTGCATAATTTCAAAGTAAGACACAGTGTAACTGAGGCAGTACCGAGCTAGCTGGTTCCAGGTTAGCAGGCGGGAAATGAATACTAAAGCTTAGCTACTTAAGCTGTCACTAACCAGGCTATCTAGAATAGCGAGACTGATGGAGCTGCAACCTCGCAATCAACCTGGTGAAGCTGTATCAGAGGCACCTGCACACTTGCCTAGATTTTGTCGACGCACTGTCATGGTCCTCCCTTCATGTACCTTCTCCCATCCACTCATCTCCCTCCAGCGCTCGCGTACTGTACGAAACTTTCTAGGTTGGGTGTTCTGCTCTTCTCTCTCCCCCAAAAGCCTCATCACTTTCTTTCATGCAATCAGCTCCTCTCCTCCTCCCCTCCTCCCACCCTCCCCTCCCCTCTGCTCCTCCCTTCTCCTCCCCTCTCCTGCGCTTTCACTTGCCCAACAAACAGCGTGCATGTCTCTGGCAGACATGATTCTATGTTCTGTCTCTCCGCTCTCGTCCTATCCTTCTCCAATCCGTTTGCGCTTGCCTTGATTCTTTCGGCCAGGATTTCTGGGCTCCCTCTCATCTTGGTCTTATGCATTCACCTCACTTGTATTTTTGTGCTTCTTTTTGTCCACCCGTGCTGATATATTCTGGGTATGGACTGGCGTAATCAGAAATCACCCAAAGAACATTCTCGCAACATACTCTAATTTTAGTACTTAGAGGTTGTAATATGACCATGGATCCGGTGAACTGTATAAGCAGAGCCTTCGAAAATAATATCACGACCATTCGAATATGTATTTTGGTCAGAACGCGGTTACTGTGAATGAGAAAGTGACAACTGCACAAGAACACTGTAGTACTCGAATCAGATCAACCGAGCGTGCATCTTTATTGCCGTCGAGGTTGTCGCTTTGATTTTTTCCGAGCCTACGACTATTCTCCCGTAGTAGGTTCGTAATTCTTGCCCAGAACTCCCAAAAATATGACATCGTAAATTCCATAGACTCCCAGCACTAATCCAGATTTTCCGCATCTTGTTCCACAGAGCGACCTGCCGGAGTATGGAAATCTAGGAAGTGTGGGATATCACTGCTACGAAAATTACGGGTATCCTCAAGGACAGCCCACCCACCGTGAACTCTGAATCTTCCAGCCTGGCGACCAAAGGCATGAAAAACAAAGGCGCCTGCTTGACACAATGGCCCTCTGCACAGAAGCCAGCCTGGTTCAGTGCATCTTGGACCGTCGGATCCGCCACAGGGAACCGCTGGCTAGACAGCGCGGCGGAAGTTTGTCGTCCAGCAATCCATGTTGGACCTTGAATGGTGCTGCAGTAAGTACACCAAAACCTCGCTGTTTCGTAAACGAGTTTGTGAAGGAACTCCATATATTTGCTTGTTCTGTACAGACACACTACCTTGCATTACAGCCTCCCTAATGCCGTTAATTTGGTCCTAACCTCGTAACATGCATTTCAAAATAACCCCAGCTGCATTTTTCAACAGAATACGCCAAACACCACACATTCTCAACTACATTCAAGTATATGTCATCCGTTATCATCTCTCCGAGAGCCTCGCCGCGACTGTTCTCAGCTTCGAGTACACCTTGCCAGCTGGCGACCCGAGAATGAGCGAGCAGAGTGCGTCTCGTGCCACACGGATGTTTGCATACGCCCCAAGGACATGGATCTTGGAATCAGCAATAACGATACGTGTCCGCGTGGCATTCTCAATCGTGAACTTGGTCTTGCCGTTTTTACCCGACAGTCGTCCGATGGCTCTAGATAAGTGCTCCCCTCTTAGCGTTTTCACATCCTGTGAGGCACAGTAGCAGGAGGCAAAACGGGAGTAAAAGGATGTGGGAGAAGAAATGGAGATTGAGTGCAGCAATTGTGGAGGCAAGTTAAAGCACAATCAGTGCTCCCCTCTTATTATCTTCATGTCCTGTTGCAGGGCAGGTTGGAGAAGAAAGGTGGGGGCAGGAACGGGGAGAGGAAGGATGGGGGAATGGAAGCAACGGAATGTGCATGGGATTGGAATGAGAATGAGTGCTCGCAGCTCATGGCACATAGGAGACAAAACATGCTCCTGAATCCTCTGGGCCAAGGACAGACTCTTGGCAGGAAAGAATTACCCCAGTTTCACATTCATCTAGCACAAACGATCACATGCTCGTCTCCGTCGTCCCTCTTCTGCTTTTGAGTCGTCACAAAACTCTCTTCACCTCCTCTCACTCTCTTCACCTCCTCTCACCCTCTTCACCTCCTCTCACCCTCTTCACCTCCTCTCACCCTCTTCACCTCCTCTCACCCTCTTCACCTCCTCTCACTCTCTTCGCCTCCTCTCACCCTCTTCACCTCCTCTCACCCTCCAAATGGGCTCAACCTGTCACCCCCTTTCAACCATTATTCAACGGCTGTCACGACACTTATCCCTCTCAGCTTTTACAGCTTCTGAGACGTCTCAAGACTTTCTCACCCTCGTAACCTCATGACACCTCGATCTAAAAAATATCTCGCCCTGTTCCTTCCTCCCTCGGACACCCCAACCCCCCCTCTCCTCTCCCAAACTTGATTACCTTTTTCTCAGCTTCAACTCGAACCACCTCTCACCCTCTTCACCACCTCTCACTCGCTTCACCACCTCTCACTCGCTTCACCACCCCTCACTCGCTTCACCACCTCTCACTCGCTTCACCACCTCTCACTCGCTTCACCACCTCTCACTCGCTTCACCACCTCTCACTCGCTTCACCATCTCTCACCCTCTTCAACGCCTCTCATCCTCTTCACCCTCTCAACCGCCTCCCAGCTTCATCCCCACCCTCTTCCCACCCTCCTCCCACTCTCTTCCCACCCTCCTCCCACTCCGCACCTTGATCTCGAATGATTCGATATAGAGGTCATCGATTCGCAGCATGGCGATGGCGTCTGTGAGGCTGAATCCCATCATGTACGCCGTCACGAAATCGGCGCACTTCTGCAGCGCCGACGGGTCCGCCGTGTCCCTCCGCGTCTTCAGCTCCACCTTGCGCGCCTGGCGCGCGGATGCGGGTGGGGGAAAGGAGGGGGAGAGTGGGGGAAAGGGAGGTGGGGGGCGGTTGGGGGCAAAAGGAGGGGGAGCGGGAGAAGAGAGACGGTGCGGACGGAGAGGGACGGCGAGGGATGGGGAGGGAGGGGAATACCAAGTCAAGACTACACTTTGTTATTACCGATCCGCTACACCGCACTTTAAGGTTCATGCCTATGTGGATCTTAAGCAGCTCAAACAACCGAGTGTAGATGTCCGTCCACCGCTCCCCACCGCGTATCACCCACCTTGAGGTTCATGCGAATGTCGATCTTCATTTGTTCAAACACCGGAGTGTATATGTCCATCCACCGTTCCTTGAGCGGCGTGTACCGATGGGGCGGCACGGGAATCTTGCGGAACTCGAACTTGCTTCCCCCCATTTCCGCCGCCGTTAGCGCCGAGAATTTCGGCTTCGCCGGCAGTTTCCCGGCCGCCGGCGCATTTGTCGGCGTTGCCGCCGTTTTCGCTGGGTTCTGCGAAGGCGCGTCTACCTCCATGTCGAATTTGAGTCGAGCGGCCCGGCAAACCAGATTAACTGGAGTTTTCCGGAAAAGGTAGTGACCGTTAACTACAATCGACTACAAGTCAGAAAGTTTCTGACTCGGTTGTCGCAAAACTGCACGTAAGGGAAGAATGCCAGGCAGAACGCAACAGGCAGAGGGGAGCGAGGGCAACGACGGCAACGAGGGCGACGAGGAATATGTGCAACGCGAGGGTTCGGACGGTGTGGTGGAAGCAAGGCTGTCGACGCTGGAGCGCGAAGTACGGCGGGTGCGAAGGAGAGAAGCGGCGAAACCCTAAAGCAGCAGCCTGGGAAGCGCAGCGGAAAAGAAGGGCTTTGGGGAGGGGGACGAGGTTTTCAAGGGTTGTTGGTTCCTTGGCGCTTGTTTGTACGCGATATGGTTTTCTTTCGTTGTTTTTTGAGTGCTGAGTCGTGAGAGAAACCATATTCGTGACCATTCTACTTGGGTTTAGCTTCCCACATTTACAGCGATTACCATCCAGTTTAGGCACTCCAGAAACATTTTCAGAGATTAAAACTGCTTTGAGAACACAATTTAGTCACCAAGCTTTATAACATTTCTTTCTTAGCACACAACACTGTCGCCATCCACAGCCGCCTCAGGAGCAGCGGACGCAATAGAGATGAGGGGCGAGCCGGCAGCAAACATAAACGCCTCCTCCGCTGCCGCCAAACGCGCCCGCCTCTTCTCCCTCTGCTGCCGGAACTTCTCCCGGTTCCTCACCTTCCGCGAGTCGGGGTTCTCCTGCTTCTCCTCTGTCGCCGGGTACACACTCACCTGGAGGAGTGGGCAGAGTGAAGGGGACAAAATTGATCCTGTACCCTACAACAATTTTCGCTAAGCGCCTAGAAAACGTTTTTGCTTCTCCCTCTGCTGCTGGAACGTCTCCTGGTTCCTGACCATCCAAAATTTGGGGTTCTCCTGCTTCTCCTCTGTCGCCGGGTACACACTCACCTGGGGAGATAGGGAGAGGGTAGTGAGTCAAGGGGGCGAATGCGATTCTGTACAGTGCATATGATGCTTGAGGCACCTAAGAAACTTTTCGTTTCTGCTTCTCCCCCTGCTGGCGGATCTTCTCCATGGTTTTTGAGCCTCCGGATGTCAGGGTTTTCCTGCTCCTCCTCCCTCCCTTCCCAACTACACACTCACCTGAGTAACTTAGGTGCAGGCATACGAGGGAGATTATGGGAGGGGCTGGGGAAGGTAGTGGCAGCCTAGTAAAGGATAACCGCAGAAGGATGCGACTGGCCCTAATTGGCTGAGCCCACCCAGACGTATTTCACCCGCCAACAGAGCCTTCCTAGTGCAAGCAGTCTTTCCCTCCCTCCATACCATCGGCACGTTCGAGGACCAGCAGATCCGCCAACATTCAGTGTCATCCGCGAAGTCCATTTCTCAACAAGTATTTCATATTCAGCTGAAACCAAAGCGTTACTCCGCGTTGGCTTGGCGAGTCATGTCATGGCATGCCAAGTCAGCGCGGAACAGCAAGCCTCGTGACTCCCTGCTACAACCTTGACCGATTTCTCCCAGGATTTGCCAAGAAATCACCCCTGATTGTCCTTTCACGCTCTCCCTCCACTGCACGCTCTTCCTGCTCTTCATCCTCTCCCTGCTGCACTTACCTTCTTCCTCTTGTCGGGGCCATACAGCTCGAACTTCACGAGGCCGTCCACTAGCGAGTACAGGGTGTAGTCCTTGCCCACGCCGACGTTGGTGCCCGCGTGGAACTGCGCACGGAGAAAACAAGATAAACACAGAAGAAACAAATCAGCCAGGCCGAAAGCGTGTGATGAGTCGGTTTTTGAGTCGACTCAAAAACCGACTCATCGAACTGCGCACGGAGAAAACAAGATAAACACAGAAGAAACAAATCAGCCAGGCCGAAAGCGAGACGAAAGCCAGCCATCGAAGGGCGATAGAGTGTCTAAAACGATCAGGTAGGTACCTTTGGGTCGACCCAAAGAGTGCTCTCAGAAAGCGTACTCAACAAAAAGAGATATTTTTGTTGCAATATCACATCTTTCTGTGATGAAGATGTCTTCAGACGTTCTAACAGAGCGCTCTCAAGGAGGGCACTGAACATGCGGAAGGCCCTCGAACGTTGTTATGGAGGACAAGGAAGCAGATTCGTCAAGCAGACGCCACATGAATGAATCTGCTTGAGATGGCCAAAGTCGCGTTGATTATTCGGTAAAAAGTCAGTGGTCCTTCACGTTGCCCTTAAGAAACCCTAGTGCACTACAGCCCGTTAACTCGGCATTAACTCGGGTCTGTGTCGGGCTTTCCGAGTTGACTCGGGGCTAGGCTATCTTGCGAGGCGTATTGTACTCGGCACGCAAACCCCTGGCTCTCAAAACGGTAATATTAAATACTAGCTACTGGTTTTGAAGTTAATTAGAAAGCCACTAGGATTCTTTTAATGTCCCGCTTGGTCGCCATTCAATAAAATAGCGCTGGTACTGCCCTAGCCTATCCGCCTAACGCGCATTTACCGTTGTGCCACGTTGGCGAACGATAATGCTCCCTGCCTTGGCCGGCTGATCGCCGTACACCTTGACGCCTAGCCGCTTAGCCTTGGAATCGCGGCCGTTCTTCGTGCTACCGGATCCCTTCTTGTGCGCAGCCTCGATGGTCAGCGGCGCGCTGCGGGTGGTGGGAGCGAACGAAACCCTAGCGGAGGCGGCGGGGAGAGCCGCGCCGGAGAGAGCGGCGGAGCTGCTCAGAGAGGAAATGCTGAGCTTCTGGAACATGGACGAAACAGCCGCCATGGCTACGTGCTGCGCGGTGTGCGTCTAGGAACGAAAAACACGCGGAAATGAGAATGAACGAGGTGTGGGGGACAAGGGGGATCGGGTGAGGGAGAATGGGAAGGAGGCACGCGCGGGAGGGCACGGAGGCTGGAGTAGCAGCAGATAGGCTAGGCATAGTGGGGGAGAAGGGGGGGACAGAGGTGATGAGAGGGGCGGTTGAAGGGGATGAGAGGGTTCAAGTTGATGCAGTAACATGTGTCGCGAAAAAGGTTCCTGAGAGGCGGGGTGAATATGTTTTGCGAAGATGTTTTCGAAAATTCGAAATCCTCTTATTGGGTGCGCAACATGGCGAAATCTGGGTAAAGCTTTGCCACGTCACGAGGGGGCTCAGGGTGTAACATAGAATCGATAACTGACGTGGCGGTTCTGGGTATGCACACGAATGCGACGGCCAGTTTTCAAGGTTTGGCAGTGGGGACGTGGTAACATGCCACACACGGATTTTCGTTTTCTTTACTAAAGAGGCACAAGCTTTCGCCAACTATAAAATTTTAGTTTCTTTGCTAGCCTACATTCTCAAGCTCCCATTTCTCCTCCCAAGCTTCCAGCGTTTCCTTGGTGCGCAAACTACGCTGCAGCATATTCCATATTTTTATATGTGATCGCTGGTCAAACTTGATCGCGCAATCTCCAGTGTTGAGCAAAAGCAGGAGACCAAGAGTCAGTGACTTTCCGTTTTGACTCAGACTCCTTCCTTTTGATTTTCCAACGCAATATATGAATAGAGACTTACCACGTGTCACCGGCTCCTGAATGTTTGTACATACCTCCTTGGAAACGCGTCGAAAAGGTAGGTAGCCGGGAGTGTTGTCTACTCGTCTGAAACTGCTGCGTTCTTTTTAGAAAGATACGGGAATAATGCCAGCAGTTACCACATCGTTCGCGAGATCACTCGCACCATCTCGCCTTTCGTCATTCAGCTCCGCTGAGCTACAAGGCTCCAGCCATGGCAAAATGGAGCTCCCAAGCCTGTGCGATAGGCTCGGCCCGAGCCTGAAACTCAGCTGGAACAATAAAACAGCCAGCAGTAGGGTTGGCAACGAGTCGCGCGTCGCGGAGACATCGAGACTCGCGGTCCGATGCATGGCGCAGCCGCGGCGCGTGCAGATGGTGGCGCAGCAGATCCACCGCGAAGTTGCGTCGATGCTTCTAAACGACACCACGCTGCGCGCCGCCGTGCAACCCGAGCACGCGCTGGGCGCCGACAAAGTCATGTCGGCCATCGCCACGATCAGTGACGTGGAGCTATCGGCGGACTTGCAGGTGGGTTCAGGGTGTTATATTCGACAAGTGGGTTCGGGGGACTATGTTTCGGCATGAAGCAAGCAAATCCCGGTTGCACGGTGCAACTTGCACAGACCACGCGCTGGGCGCCGACAAGGTCAGCCATAGCCACGATCAGTGACGTGGAGCTATCGCCCGATTTGCAGGTGAGTGTGGTTTACTCGTAGGTTCGGGGTGTTCAAATCGGGGTGCTCTGTTTAGGGTGCTCGGATGGCTGTTCGAAGACCCGAGCACGCGTTGTGTGCCATGGATGGGAAGTGATGAATCTGATATGGCAAGTGACATCATAACAATACACACCCACCTATCCCCCACCACTCCTTCAAAAAAATCGTCTATACGTTGTATCGCAGCCGCTCCGGTCCCTCACCACTCCTTCGCCAATCCCCCACAACGCCCCCCTCCCAACCTCAGGTGGCGAAGGTTTACGTGTCAGTGTATGGGGACGAGAGGGGGCAGGCGATAGCGATGGAGGGGCTGAGGGCCAAGGCGCCCTACGTGCGATCAGGTCTGGGCAAGAAGATGCGGCTGCGGTTCGCCCCTGAAGTGCGGTTTATTCAAGATGACTCCATGGAACGGGGAAGCAGGGTGAGTTGCTGCAATCTTTCCAATAAGCAGGGCACTCAGTTAATTATAGGTGTTAGTGCTTGAAGTGAGGTTCATTCAAGATGACTCTATGGAGAGGGACAGCAGGGTGAGTTGATGCACTACCCTGTTTATTAAGGGTAATTTGTCATTCATAGGTGTGTACGTGCCATCGGGGCTGGGCAAGAAGATGCGGCTGCGGTTCGCACCTGAAGTGCGGTTCATTCAAGATGAGTCTATGGAGCGAGGCAGCAGGGTGAGTTGGCGCAATACCCTCTATAGTTAGGGAAGTTGGTCAGTTTAGGTGCATACCTGCGGTCGGGGCTGGGCAAGAAGATGCGGCTGCTGTTTGCTCCTGAAGTGAGGTTCATTCAAGATGACTCCATGGAGCGAGGCAGCAGGGTGATTTCCCACACCACGCTTTTTATATGCTTGTCAGTGCAGGTTATGAACGAATTACAGGTGCTTACAACAATTCAGGAGAATGTGTACGCCCAAGTCTGCTTTTGAGGTGACTCAAAAGCCCAAGACTGCACTGCCCAACTCAAGAGTAGGGCGAGTTCAATGTGCTCTTGCCTCATACATGGCATCCCTTCACAACCCCTGAACTCCAGAACCCCTAAACCCCTAAACTCCTAAACCTCCTACGTTTCGAAACCCTTCAACCTTGAAACCTTGAAATCCCTAAGGCAGCAATATACATTTGACAGCGGGGTTCAGGGTTTTACCTTGTGCCTCACGATTTCGGTCCCACCATGTACCATTTATGATCTTTTGGCACTCGCCCTGCCAAATGTATACTGCCGCTGTAAACCCGAAACCTTGAAATTCTTAAACCCCGACCCGCACTCACTCTCCGGGAGATCCACTCGTCCTCTCCTTCCATTGACCCCTCAGAGCCCGGAAACCCAGATTCTGTTACCACTCAAACTCTGTAGTAACCGTAGGTGTGACTGGTAAACCGCAGATACCGTACCATTGTGCCTATCCTGCCCTGCCCTCACACCTCATGATCTATCCTTCCTCCTTTTCACTCGTGTTTCTTCTCCTCTCCCTCCCTCCCCCCCTCCTACCTCCCCTAATCTCCCCTCCTCTTTATCCCTTCCCCTCCCTCCCTCCCTGCTCTTACCTCCCTCATATGCCTAAAACCCGAAATAACTCTCCATCCTCTCACGTCTCAAAGCACTCACTTATCGGATTACCATCACCTCATCAAATCCCTCCCCACCCCTTTGCGTTCCTTCCTTTCCACCCTCCCACCTCCCTATCCCCCTGCAGGTACTCTCCATCCTCTCACGTCTCAAAGCAGAGCAGCAGGCTCGGGAACGCGGCGAGCCTCTCCCGCCAAACCTGTCCCCCATAGCTTCGGGTGGTTATGATGACGAGGATGAGGAGGAAGAGGAGTTAGGGCGGGCTGTGAGAGCACAGAGAAAGCCTAAGAAGGGGCAGGTGGAGGGGGGGTTGGGTGGGAGAGGAGGTGGGCAGGGGAAGGGGCAGGGGAAGGGAGGGAAGAAGGGGGCGGGGAGGAGGTGGGAGGGAGACGATGGGGTGAGGCTTGAAGATTTTGGGGAGGATGAGAAGGTGTTTTTAGTTGAGTGAGTGTGATGGGTTGTGATTGTGCTATGGGATTTGACTTTGAAGGAGGTAATAGGGATTTCATGGATGTTCTGTTGAAATGCCAGAGGTGGCCTGGTGTATGGCGTTGCAAATGCAGAAATATGCTTATCAATACGGTATATGTCAAGATATTACTGTAATACGCACGGGCGAAAATAATGTCTTGAACTAGAGGCTGCTGAAGCCTGAAGCTAAAACACTGAACCACCCCTTCTAGTTCGGTCCAACTTGAAGACAGGCCAACATCAATCATACTTCAACGCACATCAATCGTGCTAACCATACACAGCATTGGTAATAGTACTTCCTTTCAATGTTGTTGAACCTCCTGTTTCAGCCACCCCTGCTCTAAATCCAACCTTCCACTCCACCTAACCCTAAACCCTAAACCCAGCCGCCTAATGAACAGCCCAGCAGTTGCAAACCGCAACCAATGCAGCAAGAGAAGTGCCCTCATGCCGCCCCTCTATCTCAGGCACATGCACTCCACACCTCCACCCTGATTCTATTGCTTCAGGCCCCCTCCTCGTTACTGCCTAAATGCTCTTATGACTCAAGCCGCTACGGTTCTTCTACGGTCTACCCAGCACACCCTCTCCACCTGTCCTTACCCCTCACCACCTGTCTTTAATCAACCCCTGCCTGTGTATGCCCTTGCTCCTCCGTGACTCCTTTCCTCTCCCCTTCTCCTTTGCCCCTATCACCCCCACTCTTTCCCTCTCCCTCCTCACCTCATCTCCCCTTCCCCTCATTCCTGCTGCACGAGCTTTACCCCCCCTCTCTCCATCCTCTCCCCCCTCTCCCTCCTCTTCCTCATCTCCCCCTCTTCCCTCCTTTTCCTCCTCTTCCCCTCTCTCCTTCTCTCGGCCCGTTCTCTTATCACCCTCACTCTCTTCCCCAACTGCACTCCCGACAGGCACCCACCCAGCCCCATCCACTCTCCCACTCTCCCTCCCCCACCTGTCCACCCCCACCCACTTCCTCTCTCCCTCATTCTCCCCTTTCCGCACTCCTCTAGTCTCTCCTCTCCCCACGCCTCTCCCCACTCCTCTTTCCACTCCTCTTTCCCCTCCTCTCTCCCATCCTCTCTTCCCTCCCTTTCTCCCCACTTCCACACTCATAGCATTAGATTTAACTCTACCCCCACTCCCCACTGCTTGCCCATTTGCCCGTTTCCAAACCCCCGGCACAACCCTACTGTTCCGACCCTCCTCCCTTTCCCACCCCTCTTCCTCCTCCTCCTCTTCCTCTTCCTCCTCATCTTCCTCTCCCCATTCCTCCTCATCCTCGCTCTCCCACTCACTCTCCTCATCACTCCCTCCCCTCCCATTCCCTTCCCTCTCCCCTCTCCCCACTTCTCCCCTCCTCATCCTCCTCCTTCCATCCTCCATAAGAACTCTCATCTCCTCTATAGCATCCGCCAGCTCATCACTCATTATAAGCACCTCCCCTTCATAAGCCTCCCGCAGAAACACCGAATCCCGCACCCCTTTCACCGAAACATAAAAAACCTCCGGGTGCCGCAGCAGCAGCGCATATATCCTCGCGGGCAGCAGAAAATCTTTCCGAAAGTGCGTCAGCTGGTCGATCAGGCACCGCTTTTCCACGGTCAGCGAAAGAAACTCCCGAATCACGGCAACTGCCCGCCTCTCGGCTTCCATTGATTCCGGCGATATCCCCAGCTCGAGCGGGTTTGCATAGGGGGATATTTGGGGGGAGGAATGGAACCTCTGTAGCCGGAGCAGGTCAGATTGCTTCAGCTTCAGACCGGGGGGTAGGTTGAGTTTCAAGCTCAGCCGAACGGCTTTCTTGTACCGCTGCTCCCGACTGCTGCTGCTGCTGCTGCTGCTGCTGCCAGCAGTACCGGCACCACTGGCAACACCACTGCTAGTCCCTTCCTGCTCAGCACTGGTTTTCCCGGTGATATAGGCCATGCGGCTGGTCTCTGCTTTGTGCCGCCCCAACCCGATCGACTTTTGAGACGTCTCAAAAGTAGTCCCGTCCTGGTCCGCACTGGTTTTCCCGGTGATATAGGCCATGCGGCTGGTCTCTGCCTTGTGCCGCCCCAACCCGATGGCTGCCTCTGCCAGCTGCTCCGGCGTCAAGGAGGGCTTGGGGGGAGGGAGCTGCATGCCTGGAGAGACTGGTGGGACTTGAGCAGCTTGGGTGGCTAGGGTTTGTTGGGGGGAATCTGATGGTGCAGCCATCCACCCACCCACTCTCTGTTGGAGGGAATCTGATGGCGCCGCCGGGTCGCAGGCCCGAGATGGCTTTTGAGGCGCCTCAAAAGGGGAGTCTGATGGCGCCGCTGGGTCGCAGGCCAAAACAGGACCAAGATGAGGCTTTCTGGATGATGCCGTTCCTTGTGTTTCTTCTGTCCCTTGCTCCTCTTGCTCCTCCTCTTCCCATTGCTCCTCGTCCCATCTCTCTCCTCCCCCCCCCCTTTGGTTCCAGTTTGCCTGTTTCCCCGCCTGTGACTTGTGATTGCTCTCCTTGCGCTCGTTCTGCTTGTGTTGCCCTTCTCCTCCCCCTCCCCCTCCTCCGTCCCCTCCTCCTTCCCCTCCTCCTTCCCCTCCTTCTCCCCCTCCTTCTCCCCATCCCTCTTCCCATCCCTCATCCCACGCCTCTCCCCATCCTGCCCCCTGCCCCTCATGCCCGCCCCCCTCACCTTTACTGCTACCCACGCCAGACATCTCGAATCCCTCCCTACCCTCTTTCCCCTCTCCCTCCGTCTCCTTCTCCTCCTCCTTCTCTTCCTCCTCCTCTTTCCCTTTCTTGGCCTCTCCCTCCTCCTCACCCTTCTCCTTCTCTTCCTTCTCTTCTTCCTTCTCCTCCTCCCACTCCCCCTCTTCCTCCTCCTCCTCCTCCTCCTTCTCCTCCTCCTCCTTCCTCCTCTCCTCCCCACTCTCCCCCTCCCCCTCGTTATCCCCATCCCCCAACACCCCTCCCACCCCTTCTCTCCTCATCATCCCTCCGTGTGCCCTCCCTCCAGCTGCTGCTGCTGCACCACCAGCACCATCACCCCCCCAACCACCTGCAGCAGATTCACCACTCCCCCCACCTCCCCCACCACCATTATCAGCAGCAGAACCACCACTAGCACCAGTACCATCAACGAAGCTAGCACCACCAGCAGCACCACCAGCAGCACTACCAGCAGCACCACTTGCAGCAGCAGCAGCAGCAGAAGCAGACGCATAGGGAGTGCTTTTCATACTAGCAGGACGAGAGGCAGCACCAGCGCCAGCACCAGCACCAGCAACACTGCCACCCCTGATACCATTTTCTACCCCTCCACTTGCCACAGCCTCACCACCCTCTCCCCGAGCCTCTTTCCGAGCCTCTTTCCGAGCCGCTTCCCAAGCCTCTTCCCGAGCCTCTTCCCGAGCCTCCGCTGCTGCTTCGTTCGCCTCTGCCACGGACAGCGCCAGGCGATCGTCCCACTGCTGCAGCACCAGCACCGGCCCCCCAGCAGCAGTAGGGGTACCCGGAGGGGCTGCTGGAGGGGTGGCCACTCTGAAGCGATCGGAGAAGCGCGGCAGAAAGGACTGGGCATGGACAGGGGAGAGGGGAGAGAAGAGAGATGGGGTTGAGTCGAGAAGGGGAATTCGTCTGTTACTCATCCCACTGTTGCAGCACCAGCATTGCCCCTCCAGCAGCAGCAGCCGGGATACCCGGAGGGGCTGCTGGAGGGGTGGCTACTCTGAAGCGATCTGAGAAGCGCGGCAGAAAGGACTGTATGGGAGCACAGAGGGAAGGGGGGAGAGAGGAGAGGGGAGTAAAAAGGCGGGCTTGAGTTGGAAAGAGGAGCCACGGACAGCGCCAGGCGATCGTCCCACTGCTGCAGCACCAACACCGGCCCACCAGCAGCAGCAGCAGCAGGGGTGCCCGGAGGGGCTGCTGGAGGGGTGGCCACTCTGAAGTGATCGGAGAAGTGCGGCAGGAAGGACTGGCAGTGGAGCAAGGGAGAGCGCAGAGCGAAGAGGGGAGAGAGAAGAAGAGAGAGGTGAGAGAGCGGAAAAAAAAGAGGGGCTTGAGTTGGGCAAAAAAAGCCTCAGCTACAGACAGACAGCACCAGGCGATCGTCCCACTGCTGCAGTAGCAGCACCACCTGGGCAGCTCTGAAACTTTTTGAGATGCCCAAAAGGCTGCAGTCACCAGCACAGAGGCCAGCAGGTGCAAATGGGCTACTATGAACGACCTACAGGGTGATTTTGAGAATTCTCTAGAATACCCTGCAAATGCGACTCTGAGGTGGAAGGGCAGCAGCACTAGAGAATCGCTCGAGCAAGTACGAAAAAGAGTAAAAAAATTCCCTAGCTAAGAGAACTCTGATCGCAAGAACTGTATTCACTCAATCAGAACAGGTCGCAAACATGTTTAGGCAAGGCGGGAGAACCCGTCAAGCCTTCATCAGTGCTTCTGAACAGCGCTCACCGTTTTGAAGTCCTCTGGAAGGCCCAGTTCTCTGCGCACGTGCCCAACGCTCTCCACACTGAGGGACTGCGTTGCTGACATCATCAGCAGCTTGCAGAGCTGCAGTAGATGGTGGGAGGCAATGCGAAGGTGGGGAGGGGAAGAAGGGGATGGTTGTGGGGGGGAAAGGGGTGCACGCACAGCCGTGCTCTCCACACTGAGGGACTGCATGCTGACATCATGAGCAGCTTGCAGAGCTGCAGTGGTAGGTGGGTAGAAGAGGGGAAGATGCAGAGGGGAAGAATGAAAGAGGGCTTGTTGTGGAGGAGAGAGCGGGTGCAGGAGCTGTCAAAAGAAGACAGGTGGGCTGCGGAGGCCTTACTTCCATCAACTCGTGTTGAAAGAGGGCTTGTTGTGGAGGAGAGAGCGGGTGCAGGACAGACAGCACAAAAGGTTGACCAAGAGAGGGGGTGTTCCGAAGCACAGCAGTGCTCGTGTAGAAAGTAGATCTTTGAGACGTGGGTGCAACGAGCACTGCTGCTGCTCGTCTCAAAAACCTACTTTCCACACGTGGGTGCAAGGACAGCACAGCACAAAAGGTTGGTGTTCCGAAGCACAGCAGTGCTCGACACTCGAGAACTGCGTCGCTGAGCCATTGGGAAAACATCATTAGAAGCTTGCTCAGCTGCTGCAGTTGGGAGAATATGTTGCCCGCACAGCACCCCTGTCGTGCAATGCACACACCCAACTGCACCGCATCACATACACCTCATCTCACCTCATCTCACCGCACTGCACCTCACCTTATCCACTACGAGGGGCTTCATGATGGCCCGCAGCTCCCTCTCCCTCGCATCCCTCCTTGCCACCTCTGGAGTCAACTCGGACCAGATGTTGCCCGCAACCCTGTTGTACCATGCACACACCCCATTGCACTGCGTCACACACCACACCACTGCATCACACAGCGTCTCGCCGCATTCCACCACATTGCACCGCACCTTATCGACGAGAATGGGTTCCATGATGGCTCTCAGCTCCCTCTCCCTCGCATCCCTCCTCGCTGCCTCTGGAGTCAACTCGAACCAGATGTTGCCCGCACCCTTATCGTACACTCGGAATATGGATGGGAACCTGATGGGCGTGGGGGATGGAAGGGCCGAGGGGAAGGGAAGAAGAGGGGGCCAAAGAGGGAAAGGGAAGAAGAGGGGGCCAGGCATTAACTCCCAAAAGCTCAAACCAGATGTTGCCCGCACCCTTATCTTACACTCGGAATATGGATGGGAATCTGATGGGTGTGGAGGGTTGGGGAAGGAGTCGGCAGTAGGGTAGGGCCAGGCGGAATGGACACTTTCCATTGGAAAGGGGACGAGGTACTGAGCATGCATGCAGTCAGCTCAAACCAGGTGTTGCCCGCACCCTTGTCATACACTCGGAATATTGAGGGGAATCTGATGGGCGTGGGGGCAGAGGGTGGGGATGTGTGCGGGAAGGGAGAGGGTGGGAAGAGGAGGGCATTCATTCAGTCCCGCTAGTCCCGCTAGTCCCGCTAGTCCCGCTAGTCCCGCTAGTCCCGCTAGTTCAAACGAAATGTTGCCCGCACTGCTGTCATACACTTGGGATATTGAGGGGAATTTGTTGCTGTAGTGGTGGTGGTGCTGCACCCACCCACACACTCAATCACACTCACTCACTCCCACTCACTCAAACACACTCACTCACAGTCACACTCACCTGCGAATGAGAGCCTCACATCTTCGCCCTCCAGACAGCCCAATCTTGTTCCGATGCTTCCCCACTAGAGTTGTGCGGCTGTGTTGAGAAAGTTCAAGGAGCCTAGTTTTGAGTCGATTCAAAACTGAGCTGTGTGGCTGTGTTGAGGGAGTTCAAGGAGCACACACATCTACCACCCAATCCCGCACTTACTCCCTCTCTCCCATTTCCACTCACCTGCGAATGAGAGACACACATCTCCGTCCCCCAGACAGCCCAATCTTGTTCCGATGCTTCCCCAGCTCCTTGAGACTCATGCGCCCGCCCTTCTGCCAGTTAAAAAGGGACATGACGTGTACTCATTAGCGAGTCAGCAAGTAAGCAACAAGAAAGAGCTCTTGTTTCTGCCGATGCTTCCCCAGCTCCTTGAGACTCATGCGCCCGCCCTCCTGCCAGAAAAAAGGAAGGCAGCGCAATTCTAGGCTCATTAGCGAGTCTGCTACAAGGGGGGCCTACCAGTTTCTATACTCATTACACTCAAGTATTTAGATCAAGAAGTGACCGCCCAGCTCCTTCAGACTCTCAACAAGGTAACTAGTACTCCACATAGTTGCGCGCTCAGTAGTATATTGTAGCATAATGAAGAAGCCGAGTATGCGAATTGGGTGCTCAAGCCCCCCTGCCGATTTCTCCACATGATTGCGACCATGCAGTGAGCCGTGCCTCCTTCATCCCGGTGCTGTTTTTTGAGGCGCCTGAAAAATCTCTCCACATGGATGTGATGCGACCACCAAGTGAGTGAGCCATGCCTCATTTCTCCTTTGAGAATTCTCAGAAGTCACACTAATAGTGCTTGCTTGCCAGCTCCTTCCTTTCTTTAAGTGAGGGTCTACTGCCATTGACACGCATTGACCACCGTTGACCAGTGTTGGCCCATCGCTCACCTGCTTCCCCAGCAGCTCCTGAATGCGCTGCACGATGCGGAACTTCTTGTTCCTCTCTATCACCGCATCCAGCCGTGGCTCCTTCCGCCGCTTCACCTTGCACTCCACCACTCGCCGCTGCCGGGTCTGGTGATTAGAATTGGGGGGGGGAAGAGGGGGAAGGGGGGAAGGGGGGACGGGGAACAAGGGATGGGGAGCAGGGGACGGGGCAGGAAGTGGTGCTTCAATCACCACATCCAGCCGTGGCTCCCTCCGCCGCTTCACCTTGCACTCCACCACTCGCCGCTGCCGGGGCTGGTGGAAAAGAAAAGGGGGGGAGGAGTGGTTGTAGGGGAGGAGGAGGGGAAGGATATGGTGTGTTAGCCAACGCACAAGGCTCCCGCCGCCGCTTCACCTTGCACTCCACCACACGCCGCTGCCGGGGCTGATGGATAAACAAGCGAGGTGCGGTCGGTGGGAGGGAGGGCAGGGGTGGGAGAGGTAGGGGTTTAGGCGAGGGGAGAGGGTGCATTAGCCATCAGGTCATGTCTTAGGCGACTTCGATGGTTCGCGCTTCCCCTTCAGCTTGCAATCAACCACACGTTGCTTCAAAGGTTTGAGGGTCAGGGGTGCGGGTTCAGGGTTCAGGGTATAAGATTTTTCTTGTCCAAGGATTCATATGGAATTTCTTGCAGGGCAAGATGGAGATAGGTGCCGTTCCATCGCCCAAACAAACTGCTACCTGCCTCGAACCATGATAACAACCATGTCCCTTTGTTCCAAGGCAGAAGAAGACTTCGAAGAGTTTCCAACACCAACTAAAACCTTTCTGCTCGTTTCTCACAAACGAATATTCTCTCCGCAACCCGCGCGCCCTTGCTTGCTCGTCTCCGCAAGAAGAGTGCGGAAAATGCGACGATTTCGGAGGGGCATGCAAGGGCAATATAGATCGGATTCTGAAACATGAGAATAGTCACCAACGTTGGGCTTGGACTCGAGCGTTGGGCCACGACTCGGTGTCGTTCCCGTTTTGACAGTGTGTCCCTTCCTACCTCTTTTCGCATGCCTCCTCGTGGCGGGCGGTGATACGTCAGCGCGTCGCTCGACGAGTCGCCACGCAGCAGACTGGACGATCCGAACGACATGCTTCTCGCCGACGATCCGAACGAAGCGCCTGTTGCTGATGATCGAAGCGACATGCGACGAGTCGCACTACTCGTCGCACAGCGCGTCGCCGAGAATGGGCGGGCTACGATATGTCGCGACGCGTGGAACCCGCGCCGCGGAGCCTGATGCCAGCATGCTACCATAGCGGTTTTATCGCCGCCTTTACCGACGGCGTTTCCCCCGCCGACGATCAAACTTGCGTGCTCAAACGACCGAATCTCCATTCGCCCATTTCCAGATAATGTATTTGCTACTGGCCCGATCGCGCCTCCAGCATGACTCGCACCGCCGTGACTGGCGCACGGGAAAGATACGCGAGCCATCGACATAGTAGTTAATCTCCTCGCGCCTCGATCTCCCCAGATCCGCGCGCTTGGCGACTTGCTGTGGCACTTGCCGCTGCAGTTAACTACTCCGCCGCCTATTGTGTAGAGACTATTGGAGCGAGTAGGCGCAGCCGCTCCGCGGATCGCGGCTGTAGTGCGGAGCGGCCATCCGGCAGAAATTCCCCCTCCGCCGGTGATCGCGCGTGGAAGTGCAGCTGGTTGAAAGGCGCACGGACAGGCGGGCATGACGGGGGGAACAGCGCACGGGCAGGGGGGAAGGATGGCGGCTGCCGGTGCCCGCCAGGCTGCGCGCCAAGTGGACGCGGGGAGAGCGGCGCGTGCAGTTGCTAAGCAGACGGAGCAGCGGAGGAGGCGGGAGAACGCGGAAGAACGAGCGGAAAACATTCAAGGAGACGGGATAAAGTTCACTTGGTCAAATAGATATACACGGGGCGACTCACGCCTGGATGTATTCTAGGGATTAACTAATGTAATAGACTGACTAATCAGGGCGCATGCGTATACATGTTCACGTAGTTCTAGCATCCCGATTAGACGTGTAGGATAACTCGAGGTGTCCACAAAGAAGGTTACGTGCTTCGGTAGCCTCCAAGTCCTAGTATCTCCCAGGTTCAGAAATTATATCTCAGGTTCGACAAACTGAGAGAGCCTAGAATCTCGGGTTTCAATCTGAGCGTTGGTTTACTTGAAATGGACGAGTCTCCATGGCCTAGATACTGACGCCGAGATGGCTCCGTGCTCGAGGCAGAACGAGAGCATTGATCTCCCCAGAAGTGGGATTGCTGACATTCTTTGGCAGCAAGCCGTATTCGGTACTCCATTCTTCGAGACATTCTATTTTGCTGATTTGCAGGCGAGACTGGGTCTCAGATCTTCAAAGCGTTTACAGTACGTCACGAGACTCTGTCGTCGCACAAAAGATGTCGTTATTAGGGAAACTAAAATTGATACCACATCTCCCATGCGAAGCCGCCCATCGAGTTGGAGAATAAAGAACAGGCCATTCGGCGACGTGCTCGGCAAATCCGCCGAACCTAGACATTCACGATTTTACCTCTCGAGCAAGGAGCCGCGCCAGGTACCCAAACCTCCCCAACAACCTCAACTAGCCGTTGAGTCAAACTCGCGCCTTCTACAGTTGATTGATCCTTGAGAAGCGTACAAAGCACAATCGTACCGTTTCGACCTATAACAAAACTTTCATTATTGAAGTAGAAACTCATACCAACCTCGTTGATAAACAAAACAGTGCCCTGTCTCTAGCAGCAACTCGTTGCTAAAACCATATAATCTTGGCAGTTTGTTACCCATATAATCTGTCCCAATACATTACCAACTCAAACACAACATATCGACCTGCTTCTAACTAAAATTCTAAAGCTCATGACCTACAGCAGTAACTCCAGCCAGCAGTCAAGAAACAGGACTAAAAGCCAAGATCCGCCAAATTATCTGTTGGGACCGCAAGCCCATCGAGACCCCCAAGATCTTCCCCCATTAGCAGCTCATCGTTCGGCAATCCCGCCAGCCATCCACCAAAGTCATCCCCCTGCACCCCCAGCTCCGGCATCGCCGAACCAAACACCGAGCCTGCCGCCAGGTTATCCAGCTCCACCACCTGCTCCAGCTCCGGCTGGGGCGTCGTAGGCATGGCGTTCCGGTTTGGATCCAGGTCCGGGAACTCATCCGCCGAGGCTTTTCTCTTGCCCGACTTCCCCGGACCAACTCCCGAGCCTCTCGACCGCTTCCCAAGTTGTATACCATGCGTGAGGCTCGACCCAGGTGCGAAAAAATCCCCCGGAGAAGACCCAAGAGGCTTAGAATCAAAGTCTCCTGCTCCCTCCCACCCAGAAGCAGCAGCAGCAGTACCAGAGGGATCAAGGCCCCCTGAATCGTGACCCGGCGGGGTAGCCACAGGGGGGGTTGCAGCCTGCCCTCCTGCCCCTCTCTGCCCTCCCCCCACCCGGTGCTGCCGCCACCGCCCCTTCTTCCTCTCCCCTCCGCCACCCCCTCCCGCTCCCTCCCCTCCCCCGGCAAGGCTCGACCGGGCACCAGTAGGGGTGGCCCCTGCTGACCCCCCCTCGCCTGTGCGCCTGGCAGGGGAACCCCCTTTGGTGAAATCCAGGTTGTCCCGGTCTGTTCTTTTCCGCTTGATGTTCCCTGGGAGTAGAGGTACCGGCCCCCCACTAACCCCTCCCCCTGCTCCTCCCCCTGCTGCTCCTGCCCCAGAAAACCCTCCTCTAGACGCTCCTCCTCCTGCTCCTGCTGCTGCTGACGCGCCTGCTGCACCCCTAGCACCACCAGCACCAGTGGCACCGGCACCAACAGCATCATTCGGGCTACCACCTGCACCAAATACATCCTCCAGTCGAGCGGTTCTCTCCTTGTGTCTGAACGACCCCTCCAAAGCATCACCGCCTGGTCCTGCCATTGCTCCCATGCGCTCCCCCCTGCTCTCGCTTCGCCGCAAATTTGTGCGTGAGTGTGGATCTGGTGGGAATACGCGGGGAGGGGGAAAGGAAAGGAGGATATTGAATAAGAGGGAAAATACCAGCACCATCAGCAGCACCACCACACCACCACCAGCAGCACCAGCGCCACCAGCACCGAGCCGTTCTCTCCTTGTGTCTGAACGACCCTTCCGAAGCCTCCCCCACTGCCATTGCTCCTTGTTCTCGCCTCTGCGCTCGATTCGCCGCAAATTTGCGCAGGAATGGGGTTCTGGGTGGGGATAAATGGAGAGAGAAAAGGGTGGAGGGTCAGAGGGGAGGATTTGCAGCAAAGATAGTGTGAAAGTGCGGCCAAGGGGAGAGGGTGGGGGTCGGGGAATAAATGGAGAGACAAAAAAGAGAGTGAGAGAGGGGGGGCACGTGGAGAGTGGTCAGGGGAGGAGAGGTCAGGGGAGGAGAGGTCAGAGGAGGAGAGGTCAGAGGAGGAGAGGTCAGAGGAGGAGAGGTCAGAGGAGGAGAGGTCAGAGGAGGAGAGGTCAGAGGAGGAGAGGTCAGAGGAGGAGAGGTCAGAGGAGGAGAGGTCAGAGGAGGAGAGGTCAGAGGAGGAGAGGTCAGAGGAGGAGAGGTCAGAGGAGGAGAGGTCAGAGGAGGAGAGGTCAGAGGAGGAGAGGTCAGAGGAGGAGAGGTCAGAGGAGGAGAGGTCAGGGGAGGAGAGGTCAGAGGAGGAGAGGTCAGAGGAGGAGAGGTCAGAGGAGGAGAGGTCAGAGGAGGAGAGGTCAGAGGAGGAGAGGTCAGAGGAGGAGAGGTCAGAGGAGGAGAGGTCAGAGGAGGAGAGGTCAGAGGAGGAGAGGTCAGGGGAGGAGAGGTCAGAGGAGGAGAGGTCAGAGGAGGAGAGGTCAGAGGAGGAGAGGTCAGAGGAGGAGAGGTCAGAGGAGGAGGGATGGCTTGGGGGGGGGGGGGCTGTCTGTCACTGGGTGGGGACCCTGTTTGTCTGCCTCTCCAAGTGACTTGACTTGTGAGTCAATTTAGAATGCACCCTCACCCAGGATGAACAACGCACCTTCCCTGAAGCTGTCACAGGGAGAACCAGCTATCCGCCTCTGCCTCTCACGCTGACCTTTGAGTTTACGTTGAGTCAAACGTTGCCTCAACTCACATGCCACCTGGCCTGCCCTCAGCCCAGCACGCAACTTCCCTGAAGCTGTCACAAGGGGAACCAGCAATGAGCATCGACGCCACCGGACTATCTGCCTCTGCCTCTCCTGGCGACTTGCCAGCCGACTCAACAGTCACCTCGTCTCAAGAATCACCTCATCTCACAAGATACCTCGACCCAAAGGTGGCCGCGCACCTTCCCTGAAGCTGTCACACACACGGCGACCCAGCAATGAGCATCGATGCCACCAGCCTGTCCACCTCGGCCTCTCGTGTTGCCTTTTGAGTTCACCTTGAGTCAAAAGTTGCCTCGACTCACAAGCCACCTGGCTTGCCCTCAACCCAACACGCACCTTCCGTGAAGCTGATTGCTGTCACACACGGCGACCCAGCAATGAGCATCGACGCCACCAGACTATCCGCCTCTGCCTCTCCAAGTGACTCGTGTGAGTTTACTCAAGAAAGTCGTTGCAACTCACAACTCAGCTAGAGCCTACAACATCCACGCACCTTCCCTGAGGCTGTCACAGGGCGACCCAGCAATGAGCATCGACGCCACCGGACTATCCGCCTCTGCCTCTTGCAACGAATTCTAAGTTAACCTCTACTCAACTCACGACTCACCTCACCTAGAAGGCCACTAAGCCACGCACCTTCCCTGAAGCTGTCACAGGGTGACCCAGCAATGAGCATCGACGCCACCAGACTATCCGCCTCTGCCTCTCGCACGCCTCCCCCTCCTGCCCCTCCTGCACCACCCTCTTCACCACCACCACCAGCCCCAGCCCCGCGCAGGGGACTCAGACCAGCGATTTCCAGTGCTGGCGATTCCCCTCCCATTGCGGTGTCATCAGCACCTGCAGCAGCGACAGCAGCTGCTGCTGCAGTGGTGGTGGCGGTGGGAGCGAAGGAGAGAGGGATGGGAGGGCGGGGTGGGGACGGGGGGAAGAGTGCGAGTCTCTGGCGGTTGAACAGGGAGAGGAGGCCAGGGGCAGAGGCGCCTGCACCAGATAAACCTGTCCCAGAACCGTCCAAACCACCTGCACCAGCACCACCAGCAGCGCCAGCAGCACCAGCAGCAGCACCATGGGCACTTAGTGTCCCCCCTGGGGTTGTCACCACACCAGAACTCCTCCCCACCCCTCCCAATCCAGGAGTACCCACACCGCCAGGCCCGGGCGTCCATGGCAGCGGGCTGCGCTCGGCGAGCAGGCTCGGCGAGGGCTGTAGGTCCGGGTGCACGCGCTGCAGGTGCGGCAGCAGCGTGCCGGCGTGCCATTGGTCGGCGCGCTGCAGGGCGCGGCGCACAAAGTGGACGGCGGACTGGCGGGCGAGCTTGAGGGAGGACCCAGCGCCCTTGGTGATGGTGCCCGCTGCTCCCGCCATCTTGAGACCCTGGAAGGGAGAGGAGGGGAGGAGGGAAGGCGGAGTGGGCGAAGAGCAGGGTTGGTTTAACAAGGGTGCTCTCTTCCCCTGCCTGCCACTCCTCAGCGCTCTGCAGGTCCTTCCTTCCCCACTGAATCCAGCCAGCATGGCACTCCTGGGTGCGCTGCAGGGCTCGGCGCACAAAGTGGACGGCAGACTGGCGGGCGAGCTTGAGGGAGGACCCAGCGCCCTTGGTGATTGTCCCTGCTGCTCCCGCCATCTTGAGACCCTCGGAGGGTGAGCAGGGGAAAAGGGGTAAGGAGATTGTATGAGCCGAAGCTTGAGGGAGGAGCCATCCCCCCCCATGGTGATCGTGCCTGCTGCCCCTGCCATCTTCAGCCCCTGGAGAGAAGGGTGGGGGAGGAGGGAAGGAGGGAGTGAGACGTCTCGGATTTGAAGGACTCAGGATGTTTTGATGGTTCAAAGGAAAGCCATAGGCTGCAAGAGAAAGACGAAAGAGTGAAAAGGTATGTGCAAGCGGAGCCTATTCGGGGAAGAGGGAGGGTGGTGCGCGGTCGTGCAGTGTGGTGCAGTGTGGTGGGGTGTGCGTACGTTTTGTCTGGCATAGGCCATTTCCAAGAGCCGATCCACCACCAGCTTCGCCAGTGGGAGAGAAGGGGCTTTTGAGTTCTATGGTACGTACCGCGGCACGGTGTGAGGAGACCAGATGGGAAGAGAGATGGGGGGGAGGGGGCAGTGGTGGGTTGGGGTGTGCGTACCGTTCGTCTGGCATATGCCATCTCCAGCAGCCGATCCACTACCAGCTTCTCGCAGCTCCTGCCAGCACCGCACAGTACAATGACAAATCAGGTAAGAGGAATGAGCAGGAATTTCAAGAGCAGGGATGAAACCAGAAGGCTGAACTATTTCCATCATCCAGCAAGAATCAGCCAAAAAGTTCTACGCAAACAGCTTTTCAAAGCCAAATAGGTTGAATATTTCTGGAATTGCTTCACCCACAGCAGACCCCTCCCTCTCTTCACCCTTCACCCACCTTTCTTCCTCCAGTCGCCTTGATGCCACCACCTCTTCCAAATACGCTGCCTTGTGCTGGTTGTGCTGCGCCTGGGGGAACAGGGAGGAGGGAGGAAGGGAAGAAGAGCAGAGGGGAGAGAGGAGGAGGAGCATAGAGGAGGGGGATACTTGCCACTTTTGCGACCACCTCGCCTTGGCTCTTCTCGTTCTACCTCGACTCACCTTCACTCGCGAGATCCTTCACTCGCTCTCTCCTTCACTCGCTCTCTCCTCCACTCGCTCTCACCTCCACTCGCTCTCACCTTCACTCGCTCTCTCCTTCACTCGCTCTCTCCTTCACTCGCTCTCTCCTTCACTCGCTCTCTCCTTCACTCGCTCTCTCCTTCACTCGCTCTCTCCTTCACTCGCTCTCTCCTTCACTCGCTCTCTCCTTCACTCGCTCTCTCCTTCACTCGCTCTCTCCTTCACTCGCTCTCTCCTTCACTCGCTCTCTCCTTCACTCGCTCTCTCCTTCACTCGCTCTCTCCTTCACTCGCTCTCTCCTCCACTCACTCTCTCCTTCACTCGCTCTCTCCTTCACTCGCTCTCTCCTTCACTCGCTCTCTCCTCCACTCGCTCTCACCTCCACTCGCTCTCACCTCCACTCGCTCTCACCTCCACTCGCTCTCACCTCCACTCGCTCTCACCACGGCTGAACCCGTGTTGCTCTCACTCACCTTGGCCTGCTTTCGCCTGTGGGACATGTGAAGGCTGGCGCTAATCTCATCGTATTCCGATGAACCACATTGACCCGCCTTGACTCACATTGACTCACTTTGACTTTCTCTCACCCGTGTTGCTCTCACCTTAACTTGCAGTCGTCTGTGGGAAATGCGAAGGCTGGCACTGATCTCATCGTCCTGCCGCTGCGCCTCCTGTAGCTGTGAGGGGAGAGCGAGGTGTGGGTGGGAGGCGGAACAAGGGGGGTTGGCCAGATGGAAGGGGGTGGGATGAGGAGTGGGAAATGCGAAGGCTGGCACTGATCTCATCGTCCTGCCGCTGCGCCTCCTGTAGCTGTGAAGAGGGAGGAGGGGGGTGGGGGGTGGAGAGGGGAGGCGGAAAAGAAGCAGGAAGAGGATGGGGAAGGGTAAATGCGAAGCCTGGCACTGATCTCATCATTCTGCCGCTGTGCCTCCTGCAGCTGTAAAGGAGTGGCGAAAGAATGGAGGGGGGAAGGAATGAGGATGGGGATGGGGGTGAGGTCAGACACAACTGGGAGTGGGGAATAGAATGGGGATGGGGACATGTGAAAGCTGGCGCTGAGGTGTATTTTGAGGCGCCTCAAAAGAAATCCGCGAGCACTGAGGTGTATTTTGAGGCGCCTCAAAATACACCTCAGGATGGGGATGGGGGTGAGGTCAGACACAACTGGGAGTGGGGAATAGAATGGGGATGGGGACATGCGAAGGTGGGCACTGATCTCATCGTCCTGCCTCTGCACCTTCTGCAGCTGTGAGGTGTGGGAATGTGAATGTGGGTTCAGGGACAAAAGGGGATGGGGATGGGGATGGGGATGCGGATGGGGATGGGGATGGGGATGCGGATGGGGATGGGGATGAGGATGGGGATGGGGTGCGGCCAGATCCCAGCACCACATGCACTCTCTCTTATCCTATCCACCATCTTACCCCAATGCATGCACCCTTCTTACCCCGTGCACGCGCAGCAGTCCCACATGAGCCAACTCCAGTCGCACCCTTGCTTCCAGCCCCATCCCTCTCCACTCCTCCGCACTCAGCGGTCCTCCTCCCCCACTCCCCCTCTCTCCCCCTCCCCCCCCCAACAGCCCTCCCCCTGGCCCCCTCCCCCCTTCCATCTGCGCCCAAATCTGCCCACTGTTGGGCTGCCAGCTGTTTGATTGGCTGTTTCTAATTCGACCGAAATCAACCTGCCCCCATGTGTGTGACTGTGACAGTAACGAAGGGCCCCGAAGCAGGTTCCCGGAAAGTGCTGCATCAGATAACACCTCCTCTTCTGCAGGTAAAACCCACTCTACCTCCCCTCCTTCCACTCCTCCTCCATTATTACCCCTCTTCCCCCCTGCTGCTGCTCCTCCATCCCCCCCACCCCCATTCACCAAAACACCCCTTAAAAACCCCTCCTCGTCCTCCTCTCCTTCGTCCTTCGCACCTCCTCTCTCCCCTTTCACTCTCATTTCACCATCCCCTTCCTTTTCCTCCACCTCTTCCTCCTCCTCCTCCTCGTCCTCCTCCTCTTCATCATCCTTACACTCCCCTCCGTCACACCCACCCTCCTTGCCCCCGCCCTGCCGGGGGCAGTCAATCAAAGCAGACAGCAGCCGATTCACCATCGACTCACCAACCACTCCTCCCCACTCCCTCCCACCCCCTCCCAAACCTCCATCCAAACCTCCTCCCGCCCCTTCCAGCCCGCCTGCGGGCGAGCGGTTACCACCAGCAGGTGTTACAGCCATGAGAGGGGGAAGAGCATGTAGGGCGCCTGAGGGGTGAGACTCTGAGCCTCCCATTAACAACCCCACCACGTTCCCATTCCCGTTGCCGTGGCCGTTACCGTTACTGTTACAGTTACCAGCAGCACTGGCTGCTGCGGAATCAACACCAGCAGCACCGGCTGCTGCTCCCTCTGTTGCTCCAGACTGCACAAGCACACAGATGGAGAGGGAAGAGAATCGTAAATTGGGATGGAGAGGGAAAAGATGGGATTGATTGCGGCTGCAAGCACTGGGATGCCTGTGGTGGGGTGGGGTCTGTAAGTCCATCTCTTGCACCTGCTGCTCCCTCTGTGACTGAAGACTGCACAAGGATTGCGATGCAGGGGGAGGAGAATGAATGGGATTGAGAGGGAAAATAGAGTGGGATAGCGTAGCGGGTGGTGTGCTGCTTGTGGTGGAGTCTCTGTTTCTTTCTGCCTTTTCTGCTGCTGCAGGTGTGTTTGAGAGGGAAGACAGCGTTTTAACGGGATTGCAAAGGCAACTGAGCCTAAACGTCTCCAAACTGGATTTCTTGAGACCAAAGTATTCTATAATAGAAAGAAAATCTCACATAGATACATATCAGTTTTCATCAACTCACCATCTGCCTCAGTCTCGCAAGGTCCTCTGGGGCAGGGAAGTGGAAGAATGGCTCAACGGCTTTCCAGAAGGGGCTGGACGCTGCTGCAGCTGCACGCGTGGGGAAGGATGGGGAGGTGGGCGAAGGGAAAGGGGTGATGATGAGTCTATGTTGTGCTGTAATATTCATTCGAGTGAAGTGGAAGAATGGCTCCACGGCTTTCCAGAAGCGGCTGGACGCTGCTGCAGCTGCACGCGTGGGGAAGGATGGGGGGGGAAACGGAGGAGGGTGAGTTAGCATTGCTGCGTCCCACATAAGGGAAGTGGAAGAATGGCTCAACGGCTTTCCAGAAGGGGCTGGCCGCTGCTGCAGCTGCAGGGGCAAAAGAGGGTCGGGGGGCATGGGGAAGGAAGGAATTCTGGTTTAGGGTTTCGGGTCTAGAGGCAGGTGCAGGCGGGTGCGGTAAGGTGGGGGCAAGGAAGGGGGGAGCGGCGGCGGAGGAGGAGGAGGGAGGAGGAGGAGGAGGAGGAGGAGGAGGAGGAGGAGGAGGAGGAGGAGGAGGAGGAGGAGGAGGAGGAGGAGGAGGAGGGTGGTGAGTCAGTGGGTGTGGTATTTTTCACTCACAACCAGCCAAAAGGGACTAGACACAGCTACAGCTGCATTTGCTGCAGACGCGTGTAAGGTGGGAGGAATTGGGGGGTTGAGGGAGGAGGGTGATGAGTCAGTAGGTGTTGTATCTTTCATTCACATGAAATGGGTTGCACAGCAGCTGGAGCTGGGAAAGCGACTAGCAGCTCTAACTTATGGGCCTAAAGATTGGTATGCTACTCATGCATGCATGCATACATGCACCACTTGCCAGGCCAAGGGTTTTGTCAGACCGTTAACTTTGGCACCAGCCTCAATTGGAAAAGGCCTCAACGCACGGGAAAGAAAGAGCCTCACCTCCTGTATTTATGTGTAAAAAGTGTATTTCTTAGACGTCTCAAAAATACACTTTTTTACACGGGAAAGGAAGACCCTCACCTCCTGTATTCATGGCTGCCTGTATCGCATTTGATAGCTCCTCCGCATCATCGTCCGAATCACCTGAAAAGAGCAGAATAAGGGAGCATAGTAAGAAGTTATTACCAGAAATAATGACAACAATGACAAGATACCAGCATCGCACTCACTCACCTAAGAGAAACACTCACCGGATTCCTCCATTGGGCTGTCTGCATGCATGCGCCTCTGCACCCTGTTGGCTGCATTGCGCCTGTCCACCCTGCCGCCCCTGGTTGGTTGGAATCGACGAGAAGGAAGAGAGCGAGGAAAGAGCGGGCGGGAGGGGTTACATGGGAGGGAGGGAAAGAGAATGCATGCGCCTCTGCACCCTGTTGGCCGCATTGCGCCTGTCCACCCTGCCGCCCCTGGTTGGTTGGGATTGGCAAGAAGGAATAACGGGAGAGGAGGGATGAGAGGATATATGGGAGGGAGGGAAAGCGCATGCATGCGCAGCGCCTCGCCTCTGCACCCTGCTGCAGGGTGTTTTTGAGAATTCTCAAAAACACCCTGCCGCATGCATGCATGCGCAGCGCCTCGCCTCTGCACCCTGTTGGCTGTCGATGCATGCATTGTGCCTGTCGATGCTGTTGCTCCTGCTTCGTGCTAGACTCATTTTATTTGGATACTCATAAATTGCCCACAGGCGTGACAATATAGGAGCCTCACCTCTCTCCTTTGTCCAATCCCAGGCGAGAGGTGCGGATCTGCTTCACGTTATTCGCCACTCCAACCACCCCGCCTGCTCCACCCCCACCACTCCCACCACCGCCACTGCCACCTCCACCCGCAGCAGAGGCAGCACCACCAGCACCACCAGAGCCACCAGCACCACTACCCAGCACCCCACCATCGTCCGCCCCTTCACTCCCCATGCTAGACACGGCTTCTTTCTTCAATCTCAACCCCCCAGCAGCCACTAATCTCCCCGTCCTCCCCTGTCGCCTCACCCCATCCGCCCCTCCCGCCCCTCCCCCTCCTCCACCTCCCCCTTCCTCCTTCACTACCCCCCCTCCTCCCTCTGTTTTCTCTCTCACTCTCCCCAGCTTGCCCTTTTTGTCCTTTCTCCGCACTTTAGCCAATCCCGTGCCTCGGGACTGGACCTCCGACAAGCCCCCTGCTTCCCCCCCCGCCCCTCCCCCCGCTCCCCCTAAGCTCTCCCCCGCGCCCCCCAAATGCCCCCCCACACTCCCACTCTCTGTCGGCCAAAGTCCCCCTCCCTCCCGCCCACCCCCACCCCCTTCCCCATCCATCTCCTCCCCCCCATACCCCTCCTCGTCCCCTTCCCCACCCCCTTCACTCACCCCCACAGACCCTAACGGGGACATAGCCATACCTAAGCCAGCTCCCGCTCCCCCTCCCCCTGCTCCCCCTGCTGCTGCTGCGCCAATGCCCCCTGACCCACCCCCTGCTCCTCCCCCTGCTCCGCCAACTCCTCCTCCTCCCCCTGCCGCTCCTGCTTTATGCAGCTTGCCTGGCTTTCTCCCCCTGCTAGTAGGGGGGAGCCCTGACTGATTACCCTGCTGATGCTGCTGCTGGTGATGCGGCTGATGCGGCTGATCCCACAATCCAGCCCCATCCCCTCCGCCCTCTCGTTCAGACTGCACGGAATGAGCAGGGGAAGCAGCTCGTGCGCCAAACGCCCCTTTCCTATCTGCTGCTCCCCCTCCCACCTTTCTCACCGCCGCTCCTCCTCCCCCTCCCCCCCCCTGCACCTGCATTTCCCACTCCGCCCGCGCCTGCCTTATCGCCCCCGCCCAACGTCCTAGGACCGCGGGTCGCTCGTCCTTTAGTGATCCCCGCTCCGCCTCCCCCTCCCCCTCCGCCTCCACTGCTCTTAGGCGCATTTTCCTCCCCCTGAAGCGGGCTTCCAGGCACAGACGAGCCTCCCCCTCCTCCCCCTCCTCCCCCACCACTCCCCCCGGCTCGCATGGTGCCAAACCTCCCACTGGCATCCCTTGTCTGGTGCAACCCTATCCCCTTGCCCGCCTGTCCCTTAGGCCCACTATCACTACCTGCTCCCCCTCCTCCTGTTCCTCCTCCCCCTCCCCCATCACCTGCTCCTGCCCTGCTTCCAGACGTCACCCCATGCACAGGTCCGGCCCGGAACACCGAGCCTGAGCCCGAGCCTGCTGCCGAGCCTCCAGGCTTGTGCGAAGAGCTCGAAAGGGACCGCTTGAGCCCCCCTCCCGCGCCTGTTGCTGCAGCAGAAGCACCACCACCAGCACCACCACCGGCAGCACCAGTACCAGTACCAGCAGCAAGAGAGTCTGTTACTACGCCGTTGACACTCCCTCCTGCTGCAGTTGCAGTCCCTGCAACATCTGCCTTGGGGCGGGATCGCTTGCCCTTCATCTTTCTGTGCTGCTGCTGCCCCTCGTGTCCGCTTGCCCCTGCTGCTCCTCCTGCTGCTGCGCCAGACCCTGCGAGGTGCTTTTGATCCGAGGCGTTTTCGTGGTTTGACTGGTGGTGGAAAGGAGGTGGGGCGAGCAGATGTGGGGAGAGAGGAGAGACAGGGCGCATTGGAGGATGACGACAGAACTGCTGAATAGACTCCTCTGTTGATAGACAGAACAAACTAATTAACGACTGAGGAAGAAAGGGGGAAAGAGGAGGGGAATGGGGACGCGAGGACAGGAGATTAAGGGAGGGACAAAGAAGCAGAAAACAGAATGGAAAAATTGATGTGGATTGGGGACAAGGGGATGGATTGGACGGAACACATACTCGAAGGCAGGCGTTTGACAAGAAAAGGTGCAAGACAAGAATGAAAGTGTCATGAAGGAAAGTGAAGGTATGTTTTTTGAGAATTCTAAAAAAACGCACACTGGACTGGAAGGCAGGCGTTTGACAAGAGAAGGTGCAAGACAAGAATGAAAGTGTCATGAAGGAAAGTGAAGGTAGCAGGAAGGAAGGGCTGGTGGCACAGAGGGAAAGGATACGGTTTCGCGGTGCAGAACGGAGAAGCAGGAGTAAATTGCTGACATGGGAGTGGGCTCAGAAGTGGTCAACGGGGTCAACAGGAGTCAAGGGGAGTCAACGGGGTTCAACGGGAGTCAACGGAGTCAACAGGATTTAACGGGGTCAACGGGGTCAACAGGAGTCAACGGGGTCAACTGAAGTCCACGGGAGTCAATGGGGTTTGACGGGTCATGGGAGTCAACTGGAGTCAATGGAGGCAACGCACCAATGTGCACGCATGCCGGTTCGCGCCACCCCCAGCTTTCGAGTGCCCCGGCCCTGTCCGTCCCCCTCCTCCCCCTCCTCCCCCACCACCACCAGCAGCCCCTCCCCCCCCTGCTCCAACTCCAACCCCAGCAGCACCATCCCCCGCGCTGCCACTGCTTCGGCTGTTATCCCCTGGCGTCCCAGCTGCCCCGCTCGCGCCGCCAGCACTGACAGCAGCACCACCAACTGCAGCGTTGGCTCCGTCGCCCCTGCCCACGCGCCTCCTCATGCTCACACCGTTGAGCCACGTGTCGAGACGTGATAGGGCGTCCTGCAGATGTCGAGTCCGATCCCTGGAGGAGAAGGGGGAGAGCGGGGAGGGGAAGGGTGGCGGGAGGAGAACGGGGAGGGGGAAGGGGGGAGAGGGAAGAGGGAAGAGGGAAGAGGGAAGAGGGAAGAGGAGAGAGGGGAGAGGGGAGGGGGGAGGAGAAGGAGTGCTGCGTGAGAAAGGATAGCTCTGAATCTGGTCTGAAGTATAATCTGTAAAGTTGGTCAGCACGGAGATAAAAATGTTGTTTTGAGACGTCGCAAAACCAACACTTTTATCACGTTGGACAGGACAGCACGGAGAACGGGAATCAGCCATGATTGGCTCGAGCTCAGCTGCTGATAACAGGCCAATCAAGCTGCAAGAACAGCAGTGGCGGCGGCGGCGAGGCGGCGTCAGTGGCAGCAACGGCAACAGCAGCAGCATCAGTAGCAGCAACTGAAGCGGCAGGGGCAGCAACAGCACTGAAAGGAGAGAAAGGAGGAGGACGAAAAGGAGGGATCTTACTGGCAACTACCGTCAGAAAAGAGGAGATAACATAATTCACGGGTACAGACACATGGAAACGGGCAGGACAGGGCACACAGAATGTGACACTAGCGAGCGGGGATGATTACCAAACGTTTAGGGTCACTATGAGGACCAATCCCCTGGTGCACATTGCACAATGACTCCAGGCACTCCCACGAGGATCAAACTGACTAATCTAGAAACGCCCACCATAACCGATGTGACTGTATCGAACATCCCCCATACAATACCAAATACCTCACCTTGCACGATCTCGACCATCCCTCAACGCCGCCACCATCCTCCTCCGCTCCTCTCCCGTTACAGTCACAACAGGCAAGCCCCCCCCAGCTGCCGCCTGGTCCGCTCTCCCTTCCCCCAGTCCCCCCGCAGCTCCCCCCGAAGCTCCTTCCCGCGCCTTCCCCACTGCGGAATCCAACTCCGCGTGTCTCCCGAACCGTAGTTCCCCGGTAGATAGCTCTTCCAGCGACAGTATGCGCGCGAGAGACGATTCTCCACGAGAGGCGGAACCTCCGCCAGCGGCGGAGCATCCCCCGGCAGCGGACGCTCCCCCAGCAACGCCTTTCCCCGCGAACCCCGCACCGGTTCCACCGCCGGAACCGCTCCCGCCGATTCCGCCTCCAGCGGGTTGCCCCTCGTCCGCATATTCCGCGGAAACCATTCCTCCCGCTGGTCGACCCGAGAGACCCGGACCCTCCTGGCCAGCTGGCCGATCGTTACTGGCGTCTAGAAACCCTTGATCGCCGGGCTGCGATTGCTGCTGACCTGGCAGTGAGGAATGTGGTTGTTGCTGACCTGGCACTTGGTCGGTGGCAGGCCAGCCTGACGCGAAGCCGCCACCCTCCTGGTCTTGCAAGTACTCGTATTGGCGATCCATGGATTTGGCTACGAATCCTAACATACGCGGGTTGGACTAGCGTAAGCGATTCGACGGTATTATGCTTCGGCTCGCGTCAGCAGACACGAACGGACTGGCGACAATGGAGTGTTGACCAAACACTTGAAAATGTGGTAGTCAGTCTGACAGTGAAGGTGAGGCAATCAGTTTAAAACTTAAGGGCTTGCAAGCTGGCTGCAAGACGCGAGAATAAATGACGAGAGACGGTAATAGTGGATGTAACTAATGAAAGGACTGGCAACGGTTTAGCATGGCGCGTCGCGCAGCCATGGCGGGAAGATTGATTGGGTGACTGCTGTCTGACTCGAAACCCTAAACTGATGACTCAGATTGAAAGTGTAAGTAGCTGCGAGCCACAACTCCATACTCGCTATCGGAAGCCCACTCTAACACCCACAGTCATATTAGAGTCAGATGATTTTAGATCTTCTGATTGCAAAAATTAAACAAAAGCAGTTACATTGTGAAGTAAAACAATGAATTATGCTAGGAATTTGCAGAGAATCTGAGAAATTTTGATTAATGAATAATTGTACTATAGAGCATTGATTGTGTATTCCTCAATATAGTTCTAACTACTGCATACCAAGTTGTTTTAGTACCGGGTGAAACTCGGTAGCGAGTCTCGAATTGACATTCATGAAGCGATCCGCATTCCAGACTCAATGGAGCCGAGCTAGTTCGTTCCGACAGGTCTGACGGCTGGCAGGCACAAAGGAAAAGGAGCTGCTCCGTAAAGCAGGGGTCCTTTTTCGAGCCAATCGAGGCTTGTACTGGGCAGGTAGGCGGAAATATTTCCATACTCCAGACACGGATCCACCAGCACTTCTTCCTCCATCCCACCCATCCAATCGCCGTTTTCTGCTCGCAGGTGTTTTAGACATTGATAGGACACACACACAAGGCTGTGGAGCAGAGGATCTCGTCATGGCGGCTGCGAAGTGGTTATGCTTCGTTTGTTGCATGTGGATTCTTTCCACAGCCGGAACGTCCGGGACATTCGCCATTTACTCACCCGTCCTGAAAGCCGTAGCAGGCTATGATCAGAAGCACATTCAGGCTCTAGCCGTTGCCAAGGATGTTGGAGAAAGCGTCGGTCTAGTTGCGGGTATCTTGTGCGACTGGCTACCAGGGTGGCTTATGCTTCTGGTTGGTGCACTGCACTATCTGACTGGATTTGGTGGTCTATGGCTCGTAGCTTCGCAGCGCATTCAGCCGCTACCATTCTGGCAGGTGAGTCCACGATTAATGCCACATTCGCGGCGAATTGGATAGCTTTGACTTCCTGATGTACCCTGAGGTCGATCCTTACGCATTTCTTTCGCAGATGTGCTCGTTAATTCTAGTTGGAGCTCAGGGGACCGCTTGGTTCAACACAGCAGCTCTCGTGACCTGCATACGCAATTCTCCGAGATCGCGAGGACCAGTTGTTGGCGTCCTGAAAGGACTGGTTGGCCTTTCGAATGCCATTCTCTCTCAAGCTTACTCAGCTTTTCTAGCTCCAAACCAGCCGTCGTTTCTCTTGGTCCTTGCCGTCGTGCCTTTGGCAGTTGCCGTTCCAACCATGAGCTTTGTCAGGTACGAGTCGGGGTTTCAAAATGGCGGTTCACATATGGATCAAAAGTCTTAATTTGCCTCTTTGTGCAGGTCAGAAAACCGGGTCTTGTACGATGATATTGAGGAGAAAAAGAGCTTTGAGAAAGTCGTCATGTCCTGCACGGGCCTGGCATGCTACCTTCTTGTTGCAATCTTCGTTGAAGATCAGATGGAACTAACATCTCAGGTGCGTTGAGGCAGGGTCAGATGTTATTAACGTTTCAGGTGCGTTAGTGCGATGTCTAAAAGAAAAATGCTTTGATAAGTTTCACTTGCCCATTTTCGGCAGATCCGGGCATGGATTTTTGCTGGAATGCTGTTCTTTCTGGTTACACCTTTGGCTGTGCCGGCTGCGCACTTCTTTGAAGATCTTCACCTTAATTTCATTGACACTTCAAGAAGAGATGAACCGTGCGACGGAGAGGTGGATATAAGAGAGGCTGATGACAAACTTCAACCCCTAATTCATCGAGTGTTAAGCACAGACTCCATATTTTCCGACTTCAGTCCATCTGAAACACCAGCTGACGATGGGAAAGAAAACCAGCCTCTACATTGCGTGAGTCTAAAGATTTATTAACGTTTGATATGGATGCTGAGTAAGTCGGTTAAAGCTTATCCCAGTTTATAATTGTTATTTTTGTTTATTTGGTGCAGAGTCCACATGCTCATTTGAGTTCAGAATTGTGTGATCAGGAGTCGGGGGACTCTCAAAAAGGTTTGTTGGTGCCTGACCAGGAGAGGACTTACAACTCTCACCCAGTCCTGGATGTTCATCATAGGGGACTGGACGAAGCTGTTCACAGACAGCTGAACAGAAGGAGGAGTTCCCAGATCCTCTTAGCAGTGGGAGAAGGTGCTGTACGGACGAGAAGGAAGGGTCCGAGACGTGGTGAAGACTTCACACTTGTTGAAGCTCTTCGAAAGGCTGATTTTTGGCTGCTTGTGTTCTCGTACATTTGTGGCTGTGGATCTGGGTTGACTGCAATCAACAACTTGGCACAGATGGCATCCTCCCAGGGCTACAGCCGGGTGCAACTGTTTGTGTCGCTGGTTAGCGTGTGGAACTTCATTGGCCGCCTTGCTGGAGGTTATTGCTCCGAGCACCTCGTCAAGTAAGTGGATGAACTCCTGATATTGGTTGTGTATTGATTGCATAGTATCATGTTTCACATTTCATACTTGTCGCTTGCAGGACTTATCTCCTTCCAAGGCCACTGCTGCTTCTTGTGGCACAGCTTGTTATGTCAGCTGGTCATGCCATTTACGCGATAGCCTTCCCATACTCTTTGCACATCGGCTCACTCATTGTTGGGCTTTGCTATGGTGTTCACTGGTCTGTGATGCCTGCAACCGTGAGTGAGCTCTTTGGCCTGAAGAATTTCGGCCTAATATTCAATGCAGTGGCGGCTGCCACTCCAATTGGTTCGTACTTGTTTTCAAGCCTGATCGCCGGGTACCTTTACGACTACGAGGCGCACAAGGGTAATGGTATGGGGAATCCCTGGCAACAATTACTGGTGCAGGCATTCAGCTCATGGAGGCTTGATTCGTCAGAGTTCACTGAGTGCGTTGGGACCCATTGCTTCCGGCTAACTTTCACAATCATGATGGGGGTGTGCTGGATCGGAGCAGCGTTCACTGGAATTCTAGTATGGCGCACCACCCGTGTTTATGTGGCTATGTACAGAAAAGGGGGGTCCTTTCATAAGCTATGATGGTTTTTTTCTGAATATTTAATATCATTGGCTTATGTACGGTACATCAGAGTGGTCTCATCATCATGCATTGGGGAAGAAAGTAATGCTGGATGAAAAGGAACACAAACGGTATTGTTGGAAACAATCGGTCCTAAGCGCCTCTGTCGTGTCGAAACACTAAGACACAAAAGAAACGAAGTATAACGAATCACCGGCGAGTCAACCCTCGGAGGTTGAAAGTAACTGTTGGAGGTTACGCGAAAGTCAAAGGTCAGCGACCTTTGACCTGACAAAGTACAGCGCGACAGCAAGGACAAACAACTGACTCGGTATTGAGCAGTTGCCCGAGTCGTCACTGTATCGAACTGCAACAGCAATACCGTCATCACCCGGATATAAGACAGTGTTGAATAGTAGACAGGGGTTGTCTACTATACGGGTGTCTCTTATAAACAGGCTAGCCTCATTATAAAACACCTATTTGTGTGTACGAGATAAGACATATATGTCTTATAATCGAAACTTCAATAAATTATAGCGAAAGTTGAAATACCGCGTACATTTTTACCCTTGCGAAGCGCGAATTCTTCCACGCGCTGACCCAGGACCTACCAAATTTGCCCCTGCAGGTGTTCTCCATAACGTGGCGTCCCGGGCAGAGGTTGTCGAAGTGGCACCTTCGCAACATCCACACTCATTATGAGAAACCTTTTTTCAAGAAGTACGGAAAATATTTCAAAGTAGTTTAAAAAGTTTCCATTTATAAGACTTATAAGACACCCTAAACCATCCCGTTTACAAGATAACTCAAGCATTTTTGCCCGTGTACGAGATAAGACATATATGTCTTATATCCGGGCGATGACGGTACTAGCGCAAGGTGGTTCACAACTCATAATTAACGCTTCCGCTACTACACCAACTCTACCCAGAGTTCACCCCTGCAAAGATCCTAAGGGTTTTTCAGCCCAACAGGTATCACAGCACAATTTACATTACGTTATGTAATTTCTTCGCAGCCATGGCACCCCTGTTGTCTGTTCTTGCTGCAGAAGTTGCTTATCACCAGCAATATGGCCGTTTGCACACCTATTTTTGCCTTCATAAAGTCCATCTGTATGGCCAAAGGTACCTGAGCCTGTGTAACTCATAGGTCTGCCAGCCATGGACCCATTATGGCTCCCTTTAGCTATGACAACCTCAGCAGCTCGATTACTGGTCCCTGGTTTGTCGCAGCTCACAAGTCCCTGCGCTCCGATTGCCAGTGGAAAGACAGGTGCTGGTCTGGAGCATATCAAAGCAAAGGGAAAAAGGGTACATCAATGCAACGGCATTCAGCAAACGGCAGCCACGTGACTAGAGATTGTGCAAAGAACTAATTGACCGTCCGCTTACACCAATGCAGAGGCATCGCCAGCTTGTTCACTGTCATACGCCAAGGAGACGCTTGGTGAAGGTGTTAGGCCATCAGCGCTGGACATTCCTGGGCTCTGGGATTTTGAAGATGAAGAGGGCGTTACAACGTTTTGCAGGTTTAGTAGGGCTGCATCACGCTTGATTTCATCCAGTGTTTTACCAGCCATTAACTGTTTAATAATCAAAAAAATGAGGCCCGGTGCGGAAAGAGAGGACATGGGAATTGTAAGTTGAAAACGTAACCATGCTGTGGCAAGTGCGGTTGAAAAGAACGCACTGCAAGGCAATTTGGAAAATGGCAGCGGCTCGTACCTTTCGGTAAGGCCATCTGGAAACTCCGTTTTCACGACATACCCTCTTCAAAGTGGCGTTGCTTACACCTGTAACAGAAACATGTCAGGACGCGACGTCCACTCGACTGTACAACCACTGGGGAATATCTGACGGCACGGTGACGGAACCATGACGAGTAAAACATATTACACCCTGATAATGACGGAACCATGACGGAACGAATAAACGGGCGCGTGTACATTCACCGACCGAGTCGTGCAGCAGCCTCAAGGACTGGGAGGTTAAAATGCTTCTCTACGTCCTCATAACTGATCTGCTCCCGAATGTGCTTTGTCATAGTTAGTGAACAACGTTTCCGACCAATATCCTGTGATCAAATGCGACTCGCATAAAGAGATCGTTGTATGCTGTGGGAGATGGTTGGAAGTGAAGTAAAAAACCACGCAGGTTATCGCCAACTAGTGATCGTCACCCTCACGTGATTCACAAAAGCTGGCACGCCATTGCACTGTACGCGATAAATGTAGACACTCATTGTGCACAAGGCAAATGTGTAAGATAGGGGGGGGGTACTGTACCCCTTCAAATATTTGGATGTGTTTCAACTTTTTCTCCATCCACCCCACTTTGTGTGATAGGGAACTCCGACCTCGAGTCGCATTTGAAGCACCTCCTAGCGGCGTCACAGGCTTGAACGTTCTGCTGCTCACCTTGGCGACTCAAGTCGTCGCCTAACCGCTGCAAACACCTGCGGAACCAGCTAGTGTCAGCGTACCATTGCGTGTCCCTCGTTTCGAGAAATAGTAGGAAGCACGGATTAGAAGAATGTCGAAGCGAGAGCGAGAAGGGCAATTGACGTATGAGGAGGTTTCTAAGCACTTCGCGTCGACGCTTGTCGACGCATCGGCGAGTCTGGGTGCGTGCCGGCTGGCTTCTTGCATTCAAATTAGAAAGCATCTCGTCGCTACTTGCACCAGTTCGCCTTTCCTTTGAACCGCAAAGCCTTTCCCCTCTTCCTTCGCCACCGCTTTTAAATAAACTCGAAGCTTAAGCATTGGACATAAATAAAGGCGACGAACTTGCTTTAGAAACTTCGTGCGCTGTGCTTGGAGACAAAAGGATTGGTCACGCATCATACCCGTCAACAATGATCCTCTCTGCAAAAGCCCTCCCTAGGTGGAGTGCTTTCCGGATTCCGCCCTCAAAGGTCAGCAAACGTCAACCCCCCCCCCCGCCCCCCCCTTTACCCCTTCTCAACCCCCTCGCCGTCCCAATCTTCTCAGGTGTAAGCACTGCTATTCTGAAAAAGATATGCCGCGAAAACGGCATACCCAAGTGGCCCTTCAGAAAGGTAAGCCGTTCTTCTCCCTTTCACGATAGCAGATTTATATCCTCCTGTTTTTTTTGGATTGTCACATTCTTCTGCTTCCCCTGTTTTTTAGTACTGTCGTGAACCCCTCATTTCCCCTTTCGTTTGCTCTCCACTGTTCCTCCCCAAACCCCAACCCCACCGCAGCTCGCATCAGGCATAACAATTTAGGAGATCAAGCGAGACACAGCAGCACATTCTTGAGATGCTTCAAAGGTTCCTCTTCCTCCCCCCCCCCCTCCACCCTTTCCTCCACCACCGCAGATCGCATCAGGCATGATGATTGAGGAGATCAGGCGAGCTACAGAAGCAAACTCTTGAGATGTCTCAAAGGTCCCTCTCCCCACCCCCCCTCTTCCTCCATCACCGCAGATCGCATCGGGCATGATGATAGAGGCGATCAAGCGAGACGCAGCAGCAAACTTTTGAGACGTCTCAAAGCCCCCCCCCGTTCCCTCCTCCACCGCAGATCGCATCGGGCATGCTGACAGAGGAGATCAAGCAAGCCGCCGCAGCAAACACTTGAGATGTCTCAAAGGTCCCTCTTCCCCCCTTCCCTCCCCCCCTTCCCTCCCCCACTGCAGATCGCATCGGGCATGACGATAGAGGAGATCAAGCGAGACGCAGCAGCAGCTGTAGCAGACGAGCAAGCAGCAGGCACAACCACCGGCACCACCAGCAGCACCGGAGACACATCCCCCCACTCCTCCTCCCCCACTCCCCCTCCTGCATCCTCCTCCGCCCACTCCCACCACCCCTCCTCCCACCTCTCACCCGCTCCCCAGTCCCCCTCCACCGCCCACCTCTCACCCGCTCCCAAATCCCTCCCGACTGCCCATCTCTCCGCACCCTCACCTACCCTGCAGCACCCCCCTCCACCAGGCATGCACGCTCCTTCTACCCATCCCTCTCATCCCTCCCATGCCCCATCTCCTGCCCTAGCCTCCTCTCTGCCCTCGCTCACCCCGCTGCTGCCAGGAGCAGGCATGCAGGTGCCAGTGGGTGTTTCCCCCTATGCACTCAGGACTCCTGCTGCTGCTCTCCCTTCCACTGCAGCTGCTGCTGCTCCTGCTGCTGCGAGTGCTGCTTCTGCTTTCTCCCAGCCCGTGCTGGCATCGCAGTGAGTGTCTCGCTTCCCCTTTTTTATCACTCAAAGACATCTGGGTGTGTACATGGAGCGTGTTCGCACACGGAGTGTGTTCGTACACGGAGTGTGTTTGTACACGGAGTGTGTTCGTACACGGAGTGTGTTTGTACACGGAGTGTGTTCGTACACGGAGTGTGTTTGTACAGGGAGTGTGTTCGTACACGGAGTGTGTTCGTACACGGAGTGTGTTCGTACATGGAGTGTGTTTGTACACGGAGTGTGTTCGTACACGGAGTGTGTTTGTACACGGAGTGTGTTCGTACACGGAGTGTGTTTGTAAACGGAGTGTGTTCGTACACGGAGTGTGTTTGTACAGGGAGTGTGTTCGTACACGGAGTGTGTTTGTACAGGGAGTGTGTTTGTACACGGAGTGTGTTCGTACACGGAGTGTGTTCGTACAGGGAGTGTGTTCGTACAGGAAGTGTGTTCGTACAGGGAGTGTGTTCGTACAGGGAGTGTGTTCGTACACGGAGTGTGTTCGTACAGGGAGTGTGTTCGTACACGGAGTGTGTTCGTACAGCGTGGGTGCACTCCATAGTAGATAGATAGAAGCATTTGGAAAATCGCGCTTGAGAATCGTTTCCTTGTTGTTACTGCTCACTCGTGATCATTGTTGCTACGTGATAAAAGATTTGTTTTGAGACGTCTCAAAACAAATCGTTTCCTTGTTGTTACTGCTCACTCGCGACCATTGTCTGTTGCTACAATTCTGCTTCCATCTGTTCCTTGTGCTATGTTGCTGCTATGTATATTGCTCCACTCCACAGACGAATCTCATCAGCCCCAGCATCGAATCCGTCCCTGCAGCAGCACTTGCAGTACCAGCAGGAACAGCAGCAGCAACAACACCAACAACAACAGCAACAGCAGCAACTGTTGCTGCAGCAGCAGCGGCAGATGTTTCTTCAGCAGCAGCAACAGCAACAGCAGCAGCAGCAGCCCATCCCCCCTCACCTGCTGCAGCACCACCAGCAGCTCCAGTTGCAGCAGCAGCGCCTTCAGCTGATGCAGCAGCAGCAGCAGCAGCAACAGCAGCAGCAGCAGCAGCAGCAGCAGCAGCAGCAGCAGCAGCAGCAGCAGCAGCAGCAGCAGCAGCAGCAGCAGCAGCAGCAGCAGCAGCAGCAGCAGCAGCAGCAGCAGCAGCAGCAGCAGCAGCAGCAGCAGCAGCAGCAGCAGCAGCAGCAGCAGCAGCAGAATTTACAGGCAGCAGCAGCAGCAGCAGCAGGCGGAGAAAACGAAGCAGCAGGAGGGACAGGAGCAGGCCGAGGAGCAGGAAGGGGAGCAGGCAGAGGGGCAGGAACTGGGGCAGGCAGGGGATTGAGAGCACCGGCAGGACGCGGCAGAGGAGGAAGAACAACGGCAGGAAAAGGAAGGGGAGAAGGAGCAGCAGCAGCAGCAGCAGTAGTTTCTTCCATTACCTCTTCTCCTGCTCTCACTATTCCTCCTGCCATTCAGTCCCAGCGCCTTACCCCTCCTCCTCCTCCCCTTCCTGCTGTTGCTGCTGTGGCTGCGACTGCGGCTGCTTCGAATTCCCATGCCTTGTCTGCTTCACTCGCACGCACACCTGCTGCCGCCACTGGTGGTGCTGCTGCTGCGCCTGCTACACCTGCTGCTGCTGCTGCTGCTGCTGCTGCTGCTGCTGCTGCTGCTGCTGCTGCGGCAGGAGGGGCAGCAGCAGCAGCAGGTCGGACTGGAGCTTATGCCACAGCAATGGGAGCTGGGCGGCTTGTTTCGGCACTTCCTCCCGTGCCAGTGTCTTTTACAATGGTGCCACATGCAGCTGCTGTAGCAGCAGGAGGTGGAGCAGCAGCAGCATGTGGAGGGGTAGCAGCAGGAGGAGGAAGAGGGGTAGCAGCAAGTGGAGTACAAGCAGCAAGAGCGCCAGCAGCAGCAGCAGCAGCAGCAGCGGCAGGGACAGTGGTGCCAGCTGTAGCAGGGGCTGTAGCAGCAACGGGAAGAGGGTCCGGGGTTGGGACAGGCAGAGGAGGAGGAGGGGGAGTTAGAGGAAGAGAGGGAGGTGGAATAACACCATCAGCAGCAGCAGCACCACCAGTGGCAGCACCAGCAGCACCAGCCGCAGCAGCAGCAACCATGGGTGGTGGTGCTGTTGAGAGGAAGGTACAAACTACAGCAGCAAACACGGGTGGCAACTTCCGTCCTATTCTCGTCAAGGGTCCAGCAGCAGCAGCCGCTGCTTCTGCTACTACTGGAGGGACAGTCACCACTGCTCCTCGTGCTGCTGCTACTGCTGCTCCTGCTGCTGCTGCTGCTCCTCCTGCTCCCTCCCGCATCGCCACGACCATGACCCCACCAGCAGCGGTTTCTACACCAAATGCTCCCGCAGCTGACACTGATATCGAGGAGTACTATAACGAGGATGATGCCACTGCAGCGGCCACTCTAGCAGCCGCAGCATCAGCAGCAGCAGCAGCAAGGGCAGGGAGAGTGAGAGGAAGAGTCCCCAGCGCCTTTGACCTGGCCCTGTCTTTGCCTCTGCAGAACCCCCCGGCCTTTCCCTTTCCGTTCCCCCTGCCACTGGCGCAACGACACGACACCAGAGCCCTGAGACAGCTATCTGCCCCTGTCACGCGATCACTAGAACAGCATCAAAGCCACGCTAATGAGCTTCCTGTTTCTCCTGGGGGAGATGCCGTGAAGGTTGAAGCTTCTGATGGTGTGGGTGTTGCTGCCAGAGGTGGAGTGGCAGCGGGAAGGGAAGGGGGACGAACAGCCAATGCTGCTGCGCAAGCGCCGGGGATAGTCAAGGTGGGGTCGATGCCTGGTGCTACCGCAGCAGGAACAGCAGGTGTGGTGGATGGGGGGGAAGAGGTGAGGTCAAGTGTACTGATGCAGTTCAGAGAGGGCTTCCCTGCTGCTGGCTTGCCGTGGGACGCGCTTAAGTGGTGGGGTGCGGAGGGAGGGAATGCAGGCGACATAGGTGGTGTGGGAGGAGTGAAAAGAGTGGGCGGAGGGGATTTAGTTTGCAAGGCTGACAGGGGAACTGGGGAGGATGGGAGTGGTGCTTCGAAGGGTGTTGTGCTGGGTTGTGGGGTGGAAGACAAGGAGAGGGTGGAAGAGGAGGAGGGTCGATTAGAGGAAGTGGGTGAGGAAGAGGAGGAAAGGCATGAGATGGATGAGGAGGGGCAACAAGGGAAGCTAGGGGAGGAGCAGGAGGAGGAAAACGGGAAAGAGCATAAGAAGGGGATGGAGGAGGCGAAGGGGAAGGAGGAGGAAACTGGGAAGCAGGAGAATGGGAAACAGGAGAAGGAACAGCAGAGAGGGAAGCAGGAGGGGAAGAGGAAGAGGGAGGAGAGCACATTAGAGATGGCGGAGAGGCTGGTGGGAATGCATCGAGCAGCAGTGGGGAGGGCGAGGGTGGGCAGGCAGAGTGCGGTGTCACGGGGTTATGCAAGTCCAGCAAGTGGCGGTGATCTCGCTGTGCTCTCGTTTGTGTTTGGTGCTTACACTCCCCGCCAGTGGTGCTGCGATGGTTAGGCTAGGACGTGTGGGTGTAGCAGGGCGTGGGCGGGCAGAGTGCGGTGGCGGGGGGGTATGCAAGTTGACTTTTGAGTCGACTCAAAAGTCAACGCAGAGTGCGGTGGCGGGGGGGTATGCAAATGCAAGCCCCGTGATTCCCAGCGACCTGGCTGTGCTGTCGTTTGTTTTCGGCTGTTACATGCCCCGTCAGTGGTGCTGCAATGGGTAGGCATGTGCGTGTAGTCACAGCTTCAAAATCGTTATTTTTTTACCCAGTGTTGCTGCAATGACAAGAGACGCTGGTCTGCTTCGGGATATGTTTTGCTGAGCTGCCCAGGTTTTTAGTAGGGCTCGTTGTCAGGCCAGCCTTTGCTCAGGACCACGTTGCACCGCGCTGTATCGCGTTGCACAGTGCAGATGGACATTTGCACCGCGCTCAGCCGTGCAGGCCCGAAGCTTACAACTCTGATTCTAAGGGGTGCCACAATCAGCGCGGCCTTATGTTTTCAAGACAAAATGAGCCCAAATAATACAGACACCCTTGGTATCTATCAAGGTACTTCGCTTGTATTTATACAAATATATGGCAGTCAAGTCAATGAACGTGACAGCTACTGTACCATCCAGATACCCGTGTCATTCAGATACCATGCTCTGTCACACATCAATCACCCGTGACAGCTTCTGAATGCGATTAAGCAGCAGGTCACCCTGCTTCAGCACTGATTGGTACTGTGCATTACGCGCATCTGGGCGGTTGGTCTCAAGCACCCCTGCCACCTTGTCTATCTTGCAGTTGAGGCGCCCGCTTGCAATGAACAGTGACAGCTCGCTGCAGAGAAGAGGAAGGAGGGAAGGGCAAGGAAACAGGAAGGGGGAGGAGGTGATGAGAAAAAGGGGAGGAAAACGATTGAAGTGCATGAGTCACGGGTAACAGTGCGTCCGGGCGGTTGGTCTCAAGCACTCTGCCTTTTGAGAATTCTCATAAGTCACACGGACATGAGTCACGGGTAACAGTGCGTCCGGGCGGTTGGTCTCAAGCACTCCGCCACCTTGTCTATGAAGAGAGACAGCTCACTGCGCACATGGGGGGGAATAAAGGTGGGAGGGAGGGGAGGAGGGAGGGGGGAATGGAGGGGAACGGCAACAGAGGGGGGGAAGGGCAACAGAGAGGGGGAAGGGCAACAGAGAGCGGGAAGGAGGATGGAGGGGAGCTGATGAGGAAAGAGGAGGAAAGGGACGGAAGGGGAACAGTGCGGCTGGCCGGTTGGAATAAAGCACCCCTGCCACCTTGTGTATCTTGCAGTTGAGGCGTCGACTGGCAATGAACAGTGACAGCTCGCTGCAGTGGCATGGGGTGATAATGGTGGGTGGAGGGGGAGTGACGGGGGAGGGTGAGGGGGAGGGGGAGTAGGAGGGAAGGCATAGCCAGTCAATGCAGGGCCACTCGGGTCCTCACATTGTGGATTTTCCAGCAGGGCCGGTCAACACAGTCAAACCGCTGGTCAAATCACCAGTATCAACAGCATTCAACGCACCTGTCAATGAAGTCAACGCAGTCAACCAAACGGTCAACATGGTCAACCAATCGGTCAACACGGTCAACCAACCGGTCAATGCAGTCAACCAACCGGTCAATGCAGTCAACCAACCGGTCAACGCAGTCAACCAACCGGTCAAACCGGCCAACCCACCACCGATATCTCACCTGTCGATGAAGTCAAGCGAGACCCCGAAGCTGCGGGCCATGGCATCAGCAGTGACGCTCTTGATGAGTCGGTTTTTGAGTCGACTCAAAAACCGACTCATCACTGCAGTGATGCTCTTGTAGCTCTCCAGGAACTGTGAGTATGCCACCACTCGCACCCCCCCTCCCTTCTTTGACAGCTCCCAACACAGACAACTGGCCTGGCCAGTACAAGAAAGTCAACTCACCAGTCAACGCGGTCAAAGCCTACCTGTCAATAAAGTCAAGAGACACCCCGAAGCTGCGAGCCATGGCGTCCGCTGTGACGCTCTTGTAGCTCTCCAGGAACTGCGAGTATGCCACCACTCGCACCTCCCTCAAGGTGAAGCGCATGTGTGCGTGCAGGTAGCGGTCCTGCCTTATGGGCTCCGTTAGGCCAGCTGGAGGGGGACGGGAGGAGTGGTGGAAGGGTGGAAACAGCAGGTGTAAGGGTCTTTCCCTCAAGGTGAAGCGCATGTGTGCGTGCAGGTAGCGGTCCTGCCTTATGGGCTCCGTTAGGCCAGCTGGAGGGGGACGGGAGGAGTGGTGGAAGGGTGGAAACAGCAGGTGTAAGGGTCTTTCCCTCAAGGTGAAGCGCATGTGTGCGTGCAGGTAGCGGTCCTGCCTTATGGGCTCCGTTAGGCCAGCTGGAGGGGGACGGGAGGAGTGGTGGAAGGGTGGAAACAGCAGGTGTAAGGGTCTTTCCCTCAAGGTGAAGCGCATGTGTGCGTGCAGGTAGCGGTCCTGCCTTATGGGCTCCGTTAGGCCAGCTGGAGGGGGACGGGAGGAGTGGTGGAAGGGTGGAAACAGCAGGTGTAAGGGTCTTTCCCTCAAGGTGAAGCGCATGTGTGCGTGCAGGTAGCGGTCCTGCCTTATGGGCTCCGTTAGGCCAGCTGGAGGGGGACGGGAGGAGTGGTGGAAGGGTGGAAACAGCAGGTGTAAGGGTCTTTCCCTCAAGGTGAAGCGCATGTGTGCGTGCAGGTAGCGGTCCTGCCTTATGGGCTCCGTTAAACCGGCTGGGAACAGAACAGAGGAAGAGAGGGGGAAAAAAGGGACACAGGCACAAAGGGACATAGACAAGGCTAGGATTTCACCACCACACCCACACACCTACATACAAACATGTGACTCACAGAAAGGGCGGAAGAAGGCTTTGTAGTCGCATGCATGCAGGTTGTTGATATGTGAGCGGTCAAGCATGCACATACAGCCGTGCATATACCCCCACACCCACACACGCACACATGTGACTCACAGAATGCGCAGAAGAAGGCTTTGTAGTCGCATGCATGCAGGTTGTTGACAAAGGGCCCCAGGTGGGAAAGGTCTGGTAGTTAGGGACAGCAAACCAAACACACACATACCCACTCAAGCGACTCACAGAATGCGCGGAAGAAGGCTTTGTAGTCGCATGCATGCAGGTTGTTAACAAAGGGCCCGAGGTGGGGGATCTGATCGATGACTGTTAGAATCTCTGGTGCGTCAATGACCTGAGAGAGGAGGAAGGGTGGGTACGTGAAAAGGGAGGAGGAGGGGGACGAGCGACACTCAACAAAGAGCACGAGGTGGGGGATCTGATCAATGACTGTTAGGATCTCTGGTGCGTCTATGACCTGCCAGAGGAGGAAGGGTGGGTGGGTGAGAGATAACGGAGGAGCGGGAGGAGTAACACTGAACAACAGGCCCCACGTGGCATATCTGATCAATGACTGTTAGGATCTCCGGGGCGTCTATGACCTGAACAGCAAAGAGAGAGAGAAGGGGAAGGGACAGGGTAGGAGTGTTGGGAGAAGAGGAACAACACTCAACAAAGGGCCCCAGGTGGGGAATCCGATCGATGACTGTTAGGATCTCCGGGGCGTCTATGACCTGGTGTGACCGGTGTGGGGGGGAGGGGGCAGGAAGGTGGTCGATGGGGGAAGGGGGAGAAGAGCAATACACACTGAACTGCGTGTGATGAGTCGACTCAAAAATCAACTCATCACACGGGGGGAGAAAGCGCCCAGAAACAGGCTCACAGGTGGCCTGGCCCCCTATTGAGAATTCTCAAAAGTCAGTCTTTTTTGAGGCGCCTCAAAACTGAGACGATTTTTGAGGCGCCTCACAAAAGTCAGTCTCACAGGTGGCCTGGCCCCCGAGAGTTGCAACACCCACAGCCACACCCACACCTGTTGTTTCAGAGCCACTCTGTCAAGCGCCACCACGCTCAGGATGACGGTGTACAAGACGAGGGAGCGGTACAACAGCAGCAGGCTCGTACGTACCCACGTGGTGAAGGTGGCTATGGCGCTCAGGAACAGTCTCACACGTGGGGGCCTGCCCCTTTACCCACCACTCGAGCACCACGCACCTTCTGCTTGAGAGCCACTCGGTCCAACGCGACCACGCTCAGGATGACAGTGTAGAACACGAGTGAGCCGTATGGCAGCAGCTCGTAGGTTGTAAAGGTGGCGATGGCGCCCAGAAACAGTCATACGAGTGGTGATCTGCCTCTTGGCAACCACAACACCACAAGCAAACCCACCTTCTGTTTGAGCGCAATTCGGTCAAGCGCCACGACACTCGGGATGACAGTGTAGAACACGAGTGAACGGTACGGCAGCAGCTCGTAGGTTGTAAAGGTGGCGATGGCGCCCAGAAACAGTCATACGAGTGGTGATCTGCCTCTTGGCAACCACAACACCACAAGCGAACCCACCTTCTGTTTGAGAGTCACCCTGTCAAGCGCCACGACACTCAGGATGACAGTGTAGAACACGAGGGAGCGGTACGGCAGCAGCTCGTAGGTTGTGAAGGTGACGATGGCTCCCAGACACAGTCTCACAGTTGCCTCACAGGCCCACAGCCCACACACGTGCTGCTGGGGAACCCACCTTCTGTTTCAGAGCCACCCTGTCAAGCGCCACGACACTCAGGATGACAGTGTAGAACACGAGTGAACGGTACGGCAGCAGCTCGTAGGTGGTGAAGGTGGCTATGGCGCCCAGAAACAGGTCCGCTGCTCGGGAGAAGTCGCGAGATGCGAGGCAGTAGAGCCCCTCATACACCTTGAGCCGGTTCTTGCGCTCCCAGTCGCCCCCCTCCTCGAGTAGCCTGGAAGAAGGGAGGGAAAAGCAGCACATCAGGGGTGAAGGTGGCTATGGGGCCCAGGAACAGGTCTGCTACTCCAGAGAAGTCGCGAGATGCAAGGCAGTAGAGCCCCTCATACACCTTGAGCCGGTTCTTGCGCTCCCAGTCGCCTCCTTCCTCAAGCAACCTAGATTAGGTGGGCGAGAAACGAGTGGGAACAAGG